TCCAGCGTCTTGTTGTACAGCTCTCCCACGCGAGGCGCGCAGTCACTGCATACCGCGCCGGCGCTCTCGTGCTTGCCCGTGAGCGGCTTCTTGCATCCCATGCACGTCTGCGTCTTCTTGGCAAACTTCATCAGGCCACCCACCGTGGGGGCCGCCACCGAGATGGTACGCGTGTGGTCTCCCGTCAGCAGAGATTTGGCCTTTGTCTCGCCTAGGATGGGCTCAAAGATTCGTCCCAGTGGCTTCGCTAGCTGGTTGTCCAGGTAATACTTGGTGTCGATCGGCACGTTGTTCTCCAGCACGTAGATTGGATCCTCCGACTTTTCAAAGTTTTTGGCTCCCGCCGCTCCCCTTACCATGACATACGCCACTCGATCGCCAAGACCAGGCGCCGAGCCGGCATCGCGCTTCTTCATCCTTTGTGCGAGTTCGACGTGGGCTTGCTTGGCTGCGTAGTCTTCTTTGGTCAGGGCCTTTGTGATAACCAGTTTTGACATGTCAACCTTGTTCTGTAGCAGATCTGCAATTGTGCCTTTGACGTAACTGTTTAAAAAAAGACATTAGCCATTCTACCCCCTTAATCATACGATAACATCTGCTTTACTTACTCTTGTGCACCCTGGACGTCTCGGTCGATGAGAATCATCCGCAAGACCTTTTCAATGACAGTCTGTGCTAGCAGGCAGTTGTCACGCCGCACCGTTTCGAGACCCTTGGTGTCCATCTTGTCGTACTTCTCCGTCCTTGTCCAGTAAAGCCCAGCATATCGCTTCTTGTTGATGAGGAGATATGGGAAATAGACCTTTTCGAATTCCAGCTTGATGGGCTTCAAGAACTTGGCCGACACGAATTTAGAGGCTTCTTCGCCGAGCTTCATCGCCTCTGCGAGATCCTTGGTTCCGAACTTCACCATGACGGAATCGGTATCACCGTAAATGACCTGAGCATCGTGGGTGTAGCCATTTGCAATGGTATATTTCATCTCCACCTCCTTCTTCGTCTTCTCAATCATCTGACGGCCGAAACTGGTGGTGCTACTTGCAATCGCAAGACAAGGTAGCTTTCCCGTCGTTGCACCCGTCAAACCGTAGACAGAGTTGGCACTGACTTTCAGCGCCAGCTGTCTACCGTTCAGCACGGCCTTCTTGAACGGATCCGTCTCTTGGGCTAGCTCTCGCTTCGCCTGCTTTCTGGCGGATAGCAATTCCTCTAGAATCTGGGCGAGTAGGCCCTTGCGCTTCGCGGCCGTAACGAAGGAGTCTCCATTGGGGGTGACGATGTAATCGACGTCCTTTTGCAGCTTGAATCTCTCGACATCTCCAGGTCTTAGCAAGGTCGTGTAGCATAGGTTGTGTGCTTGAATGATACTCGGGTACAGGGAAGCAAAATCAAGAGTTGCAATGGGCACGTCGTAGTATCCTCGCGTCGGCTCAATAACTGTAGCACCTTCGTATTGATCCTCTGTGCCCTGAGGAGCGATGTTGGGGATGACTAGCTTCTGTTCCAGTGCTTTACGGAAAAGCTGACTGACGAACTTGATCTGCTGTCCACGCGAAAGCAAAAAGTTGAAAGGAACGCCCGTGACTCTAGCCATTTCGGTATAGTTTTCTAGACATGACAATTTATCCATCAGTCTTTGAGGGAGATAGGCATCCTTCAAACAGTAGAGCGCCAGACGGCGTCGTGATTCCGGTGTTCCGTTGAAAAGTTCCGTAATCATGGTGTGGTGCACGTCTTCCTTTTGCTCGCCTAAGAATTGGGAGCACACAGAGTTCAGTGTGTAACTTCGCAGGTGGTGATCGCGCTGGACCAGCTGCAGCATGTCGAGCTGTAATCTACCATTGGTATTTGTGGCCTTGGTGTCACGGTTGCCGATTTGTTTACTTGAAAAGTTCGTTTCCTTGACCCTAGATGGCTTGCTGGGAATACGAGACCAGTACTCAAAGCCTTGCACCTTGAGGTGCTTTGCACGATCAAGGAGGTAGGGAAAATCAAAGTTGGAGGTGTTGTAGCCAATGATGATGTCTGGATCAACCCTGATGAGGAATTGCTGCCACTCGTGAAGCATTTGCTCCTCTTTCTCATAATCTAGAATTTGTGTCGCAACAATGGAGCTGGTAGTGTCTAGACAAAAGACGTTTCGGATAAAAGGCTTCTTCTCTCCGTATTTGGTGACCACGTTTGCAATTTGGATGACGGGGTCGACGTTGGCCTCGGGAAAGATCCCCTTGCGTCCAGCGCACTCGATATCGAAGGAAAGAATACGCAGGGGAGCCATCTTGGCCCAATCTCCTTCTGGCTTGTGGGCTATGAGATCCATGTAGTTGACTTCGGCTTCGATCTGGCAATTGGACTGGCGGCTGTGTTCCGGTATCATTTTGTACTTGCCGGCAGGGGCTTCCACCCATGACATGCCTTGAATCTAGCCCGCAGTCTGTTAGCCAAAACATCACAACAGCAGGAAAATCAAGGGCGCAGTAAAGCCATTACCTTGCAGTCTACCATGAATCGTAGAACGTATTGGATGTTGTCATATGTTCTCAGGCCTCCATCCAAAGCTCCCCACATGCCTTTCCAGTTTGCAAGGCCCTTTTCTATTGTCGATCGCACCGTGTTGATAAACTTTGGATCGGTGACGGTGATTTTGAGGTAGGGGCTTTGTACGTTGCCCTGGTAATGGTAGATGTCTTCCCTCATGGCCAAGCTCACTGAATGAATTGCAGGCTGGTGCTGGGCAACCTGGGTCTCAAGATATGCCTTGTATAGTGCGCAATCCTTTGCCTGGAAGGACAGAGGGGCGGCCACGTAGAGGTAGTGCTTGAAGTCTGTGACATGCAGCATGACTGAGTAGCCCTCGGCAGTCACGCCAAAGAGCTTCACAGCGACCTTTCCGCCGTTTATGGTACCCTCTTCGGCCTCAATGGACTGGAAGCAGATGCTGTCCCGGTCCGGGACAAACTCCGTGACCGGCGGCCGATCCCATGCCTGGTCCTTTTCTGTATTGTTCTGCTTGCGTTCCGATATATCCTGGCTAAGCTTTTCGAGAACTTCGGATTCGAACACGCTTTTCGTCTGGCTAGACCCCAGCTTGGCCCCGGGACCCTTTTGTGAGCTGATGAAGCGAGGTATCGGTGCAGGCTCGTCGATTTCAGTCTTCCGCTTCTTGGCGGACTGTGGTGATGAGGGGATGTTCTGGCGAGTGCGGGACTCGCCCAGCACTCGCTTCTGAGGAACGACTGTGGCAGCCATGGTCCTGTTGTGATACTTCTTGCTAGGAATTAAACAAACCAAGGCCAGCTATAGCTTGTCGTTGGGGAATTGCGACAATGCTGTGGCGACTTGTTGGTCCCTGGAGGAAAAGGCGAGATCCCAGCTGTCACGATATTTCCAGCAATACGCGCCTCCCGGACCGTGACGTGACGAGACCCACCCGTTGTTTAATGGGTTCGCACGTGAGTTGGCGTTCTCTTGTCGCTGCGTTACCTAAGCAGAAGTATAAGGGTACCTCTCAAGCCTCCTTCCCTGAGAGCGGGGTTGCAATTCTCTGGGGTACTCCTGGGCTTGTCCTGGGCCTAGCCGTCTCCAACGAAGCTCAGGAAATGGGGGCAAAAGAAGATTCCACACAGAAGACGCCACCACGGGAATCTCCCTTCGCGGTCCGTTGGTTTTAGAACGACATTGATCTATTTCTAACTAGCCAGGGGTAAAACAAAGAAGCACAGTGGCTCTCATTTAGCAGTACAACTACATGTTCAGGAGTCACAAGTATGACAAATCTATGAAAACCTAGAAAGCATAACACCCCGTTCGCCTCGTACAGAGTGCATTGGACTCATACAGCTTGGGCCATTGCAAGTGGCGTTTATCGTCTTCAATAGCTAAAGCCAACCTCACGTTATGACGCTCAATCAACATGATCAAAGGACTTACCGATGGACCGCGACATCATCTATTCCAACGGCTGTGCCGTAGCACATCCTATAACTTGGGTTAGCCAGCAGATCTTCCCAGAAACAACAGTAATTGTAAAAGAAAAGGCTAGAGCTTGGTATCAGAGGTGTATTCTTGTTACTCAACATATGTCCCTTGCGGGATCATTCAGTTAAGCCATGCATTGAAGAACATTCATCATCAAGACATGCGGGGGAATGGTTAGGGCTTCTTGCCCATTCTTGTCGTACCTTTAGTGTCGAGCACGTCTGTTCTCCCTTGACGCGTGCTCTGCTTATTACCGTCTAGGTAGTCAAGCCATGTTCAGCTGTGCTCTTCTTGAGGTTCTCGTCGTGTGTTGTCGTTGAGACAAGGGGCTATACGAGGTCGTAAGTATGAAGGTTCGCAGGACAAACGGTCAGACATCGAGAGCAAAGTTAGGGGAGAAAAGGAAGATTCCTGAATGGCAAAGGATATTTAGCCGTGGGCGAATTACTCATACAGGTAGCGGTACCGATGCAACATCAACAGCGTCGTCACGCTGCAATTCTCTCAGGTAACTAGTCGCGTGACTTGCCGCCTGGCAAACAGCTGTCTTGCATAAGTTCTTCTTTACGGCTGCTCTAGTACACTCAATGCCAAGATGCGACGCAAATGTGGCCAGATGCATCAATCACCTTGCAGAGGCCTAAAAATAAAAGCAAAAGGCCCTCTCTTCTCTCCTGGTCCCATTCCCATGCAGTCACTCTTCGAGATGCAGACAGTCTAAACCTAGAACAACAACAACAATCATCGTCTATATACAAACTGTAAGATGGAGTGTTTTCGTCCCATTATGAGATCATCCCTCCTTCTTTCCCTTGTCTTATGAGTGTGTAACAGTAACCTCTTCCACGACCTTGAACGCCAGCGCTGTATAAATAATGTAAAGAATTGATCCTCTCACTCTGCTCTCTTCCTTCTTTTGCACACATCTCATGGGATAGCAAAGATGAAATTTGGATGTTGACAAACACTCGGCTTTCTACCTCTTCTTGTTTCGTCTGGAAAAATTCACACCTTTTATACCTTTACTGTACCTTGATGGTTCCGAGATCGCACCATCCATTGACAGGCTAGAATACGTTAGCTTATCGATTGGCAAAGTGACAGGGGGCCGCAAACTCACAAGACAACTAAGATACTTGCACCAGCTGCAAGTATTGCCAACCTTGTAAAAGTTGTTGATCAAAACAACAAAGACGACGATGATGACCACAAGAGCGGCCGCTCGAACAAGCCACCAGGCCCACCACAAAGGCTTCCGTCCCTTGAAAAAGCCAACTGGGTTCTTGTAAAAGGGAACAGAGCCCGGTTCCGCCGCACCAGGCACTGCTGAGTAAAATGGATCCGGACCAATTCTCCTTCGCAGAGAATTAGGAGAGTGTAAGACGCAGATACCCAAGACAAGGCCCATCAAGAACCCTCCAATGTGAGAAAAGTTGTCAAGACCAGGCAGCAGCCCGAGAACAAAAGATATAACCATGTCGATTATAATGAACAGGAGATCCTTGACCGGGCTTCGTCGCTCCTTCCACGAGTATAAAAGGTCAAGTAGAGTAAGGGCGATAATTCCAAAGAGAGAGCCCGACGCTCCAGTAGAAGCAATACCGGGGGCGGCATAATTTCCTCCCATGACGAAACCAAAGATGCCGGCGCTCATGTAGACGAGGAAAAATCGAATCGACCCAATTGCCATCTCCATCTCTTTGCCGATGGTGAGTTGCATAAGCAGGTTGAAGCCGATATGAATAAGCCCGGCGTGCATGAAAATCGGAATGATGAAGCGCCACCACTGATTGGGACTCGGGGACTGGTGCTCGTTGCCATCGAAAAGAGGATCCGGGACATTGCCGCCGAAGCCGCATAGCTCCGATAGAGGGCAAAATTGCGTGCTCTTGGTAGCGTTTGGACAGAGGAACAGCACGGGAATCGTGGAGCCTTGGATTTCCTTGATATTGTGCATGCAAGGTGGGAAACGGGCGCCCATGTTGATGAGGACCTGTGTCGATGGCCCGATCATTGGGTTGAACTGGGGCTTGATCATGATGGGAGAGCCCGTCAAAAGACCTACAAGATACCATGGTTAGAGCCGGTGTAGCAAATTAGAACTAGATAGTCGCGTGCGCTTACCATTCCGCACAATCTCAGCGATGAAGACGGCGACTTGCGCAATCGAGAAGATGTAAACTAGCCATGGGATGCGCTTCCTGTTGGAACCAAACATGCCCAGCTCGCCTACCCGAACCTTGCCTCGCTTGTCACGCCTCTGATTTGACTGTCCAGCCGGCGCGTCGTAAATGTGGTCAGTAGCCTCGGGAGACTTGCTCGTGTGGTCCTGCAGCGGAATATTCTCCGTCCTCGAGCCATAGTAGCCCGTGTCTTGGTGGTAGAATCCTTGTTGAGAGATGTCGCTGCTGCTCGCGCCGCCCGGCCCTGAGTTCGAATTCGTTGGGTATGCGTGATCGTCGAATACGGTATCAAACGGCGACGCACCTGTTTGGGGCTGGTGGTTCGGAGCGCCATATGGGCTCCCATAGTGAGCATCCGAATAGCCTGGGTTGTAGGCTTGTGGAAGCTCTGAATCTGACGGCGCGTGCGTACTGTCGTAGTAAGGGGCTGTAGGGTGGTTTGGAGGCTGCTGATTGCCGCCGTAGTAATAACTGTTGGCAGCCATGGCGAAAGAGCTGTCCAGCGGGCTCTGACGCCACGCGGAGGAGGAGAAGCGATGGAATTGAGGAGAGGCAAAGCGACGCCAAGGACAGGATCAAGTGACTGTCTTGTGGATGTCCTCAGAAGCGTTGTATCGTTAAAGGAGTGAGTTGCAATAGGTTCAGTGAATGGATGGATGCGTCCAAGATGCGGGTGGTACGAGGTATGAGATGTGTAGGAGGGCAGGAGAAAAGCGGCTCCAAACACTTTAGTACCTGTATGCCTTGCTTTGATGTTTGCCAGGCGATTACGTAGTGGATACGATGTGCGATGTACTGGTATTCCGTCGGCAGCGATTCGTACCAGGTCTACGGAGCTCAGACGCTGCAGAGGCCCCTGTCAGCCTGTGCACATGCAATGATTTGATGGATCAGGCCGTTAAATTGCCACTGAGCGGTGCATTGGCACAGGCTTGCCGGTGTTTCAGGCCTCGAGTCGCGGCGGGGCGTCTATAAGATGCAGACAAGATGAAACAAACGAAAGACTGGCAGAGGCTCGTCGTAAAGAGAGAAAAGAAACAAAAGGGCGACCAAGGCAAGGCAAGCAGCAGCTGATGCGTATTTCCTTATAAATAACCTTGAACCTCCCACCAACTAACCTCCGATCGAAAAATCCTACGGCAGTGGCATGCACAGCACGCTGACGTGGGTGGGCCCAGGGGGCTGGGCTGTGCTGAGCTGGAACTTGGCGTCGATCAGCTAGAAAATGACTGGATTGCTGTGGCGGCTTTGCTATTTTGGCCTGATTGTCCAGCTTGTTGCCCTTAACAGTGCTCTTAGCCGCACATCCTTTGACGGGATGGATGGACTTTGACGCCTTTTTCGCACCATGGCTGCTCATTCCGCCAGGTCTCACCAAAGCAGGGACAGGTCATCGGTAACAAATCAGCAGGTGCACACTTTGGGCATGAACAGTTGGAGGCTCTATCGAAACATCGATCCAGAAGTGTACAAGCAAATCGCACGAGGCCAATCACGGCCTTCTGTGTCTAACTAGGACACCCGTTGACGACAAATAGGTGGCTCAGACTGCATTAGTACTACTGCGATACGAACATCACAGTTGGTGCTGCTAAATCGCCCAGCTCTGATATTCGGCCGTGACGCCACAGTGCAAGGCGCTGCTGAGTACATACGTCCAGGCTGTAATAATGGGCCTCCGATTTTGATGATATATTTAGCAACTTCAGTCAACACCCCATCGACTACGTAAAGTTTGAGCGTCGAAACCGGGTGTGAAAGGCAGTTCTTTAAGTATCTGCGACTATAGCCATATTTTCTGAGGATTCACTACCATGACTATACTCGTCTAGTGTTTGGTACTATCACTAAGGTACCTATGGACAATTAAATTTACGACGAGAGATGCTGGATATCAAGCTTGGGGTGCTGAAAGGTAGGCATTCCTATTTTAAGCTTCAAATACCCTGTCCTATCCTATCTTCCCTTGTCAAATGCACTTTTTTACTCAATAAGAGATGAGTAATTATTTTTTTCTCCTCCTACTGCCCCTCATGGCTTTCGGTGACGCAGCTGCTTTGGTCCCTCGCACCCATCGCACCCATCACACCTTTTGAGTAATGAGACCCCTCATCGTCGTCATATCTGAGCCACGGTGCCTATCCAGTACATACATATTCATATCCATATCATACAATCATGCCACCCTACTAGTACAAAATCATTATGGAAAGATGCTGCATTGCATCGAAATCACCAACCAAATGCTGTAGACCCCAAGACTATTTCTTCTTCTCGCTCTGCGACTCGGCCAAAGTAGAATCATCCTTGTTCGCCTTGCCTCTCCAGTTGCCGCTCCACACGTCGGCAATCTGGTCAAAAATGATATCGCTCATGCCCTTGCCCTCTCGAAAGCTCTGCTTGTGCTCCTCAGCCCTCTTCTCTTTCCAGTCTTCTCCCTCGCCGCCCATCCAGATGTCCTTGAGCCGGCTTTTACCCTCCGACTCGGATGCTTTCTTCGCGGCCTCTCTCTCCCTCTGTTCCTTCAATAGCTGTTGGGTCCTCTTTGCGCCTTCTGGTAGCCCGGTATCAAATATTGAGCCCACGCGGCTTCCCATTCGTGCGTATATAGATTGGCCGGTGTACTCGTAGGCAAGTTGGTTTGTGCAGAGTGAGAATGCTCCCACCAGAACGAACATTCGGATGTCGGCCTTTCTAGGTGGCAGCAGCATCGCTAATGGAGTAATGATTGCTCCTGCAAGCGCTGAGTTGTGTATGAATTCATTTCGAGGTGGCAGCGGCGGTGTTTCGGGCTGTTGTGCCATTTTGCAATCTGCTAGGGTGTATTGGAGAGACCGACAAAGGATGCGTTTACGTGGTGTTGAGCTATCGATAGACTATTCGTATAATCGTGGACTGTCTAGCTTCTCTCGAGGAAATTGGGTAGCCTTGAGTGAGCAACACAGCTGAATGGAGTCGTAGATAGATGCAACGGCGATGATCAATTGAAGTATGCACATTGAAGCCGAGTGCTCGAATCATCGCAACTTTTCTGCGGGCCGGTGGCTGATCGTAGCCAATCAGATGGCCTCCTCCGCCAGCCTCTGGTGATGCCTACAAACACGCCGGTTTTTCAACTGCTTGGTACCTCTTTTGTAAAAGATACCAATATTCTGGAGAATGAACCAACATTCATGCAGCCCTAAGCTGCCTGTCTGAGCTAGCAAGTAATTCGTCGTACAATGCCTCGACTCTGCAGACCATTATCACACGGCACCAGCCAAAAGCACTCCGTAGAGTGGAACAGTTCTCAGCCGGCAGGTCGCCCTACGAGCTCAACACTACCCTAAAGCTATTAATACTGAAAAAAAAGCCAAGGTAGAGAACGGGGCCTGATAGCAAGTTGATCATGATTCTACAGGGAAAATCGGTGACGGCGTCTTCATCTATCTATAATTAGAACAATGACATCCATAGTGTCACTGCCTGCCGGGCAACTGGAGGATTGGTGTGTTCGAATCGGCTCTAGAGAGTCGAACCCTGTACCGACAAAGAAGATCCTGAGCATACCTACAGGAGGGTCACACGTGTCTAAAGACAGATTTTCCCTTGATCAGGCTTATCAACCTAGTAGGCAGGCCTTTCTTTTGTGTTTCCTACCTACTTGGAAACACTTTAACTCAAGCTTAGGCTGCCTTATATATTCTCTAAATTTCCCTAGCAGTGTGCGTTCCTAAAGTCACACAAGGCATCTCCGTCGACCAGTTGTGCTTACTGTCTGGAGAATTAATTGAGGCATGTCAAGCAGATACTTCTGGAATTGCTGTAATGATGGATGCAACCGTTGCATATGAAATAATTCCATAACCACGTCTCTGACGGAGTCGGACCAAGTTATACCGGAGACGATGAACGACAGCATCGGCTACGACAGTTTTGGGCTGACCGCAACAAGCTGGCTGGCCCCAAAGGGACTGAAGTGGCCACATGCAGCAGGTACATGCATACGGAGCAGAGCCGGAACGTACAGGTAGTGCATCCTACAGACGACAAGCTCCGGCAAGCTGCATGCAAAGAGGAGGTGAGCGAAAGAGGGGGGAATACGTGAGCATTTCGGTGCAACTTGGTGATGTATCGGCACAGACATGCGGTAGCTGTTTAGCACTGGCACAGGTACTTGCACAGTTATAGAACAATACAGCAAAGGCACAGAAGCAGACACCAACTTGAACCTGGATGAACCTCAACTGCAGTCATGTGGCTGCAGCGACACGTGGATTGTCAATCTTGCCTTGCCGCATGCTCCATCGATGTGTTGGTGTAAGGTCCACGGACAAGCAAGAGATCAGATTGAAAGTGCCGCTAAAGCGCGGTTTGGGCCAAATAGAGGCGCCTAGCGGCATCTTTGGAGGGCAGCATGCGTCTGAAATGGGCGATTCGGGGCCCTCCGCCGCGAACTAAAGTGCAACTAAACGTGTGCCGAGTTGGTGCGAGGTGACTTGAACTTTGGTAGCGCGGGTTAGGCGCTGTAGAAGGGGAAAGAGGAAAGATTCAGGTCGGCAGCATGGCAATAAAGGCGTCAGTTGACTTTGATTCTTTGAGGGCATCCCCACCATCCCAACGGTCGATGCTGGTACATGACGACGAACAAGGGAGTACAAGAGGACAGCCGCGTCAAGTCCCCATCGGTAACGTATGATGGCAGTGGCCCATCTGACATCTTGTTCCTTGTCAAACTCTATGTTGGACTGCCTTTGCTCACTGACGGTCCGTATTACGTGTGGTGGTTCTCTTGTCTCATATGGGCTCGACTTCGTGGAGACATCCATTGGCGGCACTTTGACATCCATGGCCATTTATCCGCCTGTCAGGCAAGTACAACGAGTAGGTAGCCGGCTAGTATTGCTACCTCAGTTAGTGGTGCGATGGCGTCTCCCGGTAGTGTCGAAGAGACCCCGGTGATACCTGCATGCCGTCAACTGCCACTCAGCATTGCACGCAATGCACGTCCCTCCACCGCCCCGACAAGCTCATCGCCAGTTCATCCTGGCGGGCGTTGCCACGATGCATCGATTCCATTGCATGCACATTAACGCACCTGTCACCGGCTGTCGCCCAAGTACCGTGTACCTGTCCGGTACTAACTGCCAGAGACCCAACGGCTTCCATGTCGATATATTGCTACCAACGGCCACTACGGGACTGGTTAGGCTGGGTCCGGTAGCATTTATTTCCTTGTATTCCCACTGCGCCGTACTGTACACCGCATTGTACTCCATACATGTAATCAACAACCTACCGAAGCAGCCCTGTCTGGGCTATGGGGGACCTGCATGACGGCGGCGGCATGTGCATACACGGTTCCATGTTGTCAGCGACTCTGCGTCTGCGTCTGCGTCTACGCCTACGTCTGTGTTTGTGTCTGTCTGTCTGCGGCTCCAGCATGAATTGGCCGGTGGACCTGGTGATTTGGCTGGCGCATTCGAGCCGTCCAAGGCTGCCCCGGTATGCCCTGCCCTGTACTGCAGTGCTTGCTCTCTCATAGGTACAGTACTCGTACACTCCTCGCCTCGTTTTTACCTCTTGGCCTGTTGTCTTGTTATAATTTCCCTTGGTTTCCCCTCTCATGCACGTCTGTCTCACCTCCTCCGCTAGGCTCTGGCTCTGCGCTGTACGAGTACGGGCACCAGGATCGAGGATCGAGGCACTTGTACTTGTACCTTGAAGCTCTTGTACCTGAGTTGTATCACAATAGCGGCATCCGTTGTCTCGCCTCGACTCCACTCTACGGGCTAGGTAGCTTCGCTACGACGGCAGCTACGACCTGCTAGGCGCATAGCTTCCCGTCAATTGACCTATACTGATAAGAGTGGTCGCCTCCCCGTTTAACAAACCCCCGCCATACGTTCCCCCGAGTCTTCAATACTTTATTTTTTTGCTTCTTCTTCCTCTTCTTTTTGTCTCTATTTCAGCGAACCGGTCGCAGATTTTACCGCCTGTATGACGCTTCGTTAGCTGTACAATCCCCACCTGCGCGGGCTCTCTCTCACCTTCCTCTCCCTCCATCCTTGCCATGGCTGCTCCTGGCCCCGGGCCGGCGGCTACGGTCTCGGCTGAGAACTCATACCAAACTCCAGCCGCGACTCCAACGGGCTCTCCCGATCCTGACGGCATGGAGCCATCGTCGTCTTCGAGTAGCATTGGCCTGTCCATGGCTTCAGCCATTGGTCGCGACAATGGCAGCGTCAGCGGCAGTGGCAGCGAAGCGCCCAAAAAGCGAAACCGACGAAGCAATCCCAAGGTCAAGACGGGATGCTTGAATTGCAAGTAAGAACATTTGAACTTTGACGTAGCCATGGAGTGTATAGCTTCTTATTATCATTACGACCATGATAATCCTCCTGCTTCCCTTTCCTCACTGCTCTCTCCTCTCTTCACACCCCTAGCACCTCATCTCGGACAAACCGCTAACAAGCTCCGTCTACAGACAGCGGCGCATCAAGTGCGATGAGATGCGTCCAGCTTGCTCGCAGTGCGTCCGCAGCAAGAAGGAATGCACTGGCTATCCGGCGCCCAGCCGCGGGACCAGGGCTGCCCTTGATGTCCGCATTGCTCCGAAGCCTTTGGTTGCCGCATCGGCTGGGTTTCAACATCTGCAGCCGGCACCAAGCACTATTGCGAGCGCTTCAACTTCAACCACCGCCAGCCTTTTGCTCACAGGTCACACCATTATGCTCCCACCTCGGCGTGTCAACCGTCGCAAACGGCAGGCCAAACCTCTCGCCTCCAATGCCACCATGCCTTTTGTGTATGAGCCATCTCACAACTTGGCCTTGATGCATACCGAAAGCCTGTATTTTGATCTTTTCCGAGTTCAGACGGCTTCAGAGTTGTCTGGGTACTTTGATTCGACCTTTTGGACACAGCGCGTTCTACAGGAATGCCATTTCGAACCGTCCATTCGACACGCCGTCGTGGCTCTTGGTGCCTTGTATAAGACGCTTGAACAGTCTTGCGAACCGGACTCGACACCGCTACCTGGTGCTATGAGTCGGTTCGACTCAGTCATGTGTCATTGGCAGGTTGCTGTTAGGAAGTATTCGGAAGCTTGCAATGCCATGCTGCATCTCAGCGGTAACAAGCTGGCAACCAACAAGACCCGTCTGATGGCCAGCGTCTTGTTGGCCTGTTTTGACTCCTTTATCGGTGATCATCGGCAGGCCATTGTCCAAATTCAAACGGGATTAGGGCTCCTGGCTCGGATTCAATATGATCGGACGCAAGCCCCTCAGTCCAATGAACGGGTTGAAGAGGACCTGCTAATAATTTTCACACGATTGGCAATTCAGGCCAAATCGTACGACATGGCTTTCCATTTTCCCCATCCATATGTGATTCAACTGGGCCCTCAGAGCTTACAAGACCCATCCTCACCCCTCTCAGATATGGGTTCACCTCAGCCATCCAGGCTCATACCCCATCAATTTTCATCTTTACGAGAAGCTCGCCTGGCTTCAGATCAGCTCTGCGAGATGTTGCTGCGATTCATCGAACACTTACAGCATGCTAAAAAAGAACCTTCTTACACTTTACCTCCATCCTGGAGGCAATTAGGTGCCACATTCCAGGGCCAAATTGACTCGTGGTCAGAGGCTTTTGAACCCATCTTCCAATCACGGCTGCAACCTGGCATGAATCTCTTGGAGAAATCGGGCATAGCAGCCTTGAAAATGTTTCAGATCAACACAAATGTCATATTCTTGACGATTTTCTGCGATGCCGAGGTTCAATTTGATGGTTTCCTCCCCCATTTCAAGGCCATTGTCAGTCTAGGCTGGGAGATAGTTGGCGATGACGAGAAGCGAGCGGCTACCGAGCGATGCCCCGATCCACAGAGGTGCAAACAGCAACACAGCACACCACTGCCTGCGTTTAGGGCAGGAAAATACACAGCTCATCATATCAAACCCAGCTTCTCCGCAGACCTTGGAATTGTACCGCCGCTCTTTGTCGTGGCTACTAAATGTAGAGAGCCGAACGTCAGGCGAGAAGCAATCCAACTTTTGAGGAGCAGCGCTCGGCGAGAAGGCATGTGGGACAGCGAGCTGACTGCCAACATTGCTCAATGGATTATGGAGGTAGAAGAGTCCGAGAATCCTTTTCCTGAGATGAATCTTCCTGGTGGGTCAACGCAGGCTGTTCTCCCAAGCCGAGCGATTCCAGAGGAAAAGAGGATCATGGTTCAGTCTGTTGATTTCGATTTACGGGAGAGATTCGCTCAGCTCACTGTGGGATCTCGAGATTTGCGCCAGGGGATGAAGGACCGACGACACAAAGCGACCCGAATCACATGGTGAAGACCACGCATGCGCCCCTCTTTGCTCACGCCTTTTTACTATTCTTTTTTGCGATTTCTTTGCTATGTCAACAAGTTATGAATATTTATGTCAAGGTTCTTTGGGGGAGTATCGGTCATGCTGTTTTGGATTGTCTGGATAAAGACGTAATGATGATGAGTGGTAATGTTACTATGAGGACCATGAGCTATATTTCTTTTCTCCTATGTCTTCTTATCTTTTGGAATTTTTTTTTTTTTCTTCCCCACTTTGGGTTTCGGTTGAGTTGCATGATCAAGGCGAATATCTGCTATTTATTTATTGATCCATCTTTTTCATATATGGCAAGTTTTGGAGGTTGAAAACAGAGATATGAGCTCACGCAACAGGATTCAAGGTTGATACACATAAGAAGCAACAAGATTTTCTTATACAAGTGCTGGGTATTCTATCGAAAAGAGGATTAAAGTAGTATTAATATACCGGCGGTTTTTTTCTCTCCCTGGTGTCATGAAAAATCCAATCCCGCTTTTGTGATCATTTCACATTCCGCTGCTGTGCTAAATAGGTTACCGTTATTACGCTTGTCCAGATCTAAATGGGCGGCAGATCCTCCCTGCATATCGGGCATTGCAGCCGGAACTTCATCCAGCTCTCCAGACAAGGGGTGTGGAAGATGTGGCGGCAAGGGGTCACCATGTACATTCTCCTGGAAAACACCCCCGTCACGCTCATGTCTTCTTCTCCCGCCTTGACGACGGGGACCTCGAGCACCTCGCGGCAGATGGCGCAGTCGATAGCTCGCGTGGTGCCGTCGCCGGGGCGAGCTTTATCTCTGTCCTCGCTACTGCGTCGGCGATCACGGCCCGGGCTGTCTTCGGCACTAAGGCCAATAGGTAGGCCCCCGGCCTCGACATTGTCTTCTCTGAGGACGGGGTGATAGTCCCACGCATCGGGCATCCATCCCTTAGGTATGCCGAATCGAGGCCCAACAGCATCTTGCGTAGCGAGCACGAAAATCTGCAGCCAGACCCAAAGACCAAGCAGGGCAAAAGCACGGGGTTCGGTCCTTGTGAGGAGGAAGTTGTCCGGCTTGAGCCAAAAGTATGCCAGTGGAAGTAGACGGAGGAGGGACTGGCCGATGACAAACTGCCACTTGAGGGCGCGGCGGCAATTGCGGATGATGTTGCGATATATCTGGGGGATCCACATGGAGAGATAGACAAAGGCACAGATGTTGAGGAACCATGAGCGCGCCGTCATGTACCATGCTATGGATGAGACGCTGATGAACATAACAAGAGCACCCACGAGGACAAAGCGGCCCATAAGCGATTGAAACGTCGCAGTTTGCGTAGGGGGTACAATCGGCCTCGCAGCAGTTGGAAGTGCGCCAGGCACGGCTGAAGCGCCATCCGCGATGCTGGCAGCGGCACCTACGTTAGCAGCGGCCGGATTGCCGAGGCCACGCCCTGCTGTTACCGGTCCGGGAAGGATTGGGCCCGTTGCCGTGCCCGTGCGATTTGGCGTTAGCGGTGCCGATGAGGCCGTACTGGCCGATTCGCTGTTTGGACTGGTTGTTCCTTGAGGCCCTTCTCGACGAGCTCGAGGCTGTGGTGTTTGAACCTCGTGAATCTTAGCCAGTAGGCTGCCCCCTATGGTCATAGACATAAAGGACGCAAACGTGAGCGTCAGGGTCGGCAAGAAGGTATACTGAGCCGTAGCAACCCACGACGCCGCCGCGCTGAAAGTCATGCCATCGGCAATGAGCATCATACTAATTGTCCAAAAGCTGGCTCTTCCAAGAGTGGACGGGGTATACGTCTCCTTCATTTGGCCCTTGAGCAAGATGACCTGGCCAAACATCATCACCGCGTATGCGAGCAGCCAATGGTTGATGCTGCTGATCTGAACCTCAAATTTCACGCCGAGGAGGTGGTCGGCCTCGCTCCGAGGGTAATCTGGAGGCCCCTTTGACTCCATGAAGAGGCCGCAGTCAGGTGAATATATCACCGCCGACATTTGGAGCTTTGGGATGTGCTTGATGGGCGCCCCGAGTGGAGATTCCAGCTCTGACTCGATGGCTTGCAACATCTCTGCCATGTTCTCTCCCTTGGGAATGGCAGACCCGAGACCCAGGCTCTGTCTGCTTGGAGGATGGGTTTGAAGATACATGACATATTCGCAATGTGGAGAGGGATGTCGGGTGTGGAGAGGACTCTCAAAGTTGGATTTCCATGGTATGCTCTGGTCGGAATAGATGTTCTTCTCCTTGGTAATTATAGTGTGCTCGAGGGATTCGTTCAGAAACCGCTGGCTGGACTGGAAATAGTCGGGCCCAGGTGTCAGATGCGGTAGCCCAAAGACGCCATCGAATTTCTCGCTCGTTGTCGTCATCATGATAACGCCCTGCCGTGGCCAATGCACCCCAAAAAGAACCATCTCCCAACTCAGTCCTGATCCCTCTGTGTCTTCAAACGTCACCACGGCCTTAACATTGCGTATCAAGCCTCCAGAGAGGGGAGCATCGGCCGTGGAGAGCTGCTCGTATTCGGCCACCGTCTCGTTGCCCGTCAGTCGTACTTGGATCCTGCCAGTACTGCCGGTTACGTTACGAGCCCAGTCAGTTTTATCTCCGATCCAATGCATAGAAGGCACGCTTTCGCTGAGATTGTAGCTTTCGTATGTCCTCGGGATTGTCTCCTGGCGTCGCACCCACTGTCCCAGAAGAACCCCCGAAGCATTTGCCCATACCGGCTCCCCCTGTGCAACATCCCAGAGCTGCTCGCCGCCAACCGCTGGCATGGCATGGCGGCTGAGCTGCAGACCTCTTTCACGAAACCGGCCCAGGTCCTGCCACGACAAGTGGTCTTTCTCTCGGAATCCCGTCAGGTTGACGTATTTGGGGCTCGCGTGATCGCCATCGCCCTCCTCCACCAGGGGAGCAAAATCTCCCCAGCGCGTCGTGTTCAGCACATCGAGGGATGCGCGATAGTGCTCAAGGCGTGAGACAACGAGATCCGACAACGCTATCGACTGGCTCTGGTACTCGCTGCCCGGCAGCATCCACCAGAGGATGAAGATGATGCCGAGGACCCTATAGGCGGGGAGTTCCGGCAGTGGCATGCTGCCCAGCGCAGTGGTTGAGGCCGCGGATTCGGCTATGCCGCTATCATGATAATTTGTCGCAGATATTCCGAGGACAAGGATTGCTCGGAGTCGACTCGGCGCGGGTGCTGGGGATCGAAGCTCGCAGGGAAGATGGATAGTGTATGATGTAGAGTGTAGATGTCGTCAACCAACACCAAGCTGGTAAGAAGTTAGGTACTGTATGGAGTGACGAAAGGTCAGCGACACCCGAAAGCTCCCTCGAAATGAAACAAAGCGCCGCGCTAGCTTGTGGCGGGGCAGCGAGCTTACAGGGGACGCCTGCAGCGATTGATGCCGCTACGGGGCCACTGAAGCCCGCTGTCACAGAGCCCCCGTTTTAGGGCCAGCACGCTAAAGCCAGTCTCCGCCTAGCACGACTTTCGGAGAACAAACGGAGGGGCCCAGCATGTACTCGTGCTCTTCATTCCTGTGAGCAAACTCTCCCCCTTTCCTTGGAAGTCAAACTCGAACTGAAACAGGCCGACACAGAGACTCTTCGGATATATAAGCGGCATCACAGCCCCCCGCAGCTTCGAGGGAGGGGAATTCAGCAGCTCGTCTTTTACGTGACTCTCGCCACTGCCCGCCGAAAAAAATCAACAATCACACGCATCGTCTCATCTCATCTCACGTCAACATGGCATCAAATCGTGACTCTATCGCTTCAAACCCGGCGCCTGTATGTCTACTCTACATTTCACCACTTGCATTATATCGGGGACTACGAGCCAGCCTGTATCATTTGCAATCACGCCTATGATTTCAGCGGCCAGACCGGGTCTCAAGAATGCCACCACATCTGCTGCCAGATGATCCAGTTACAATCATGGAGCAGGCTAACCAAGCTTATACAGGCCAACGAGGACAGCAGCGCCGATGTTACAGCCGCTGTTGAAGACCTCTTGAACTCCTTGTCCAACAAATTTGCTGGGGTCTCATCTGAGATATTCGCCAAGAGTGAGTAGCCACCACGGCGCCAAGGTTAAAGTATAAATGGCTTCACTCATACTAACACGATGCAAGTGGACGAAATGTCTCGCCGGCTCGATAACCTTGAAGCGGCACTGTTAGAAAGCAAAAACAAAGAAGCAGGCTCCGCACCCAAAACTTCATGATGGAAAGAAATAGGATATAAATTGAGCTACGCAAAGCTCATCTAGGGATCAGAGCCCGTCAAAATGGTACGGAGTTTTGGGAGGAAATGGTTGGTTATCTGTAGCTTCATTATGATGCATTTGTCTTGATAGCTGTAAACTCAGGGTTCATACAATTTATGATGCTTTCATCGCTTGAGAGTAGACAAATGTTTTCTTTCTTTCTTTCTCTTTCTCTCTTTTACTCTTTCACTCTCTGTCTTTCTCTGCGTCTCTCATCAATGTCCAAGTGGTTTATTTAGCTTACAGCTCGTCCCTCTCATCCTTGGGGGTAAACTTGTTCAAGACGTTGACCTTGACCTTAAGCTCATCCCGCTTACCAGTGGCAAGGCCACCCTTGGCCAAGATGCCCCGAAGTCTGGTGAGCTCCTTGTTGACAAACTTGGCATCCTTGTTCAGCTTGTCGAACACGCGGACGTAGTACTCGGCGAATTTGGCCTCTGCGCTGCCCTTGAGCTTGGCAACACCCTCCTTGATCTCACTAACGGCTTCGGTCAAGGAAAGACCACCGAGGAACTTGCTCACGATGGTGTCCAGGGGAGCAACAGTGCCAGCAACGTCGCTCAGCTCGCCACCCTCGGTGCGGAAAGTGCCGGCCTTCTCGTTGACGAACTTGAGGATGTCGCTCTCAGATCGGCCGCCCTCGTAATCAGTAGGCTTCTTGCTGCCAGCGGGGAACCAGTAGATGGTGGGATAGCCGGTGATGCCAAATTCTTCCGCAACAGCCTTGCTGTCAGCGCCCTCGGCATCGACCTTGGCAATCACAACGTTCTCATCACCAGCAAAGTCGTGGGCAACCTTCTCCCAGGTAGGGGCCAGGTTCTTGCAGTCTAGATGAAGCAGCACCAGTAAATACCAAACGTCACTTGATCAAGGGGTCAGGGACTGCACTTACGGCCACACCAAGGAGCAGTGAAAGCAACCAGCACGTTCTTGTCGCTTCCAACCGTCTCATGGAAGCTCTTGTTGTTGAGCATAGCAACGCTGCTAGGCAGCTCACCCTTCTTCTTAGGCTTGATACCAGTCTTCTCAGTGATGAAGGCAGTCAGGCTGTCCAAATCACGGCCCGACTTGTACTCCTGCGGCTCCTTGCTCTTGCCATCGAAGAACTTCAACGTGGGGAATCCCTGGATACCAAATCGCTTTCCGAGATCCCGCTCGGAGTCGGCATCGACCTTGGCGATCTGGACCTTGTCCTTGGCAAACTCGTAGACCTGGGCCAACTCCTCGTACACGGGAGCAAGGTTCTTGCAGTGGCCACACCAAGGAGCAAAGAACTCGACAAGCGTAGGCTTTCCGGAGAAGACGAGCTTGTCAAAGTTGGAGGGGATCAGGTCGATAACGGCCGATTTGGCAGCCACCGAGCTGGCCAGGACGGCCAGCACGAGGCTCTTGATCAAAACCATGACGTATTAGGCAAGGCAAGATCTAGTATGTGGATGTTGGATGGGAAAAGATGTGACCGGGTATCAACTGAAGTGGGAACAAAGTGCTATAATTGATGGGTAATTGCTATGACCAGCCAGAAATACCACTTATAAAATAACCACAGCGGCGAGTCACCTGAAATAGTGCTTTGAAATCAAGGGCATAAAAAGAGGACAGCTTGCTCCAAGTCCAGGTATGGTTGGTTCAGGCAGTGGCGGGGAGCTCGGCCTGCGATTAGTGGGCTCACCTCACCGAGGGATGGATTCGCCCCCAAGTCCCCACTGGAGCTCCCTCGCCATTGTTTATCATTTTCCTTCAACGGTTTCACGTGAGGATAAGCGCATCACGGGAACATGCACGTGACACCACCAAATTTCCCCCTTTGCCCTTTGGGATTTGGTGGCCCGCTTCGGCCGGGGCTGACAACCCTCCAATCGGTTGAAGCATAGACCATAGCAAAATTCACACAAAATTTCAGCCCACTTCTGCCCTCGCGAAATCACCATCTTGCAACACCACAACCGCAATCATGTCCCACGAAAGCGTCTGGAACTCGCGCCCGCGAAACTACGGCAAGGGCTCTCGCCAATGGTATGACGCCCCGATGCTACCCTCTATTTTCTGAGCTTGGGTTGTTCTCTTCCCTTGCACGACTTCAAGCGAATGTCAAAACTGGGAGGATGGGAAAAAATGGGCGAATCGCGAAACAAAATTCACAAAGAAGCCGACCGCTAACTGGATCTTGTTTTTTTCATTATAGCCGCGTCTGCAAGCACACTGCCGGTCTGGTCCGCAAGTACGACCTCAACCTGTGCCGTCAATGCTTCCGTGAGAAGGCCAAGGACATTGGTTTCCACAAGGTGAGCATCCAGAACCAACCAATAAGAGCTAGGGAGAAGGGGAAAATATGCAAAGGGAATAGAGAAAAGGGAATCAGGGAATACGATTTTTGAGAAACAGCAGCTAACGTGTCTTCGTTTCTTACAGTACCGATAAAGGAGTTGTATGGGGGCTTCCGAGGGGGGCAAGGGATTGACGGATGCGTGCTGCGTTTTTGATGGCCACACACAAAAAGCACTCGGAGGGCGGCCGCCTGGAACCGGAGTTTAATGGATGGCTTGGTTTTAAGGAAAGATCGTGCGTCTGACGAACATCCTCCGAGGATAGACGAATACCATTGCATTCGAAAAAAAATTCATACTGCTGTCCGCTCTGTTGGTGTGCTTTTTGTTTATGCTGGGAGATGACGAGATGAAGACCTATGAATGCCATGGACCGAAAAGTTTTTTCTCTCTCTTGATTCATGTTGCAGCTCTCGTAGGCTGTCTCACCGCAGTGACAGGCATTTATTTTGGCAATGCAGGATGGGCATATTTTGAGTGATTTGGCCCGCGATATTACATCCTAGCCACGCCCCTTACATTGTCTCCCTAAATGTCTCCCAAGACCAGGCGGTTTACAATCTGGACCAAGTAAATTCAGAAAAGGGTTTTTATTTGCATTTCTATTTCTGCCTCCAACCCTCCCGTCTAAAGTACATCATATATCGAGACATTAAGGAAGAAGCAAAGCGGAGATTTTTTGTGCCCACTTCCTCCTACAACTTATACACGAGCTCAATTTGGCTCAAACGCGGGAACCTGTGACCAATTTTTTAACATGTGCATTTCTTGGATGCATCTGGCCCCGTTTCCCAACCGTTTTTGGTTTTGTTTTTCCGTTCCAACAACTCCACGCTGTTCCAGGGTTGTTTTTTATCGTTACATTTACTGAATGATGCGGGTGACCAGACCAGTGGCCACGGTCCTGCCGCCCTCACGGATGTTGAATCGCTGACCGGCCTCAATAGCGTTGGGGTTGGTCAGGGTGACAACCATTTCGACGTTGTCACCGGGCATGACCATCTTGCCAGCAGCATCGGCGGTACCCTCAGGGAATGTCAGGTCGACAGACTCGTCAGAGGTACGCAGGTAGAGCTGAGGTCGGTAGTGCTCGTGGAAACCGGTGTGACGGCCACCTTCCTCCTTGGTGAGGACGTAGAGGGAGGCGAGGAACTGCTTGTGGGACTTGACAGTGCCGGGCTTGCAGACGACCATACCACGGCGAACATCCTCACGGCGAATACCACGGATGAGGAGACCAGAGTTGTCACCGGCCTGGGATTGCTCGCAAGACTTCTTGAAGGTCTCGATATCGGTAACCTTGGTCTTGATGGGATCGATTCCCTTACCGACAAGCTCGACTTCCTCGTCACGCTTGAGGACACCGCGCTCGACACGGCCGGAAACGACAGTACCACGACCGGAGATGGAGAAGACATCCTCGACAGACATGAGGAAGGGCTTGTCAAGGTCACGCTCGGGGGTGGGAATCCACTCGTCGACAGCCTTGAGCAGCTCGTCAATCTTCGACTCACCAATCTCAGGCTTCTGGTTCTGGAGAGCCATCAGGGCAGAGCCCATGATGACGGGGGTCTCGTCTCCCTCAAAGCCGTAGGTGGTGAGGAGCTCACGCATCTCCATCTCGACAAGCTCCAGCATCTCAGGGTCGTCAATGGCATCAACCTTGTTGACAAAGACGACAATCTTCTGGACACCGACCTGTCGGGCAAGCAGCAAGTGCTCACGGGTCTGGGGCATCTGACCGTCGGAGGCAGCAACAACAATGATGGCACCGTCCATGTTGGCAGCACCAGTAATCATGTTCTTGATGTAATCGGCGTGACCAGGGCAGTCGACGTGGGAGTAGTGGCGGTTGTCTGTTGAGTACTCAATGTGGGCGGTAGAAATGGTGATACCTCGCTTTCGCTCCTCGGGGGCCTTGTCAATGGCGCCATACTCAAGGAAGTTGGCCAGGCCCTTCTCGGCCTGTCGCTTGGTGATGGCAGCAGAGAGGGTGGTCTATAGTTGCGGAAACTGGTCAATATAAAATCGCTTTGACATTGGTCTTGTAAGAGGCTGTAGCGAACTAACCTTTCCGTGATCGACGTGACCAATAGTACCTATAATGGAACCTCTGTTAATATCAAATTTCTTTGACGATTCAAGCCAAAAGGCGTCGTACCGATGTTCACGTGAGGCTTGGTTCGCTCGAAAACAGCGTACGTGCGAGCGATGTTAAGAACACCAGCGGCACTTCGGTTGTTCTTGAGCGCAGCCTGCAGCGGGTTGATGCTGCCGGCCTTGAGGCCATGCCGGGCCGTCCGCAGGAACGGGGCAATTGATCTGAATGCAGTCGACATGTTGCGCCGCTGGTATGAAATACACAATGCCGGTCCAAAGAAGAGAAGGGGAAGAAAAAAATATTTGGACGGTGGGGGAGGGGAAAATTGCACAGCGCCGGATCAGGCGTTCTGGGGTGAGTGCCGACGAAATTTTTGTGAGCTCACCAGCATTGAGAGCTTTTGCGCTATGCCGATTGGAAACATGCTGCCGTAGAGAGAGCGTCACGTGATTGGTCACTGTATTTTACACGTAAAGACAGCCAGATGGGTACCTATAAAATCATAATGCACAGAGACAACAACATCTTCTACAATGAACCATTCATTGATGGTACAAATCGCATTTCAGAATCCATAGGACAGGAAGCCTATTTATTGGGTATCTATACTTTTTCAAGTTTCTGCTGATATAGGAAAGGGGGCAATATTAAAAAAGCGCGCAAGTGTCTACACGGCGACGCCGTAAAGGCTTGGTTGCGGATGAGCGCTGCGGTCAGGAATTCTCGGAGGCCAAAGGACTTTTTATGAGTCGCCCAATGAATGAAAATCAGATTCTGCAAAACCCAATCATTCAATAACAACACGATAAAATTTAAAAACTCAACTATCGATTATCGTACTCGATTCTCAATTCAGCCTTTGTAGTTGCATCTACGAGAAGCTATTACTATTGTACGGCCTCTAAATGGCGCTCCATCGGGCCAATCGGGCCCGCCAGGTCCAACCGGCAGCCTCGGAGAAATAGTCCGGGGCACGCCGTCTTCACTAAGGATTTTGCCGTTGTCGGTGTCCAACAAAAACTTCCACCCGCCCTCTGGAAGTTTGCCTTTTGAACTCTCAACGTAACTTCTCATTGCCTACAAAAAGCTTGTCTTCCCTCATTTCTCCCGGAAAGCATATTCCTTATAAACTACTAGAAGAGGCTGCCTTCATCCGCGCGACATACATACATCCCCTTGGATAAAAAATCCTCGCCTACCTACTGCAGCAAAGGCTCTGCATCTTTTCACCCTTCTGCACCCCTTTTATGAGAATTACACACGCTTGATACTATGGACTCTCAATCACAGCAGCAGGACGGTACCGGCCAGGCTACCCTGAATGCATTGGGCTCTGTTGTGTCCCAATTGTCCCAGTACGGCCAAAATGCCTCCAACAACCTACAAAAGAGCTTTACCGACATATCAACACACGGCTGGCTTCGGCTCGTCATGATCGTCTGCACATACCTGCTGATACGGCCACACATCCTCAAATACTCTACCAAGCACGCTGTGAAGACGCTGGAAAGGCAGGATGAGCAGGACAAGGCGGCGGCCAAAGAAGCGGTGGCCAAAATGTCGCCCAACGAGCTGCGTGGCCTGAACGCCGGAGCAGAGATTGATGTGGATGCGGATGAACACGCCGATGGAACCAGTGCTGACTGGGGCTCTAAGGCACGAGTCAGGCAGAGGAAGATGCTGAGGAAGATGCTGGAAGCCGAGGAGAGACGACGATACGAGGAGGAATCTGACGAGGATATCCGGGACCTGCTGGAGTAAGCACGGGCAGACTGGACGGCCAGCAAAACGACCATGGGATGTGATTAGCCCCGTGCATTTACTTCCAGGGGCGACTTGTTCTACGCATGCCAAACTGTCGAGGAATCATGATGGGGTTGTGCCTAGGAAACATTGGGTACTCAAAAAAGGCGGGCTGGATGGATGTGGCCAAGGTGGCCTTATCACGCATTACTTTTGCAACTGTTTATACCTAATTCACGCGCTATGATCTGATGAGAGTGGTGCAATAATAACGACGGACCTAATACGACAATTAATTAATACATATTCATATACGAGCAACATGGCGCCGTAGACATTGTGACCTTTGAATCGAGATGCTGTTCCGCGTATGGAGTTTTCCCGAGTAGGTAGGTCGCTTCCAATTCCCATAAGAGTTTAGAGGCGTATTATGCAGTAAGTGGCATTATGGAGACTTTGACCGTCCAAGTAGGCATTTGATGGGAAGGCCTATTCAGCACCCAACTTTGCTATCCAGCATCTCGTGTTGCAGATAATATCGAATACTAGGCAAATCTTATTATAGAAGTAGATCTATTTAACCAATTCCCATTAGAGTATACAAGCGCGAGTCGATGCAGTAGGTGTGGCATTGTTATGGAGACTTTGGCCATCCAAGTAAGCATTTGGATTGATTGCAACTGCGCCTCCAAAAGAGCCTCACGGCAAAGCCCCACCGCAGCAATTCTTATACTTGGAGTGTGTTTGACTCGGCGGCCTCGCCACAGCACAACACAAGCAAGCTTCTCGCCGCAGTAGACAGCAGGTTTTGATGGCAGAATACATCCAGACAAACCTGGCAATGTGTCAGATGGCCAGAGACACAACTTCGATGCTGATCACCGCTTGCACCGCAAAACCAAAGTTACCCTTTACCCTGTACGTCACCTCACAGGGCATCGGCGAATAGAATGTCGGGCGGGGAAGTATTGACACACAAGATAGAGGCCACCAGAGCCCGCGGTGTTCACAATTAGCACTCCAAGAGACGAACTAGGGCAAGCTGCATGATTCGTCGAATCACAGTGTGGCCAGCTTGGCGCATAAGGATGTGGTGGTCCAAGAATGGGGGCACATCAACAATCTGGGCAATGCTGGTCTCAGTTTCACAGCTGTTAGTTGTAGCAGGCGAGCCAACTCAATCGGCCACAGCTCGAGCCTTGACAGGCACCAGACACGGGACCAAGTTCTAGTTCTCCGCATCCAGCGAAACTCTCATTAACCCCCATGCACAGCCCTGTCAGATATACACGGACGCATCCGAAGCGGCGTTGATTGATGGCCATTTAGGCATCTCGAATTGTTTGGTAGGGTAAGGGTTGGGCACGAGTGGCAACAAGGTGCAAGGCTCAGGTACTTACAGGTACCCAGCAGGCAGTTATAGCACTCGGGACCCCTCAAAGCGGGCCGCTAGGCCGCTAGAATAAAACAGCCCAGACCCCACCACGATGTCATTTGATGGCCTCCAGCTCGGATCGTCTTAAAGCACAGCACCGCTGACGTCTGGTGGGTTTTCTGCCAAACCATCCTGACCCTCGTCTTGCACCAAGATTTGCTGTTTACTCTCCAGAGGCACGCTGCTGTGGGTTTTTACCAGCTTGGCCTGCGGACCTCTACCTCATCATTGGATCTCGATACGTGCTCCTGTCCAAGCTCCATCGTGGGCCCTGCGACGCTACTCACATTGGGCCTCTGGCCGACCAATTTCGGCGCGTCGCATTCACGCCCTGGCCTGGCATCCAACAGAGCCTGTCGCTGGCCTCTTCACCTGGGGATCTGGGATATAACATCTAGCGACAGGTCAAAATGAGCAACTCCCTCGACATACATGAACTGCTCCAGACGGGGTTCTTCACCACGTCTAGAGCAAAGCATGGCCATTCGTACGTGCTGCGCTGATCCATGGCTGCCTTCCTGCACCTCATTTGGAGACTAATAATGACCATGTTAATCCACACAGAGCATCCGTCGATTCTTCGACTCGCCCTGGGCGCCTATACGAGTCGACATACGAGTCGACTGAGCCACCTGTGTCTCGTGTAGCACCTCGATACTACGACGACATTCCCTATCGGCGTCGCTCACTGCTGCCTCCGCCCACTGTCGAGGATGAAGCTGAGTCAATCGCGAAGGAATTCGGCGGCCGCGTCGAGCCTGTCTTGGACGAAGAGCCCCAATCAAGAGGAGAAGTTGACCAGCAGCCACTCATGCTAGAAGTCCATGAGTACAATCCTGAACGTCGCTTTGTTATTGTACCAGGATCGGTCAAGCCGAGCACTTCAGAGAGAGTGTCTGATGACAGCGCATCCAGAGATAAGCTTCGCCAGGAGAAGGAAAAGAAGAAGGAGAGAAAGAAGGCATCCGCGTCTCCTTCGCCTGAGGCATATACTCGAAGAACGAACGAACCTGAAAAGAAAGACTCCGATCGCCTTGACGACGCTGCCCCAAGGCTAGAGCGACGTAAGAGTAGGCAAGATTTGCCTCGGCTGGAGACAGATATAGACGAGGACCGGGTACCAAGTCACCACCGGAGCAAATCTGCTGCCAGTGGCGTCCGCCCAGAGTTCTCTCAGTCGTATCGCAAGTATGGGGAGGACTATCTTTCACCGCAGGTAACAAAGCATGGATCGAGTGGTCGAGATAAGACATATCATGGATATGGCCAGCCGCCCACCCAGAGTAGCGTCAGTCTGGGAGATTCAAATGACAAGAGGCGGGACGACGACAAGTACCATAGACGAAGCGCGACAGTGTCGGCAGAGAGGCCAAACTCAAGCTTCGAACCATTCCGAAGACCTACCTCGAACGATCGCGTCAATGGACCTCGGCCTCTAGATGGTAATCGACCACCACCGGATGACTTGAGAGAAGGGGCGTATGCGGCCTACAAGCCAACCCCCGTCGAAAACTTGAGAGCTCCGTCCCCATCCAAGCTTAAGGACCAGAATTCTCCGCGGGATGCAGCCTTCAGTTCGTCTTATAGGAGAGAAAACCCCGTCATCATTGACGACGACCGCGCGTCTATTGCATCGTCGCGCAGAGGCGATACAAGCGGCCAAAACTCTCGCTCTCCGTCGAGAGTTCCTACCATGCCCATAGCGCCAGCCGAGCCGCCAGAGGACTGGGCACCGAACCGTCGGGTTTCCACTACCTTTCCAATCAGCCGCGACAAGACTACACTAGAGAATCGTACTCCCCCGACGATTTATCTTCCTTATCCGGATGATGATGATGCCATCGTTGCTTGGCCAGAGACATCCGCAGAGGGCGATGATATGCGGCAGTCACAAACGATCAGCGCGTCATCCGTCTTGATGCCACCCATCCCTCAAGTTGACGACGAGCTTATCGCACCGGATGACAAGTCTATTAGATCACCGACCCCCAAAGAGCCATCTGTGGTGACGAAGCCTTGGCAGCCTCCCCCCTTTGACCCTACCAAATCTGGGGTACGTCCGGACCAAACAGTTGGGTCATACCGGCGTTATTCTGAGTCGAAAGATCATGAAGGACAATCTGATCTTCCAAGGATACCAGAATGCAAGCGCACGGTGGCGGTGGCAGGCAAGATGGATTGGCTTACGCTTCCCCGGACGGATTTCAACATCTGCCCTGATTGCTACGGTACCGTGTTTGCAGAAACCCAGTTTCGAACTCACTTTCACCCAGTGTTGCGGTCGACTAGTACCCCGATTGCATGCGATTTCGGCTCATCCCCATGGTATCGGATCGCCTGGCTACTCACGCTGAAACACAAAGTGCCAGACCTGCAATTGTTTCATGCTCTGGCAAAGGTCATGATGGAGTCTCGCGATTATCCGTGCCCTCTGGAACGAAAGGTAACACGGGTCTGGTATTCTGTCAAAGACCCCTACACGAGGCGGCCAGTACCCGAGTTTGCGGTATGCTACCAATGCGCGAAGACGGTGGAGACCCTGTTTCCAAACCTCACGGGCGTTTTCATCCCGCTTGATTCTCGAGGCGAGCCCACACGAAACGTGTGCTCTCTTCACTTCACACCCCAAAGAAAGCAGTTTGTACTCTTCTTTGACGCGTTTGAAACCACGTCCGATAAGGGCTATGTGACCAACCGAAAGCCAGATATTGGCGATCTGTCCATGATGCTTACACGGCTGAGCACTCTGGATGAGTGTCGCGAAGACCGCCGAGTGAGCGATGGATACTGGTACGTCATGGAGTATCTACCAGATTTCACCGTGTGTGGGGAATGCTACGAAGATGTAGTTCGGCCTCAGCGCACGGAGGACAATGTGATTGCTCAAAACTTTTACCAGAAGCCCGCGAAGCTGCCTGTTGCAACTTGCCAGCTCTACTCTCCTAGGATGAGAGAAGTTTTCAAGAGGGCCTGCAGGAATAAGGACCCCCAATATCTTGAGGAGAAAGTTCGAGAGAGATTGAAGATTGAGAAGGATGTACACAACAAGTTTGTCAATCTCGTCAAAGATAAACGCAATCCCGCATGGACGGATGAACAGATTGAGAAGCTGAGTAGGGAGTGGAGGAGATGGGAATAAACGGACAGACAAAACTCCTTTCTTTTTCTTGTTCTTTTTTGGGTACTTGATGCACCTAGACATGCATAGCGAGATTCATATTACGAAGATGCCATGTATAGAGTAGCACCGAACAGGATAACGACATGATATGATGACCATAGATTAAAATAAATCTTGGCTTGGATACTGAAGCTTGCAACTCTTTGACGTGAAGCCTGTGACGACATAACTGTAGCAGCGTCTCTGAGCCTTACTAAGCCGACGCACATCCCCAATAAGGCATAGACCAGGTCCCACTTGGACTTTTGATGTCAGGGATAGAGTCACGTGAAGCACAATTCAACTCGCTAAGGTACGTACCCCACCACTTAGGGTCTCCGCCCACCAAAATTCCTTGGAAGGAAAATTCAGGTGAAATTTATCGCGGGTCCGCCAGAAACTTTCCATCCCCATCGCCAAATTCGACGCCCCGACGACCACGGTATGTTACGCTTTTACGCCTGACCCTGGAAACACATTCGGCCTCTCTTTCGAAATTGCTAACGCTCATCCCCTCCATTAGGTCTCAATTCTCGTCACAATGGCCTCCAGACCTACCGTTACGATCATCGGAAAGGATGGTGCTCCCTCTGGAGCTACCCACACCATTCCTGCCGTCTTCGCCAGCCCTATCCGACCGGATATCGTGAAGCAGGTTCACACTGGCATGGCCAAGAACAAGCGCCAGCCTTATGCCGTCAGCGAGAAGGCTGGTCACCAGACCTCTGCCGAGTCTTGGGGAACTGGTGAGTTTTATGCGGTGGCCGTGGGAAGAATTTGAGATGGCAGTCGAGATGGGAGGATTGGTGGAGGATTGGGGAAAATTTTTTCCTTTCTCTCTCTCGTCCGACTATGTTGAAATGCTCTTTCTCAACACCATGGGAAAAATCAGGATGGACTGTGACTGACCGGATTTGAATTGTTTAGGTCGTGCTGTTGCCCGTATCCCCCGTGTCTCTGGTTCCGGTACCCACCGTGCTGGTCAGGCCGCCTTTGGTAACATGTGCCGATCTGGTCGCATGTTCGCCCCTACCAAGATCTGGCGCAAGTGGCACGTCAAGGTCAACCAGGGCCAGAAGTCAGTCAATTCTTGTTTTCTGGGAAAAGTTCCCAGTATCTTGCTATTTCGGGGAGGTACGGAATAACTAACATGGAAAAAACTTTTAGGCGATATGCTACCTGCTCCGCCCTGGCTGCCTCTGCCGCCGCTCCTCTCCTACTCGCCCGTGGTCACCAGGTCATGACCATCCCTGAGGTTCCCCTGGTTATCGACTCTGCTCTCGTTGAGGGCAGCTCCGTCGCCCGCACTGCTGCCGCCATCGCCCTCCTCAAGGCTGTTGGCGCCGGTGCCGAGCTCGAGAAGGTCAAGGGCTCCAAGAAGCTCCGCGCCGGTAAGGGCAAGCTCCGTGGCCGCCGCCACCGCCAGCGCCGTGGTCCTCTGGTTGTCTACAACCCCGAGGTCGATGGCAAGGAGCTCGTCAAGGGTTTCCGCAACATCCCCGGTGTTGAGACCTCTCCCGTCTCTGCCCTCAACCTCCTCCAGCTCGCCCCTGGTGGTCACCTCGGCCGATTCGTCATCTGGACCTCTGCCGCCTTCAAGGCTCTTGACGAGATCTACGGCACCACCACCACTGCCTCTACCCACAAGAAGGACTTCCTCCTGCCTTCCAACGTTGTTTCCCAGGCCGACCTTACTCGTCTGATCAACAGCAGCGAAATCCAGAGCTCCCTCAACGCCCCCAAGGGCGATGCTGTGACCCGACGATCTGCCGTCCAGAAGAAGAACCCCCTGCGCAACAAGCAGGTTCTTCTGCGCCTGAACCCCTACGCGAAGGTCTTCGCTCAGGAGGCTCAGAAGAAGCAGGAGGCATAAATTCTCTGACTTTCTGGGTGTGCAGCAAGTCTAAAACTTTGGTTTTTCGGAGGAGGGTTATATCATGGTTTCATATCGAGGCGTAACGGCTTCTGGAAGGTTGAGCTCTTTGAATGAAAAGAACGAAAAGAGATTTGACTATTAACAGCGTGTGTCTTTAAAAAATGTGATTTATACGAATCATCACCGTTTTGATGATTTTTGGCCATTTATTTCCCTCCCAACGTTAATAGACCGTGCATGCTGTATCAAGTACCCGAAAGAGTGTGAGTGTCAATGATGTTTTACTAGGTACAAAGGACGAGCTTTTTACATGAATCAAAATTCTTTATTTATGTCTTTTAATATCCAACCTTTTACCTCTCTCTTATGTCTAATTATCTTTTTCTTCTACTTACTCCTTTCCCGGCTCATAGTGAAAGCCAAGCTCGGCCAGCGTCTTGGCTTTACATCCCTCGTCTTCAAACTTGATCTTGGCCTCCATAGCAATGGACCTCTGCCAGAAAAGCTCGCCACTCCATCGCGGCGGCTCCTTGCCAACGTGTTTTGCCTTCTTTATCCACTCATAAAACTCATTGATATGCTTGCCGTCATCTCCTAGCTCTGGATACTGGTGTAGCGCTTCTCCCTGTCTCTCTTCCAGCTCTTTACTCCACCGCAGCATTTCTTCGTCCGGGGGCAACTCTAGCGCATTGGACCACACCGCCGAGAAAGCCGCAGCTTGCGATTCCGCCAATGGCCACGGAACAGATCTCATGTTGAGCGCCGGGAAGACTATCGTCGGGTGCTGGATAAGGAACGTGTGCTGGTACAGCCCGTGGACGCCCCGCCCAGACGTGATAATCTTGTGGTTGAGGTTCGGGAGGAAAGGATAGCCGAACAAGAAGCCCGTGCAAAAAACGATGTGATCTATGTCTTTTTCTACGCTTCCGTCTTTGAAAAGAACTCCGCGCTGGTCTGGCAGGAATTCAACAATTTCGGGGACCTCGTCGCATCCGATGTGGGCGAGCTTGTCGGGCGACGTTGCGTGTCTTACTGACAAGAGAGTCTTGCCGGCGACTTCGTTGATCTGGAGTGCAACGTCGAGGCCTGAGGGCCCATTGCCGACGACGACGACTTTCTTCCCTTTGAAGATGTCGTTCGTCCGATATTGCTTTGAATGAGTGATGATCGAGGGGTGGGCCTTTTTGAAGTCTTCGATCTTCTTGATGGCCGGTATGAAGGGCACAGAGTAGTGTCCGTTTGCAACGACAACGGCGTCATACGTCTCGCGAACAACCTCGCCGTCATTCAACGTCGACACTGCTTCCAGATGCCATTGATCTCTACCATCCTTGGTTTCCAAGTCGATCCGCCTCACCTCATGACAGAACTTGATTAGATGCCTCAAATCCTCAGCATACCGGACAAGATAATCTTGAATCTCCTCCCTCCTAGGAAACACCCAAGCATCGCTCGGAAACTCCCTATCGTGGAACCGCATCAAGCACCCCGGGATATTCGCGTGCAGCCGCTCATACATGGGCGACGGAAACACCGGCGCCGGAGCCCCCTCGGGCCAGATGGACGGCTCCGGGCCCCAGAACGGATCCTGCTGCGGCACGGGCACGTCCTTGGGGGGCAGGCTGCTGTAGAGCCAGACGCCGCCGACTTGGTGCTGCTGCTCGAAGACGGTGATGGAGTCGAATGCGCCCTGGGCCTGGAGGTAGCGGGCGGCGGTCAGACCGGCCGGTCCGGCGCCTATGACGGCGATCTTCTTGATCTTCTTGATTTTCTTGACGTGGAAGTGCTGCTTTGCCGGCACGGAGCTGGCGGCGCTAAGAGTCGAGCCCATGCTATATATATTTTGATGGTGAGAAATATGCGTTGTAATATCCAATGTGTCAATGCTGTTATCAATACTGCTGTATTCTTCTTGTTTCTATACCGGACAGCCCGTCCCTTGGCCACTTCTCACTCCCTGGGGCCCGAATCTTTTTCGGTCAGCCGGGTGGCATCTCTACGGCATTTATAGCATTTTATAGTGGTATGAGAACATGCCGAGCTCGGATGATGTCAGTTGGATAGACTCCGGGCTAAGTGCTTCAGGTAATTTTATGTGCCGACATACCCTGATTTGGCAACATTATACACCGCCTTCCCCTCTCGGCTTTTGACAGCTTTTTTAGCTCCCGTCTTGTTAGGGCCTTTCGATTGATATCGGCTTAATCGCTAATATTACAAAGTTCTCTTTAGAGCCAGGTCTGTAATTGGAACTGAGCATAACTGACTGACTGACCATCAAGAAAATTATTCACTTGAATAGAGACATGATGTTGTTTCAAGCAAAAGTACTTTATTCGTTATTGATTTTTACTATCTAAGTCACCCTCGTCGCTCAGATTTGAAAACCTACATATATTTCGAGTCAGAAGATGGCTAACCTAGAGTACCTAGCAACATGATAATTTGCTTACATGTATTACAAGGCCTGCCCATCATGAGATACACGACGCATTGCACAAGTTCGCGTCTAAGAAAGATATGTATTACATAGTGTATTGAAAGCAGACATTCTACAAAGTTCAGTCTTCTCCAATGTCATGATATATCTTACAACATCGAGTTCACTGTGGTAACAGCCAATCCAGTACCAGCAACCACCCACATCTCAACATGCTCCGCTCGGCCAACAACACTATTCGACTTGCTTGTGCTTGTGCTCGTTGCCGTCTGCTGAGGGCCACTCGAAATCGCTTTAGAGCCGGTCGTCGCCGTAGCAGTCGCTTTAGTCGAAGAACCAGTCGTAGGGTGCGCTTCCTCATAACAGCCAGCAAACACCAAAGTGCTGTTGAGCCACCCCGGTCCTCCAGGCGTATCATACATGGCTCTGTACCATCCGATAGGGCAGCTTCGGGCGAGAGACACAGCAGCCGAGCTTTTTGCAGACCACCAAGATGACGCCGCGCTGCCGTAGGACGAATAGCTCGACAGGAGAGACGAGGGAGCAGCGGTGGAAAAGCGGCACCAGAGCGAGGACGCGGGAAACGTGCATTCTGGCAAGCCGTAGATGTCTGTTTGAGTAGGCTTGCAGTCTTTTTGCAACACGTCGCCGTATGATTGAATGGCAGTCAAGAGGGCTCCGGTGGGCTTTGGAGGGTCAAAGTATTGCGGGAGAATCTCAGTGGTACACTGCCATGGCTCACTTGTGATGGTGGGCGGCTTGGATGGCAAGATTGTATCTTGCAAGGCGGCCAAGGAGACGCTCGCATAAAGAAAGATTGCTGCAGTCGTTGGCTTCATGTTTTTCTTTGCGCTCGACTTTGTAAAGACGAGGAGATGAATTGATAGTTGAGCTCGAACTTTGAGGATGGGGATGGAGTGGCTTCAGGCAGCTGCCACGGACAACGGCATTTCACTCTGTGTATTAAGTATGTATCTCCTATTTAGATACTATTAATAAGAAATTACCTTGATTTGTTTAGCCTCCATTCAATTTCGTTATATGTTGGCTCAGCGTAGTTGCGTGCAGCTACTGCAGCCCCCCATGGGTTACAGTTACACCACGCAACTAACAACTGGAGCCCGCTTGGCGCCAAGCAAACCATTTCATTCCTCCTCGACCCATTCAGAATCCGCAAGACGAGGGTAACGCTCCTTCAAGGCCTTTTGCACGGCTTTTAGGCAATCCTTCTTGCGGTACTTGTCCATGTCCGGCCACCCATGCTCTCTGTAGATCCCCTGCAACATCTCTATCATGTCTGGGAAAGCCACGCCCTCTGAGATATACACATCCACCACTGCACGAGGGCTTTTGGGAACGAATTTAAGTTCGCGAAACTGATCCTTCAGGACCTCGAAGAAATCCGGGATGGACCATGCACCACACTCCCCGCGCCATTCAGCCTGCTCCTCATCCTCTTCATAGTCGTATGGGTCGTCCAATACCTTCTCTCGCAGAGGCCAATCCCTGACCTCCCCGGGGCATTCGTACCAAAGACCGATACCGAGCTCCGTGTCAATCAAGAGGGTTGTCCAGTCTCGTGGGCTTTTTGTGATGCTCACGACGTGAGGGGGCAAGATTTCATATAGAGAGGCGCTTTCGGTACTGATCTTGACGCTCTCAACATAAGCTCTGTCGTGGCTGATTAAACTGGCATCAGCCTCCCAATTGGTGAAGTAGCACCACGCTGCTGTTTGAACATTGTACATGTCGTCCTTTTTTTCTCGTATGTATGGTAGATGGCGGAGTAGCGAGACCACTTCATCCGTCTTGCCCAAGGGTGCCATCGTTGCGGTCGTAATGCTCGGCCATCCTCCTGGTGGTGGTTCAACGACCTCCGCTTCGTCGAGATACATCCTAACTAGGAAGTTGTAATACTCGCGGACTGCGGAAATGCATTCATCGCGATTGTAGCTAATTTCGGAAAGAGACGGCATCTTCAGCTTGCTGAGGCTGAAAGAGAGATTGAAATGGTGGTGGTGATGATGATGGTGAGAGGAGAAGGAGGATGAGAAGAAGGATCATGAGAAAGAGGAGAAAGAGGGTAAAGGGCCGATGCAAAGATCGTTGAATTGAGCTACAGCGAAACAAAAAGAGGGGTTAGCGAGATATTGAAAACAACTCTGATTACAAGCTTAATAGCTTAATTTAGACGGTTATAGATGTTTACAATGCATGTACAACTCGATCCTGTGGGATTTTTTTTCGCCCCCATAGATGGGGAAATCTACAAAATAGCAGAATCCTTCGTACCGAATAGGGGGGACTGGGTAACAATTACCTCCAATATTGGGGGACCAATCGAAGGATGAAGCACACCACTCGTTTTCCACTGTTGGTTGGCTGCCAAGAACGGATCTCATTCCAACTATTGCCAATGAAAGTGTCACGGTTTGGGTTTTTGACCGGGGTGTTGGCTGGGCGATGCCTGTAGCTTGGCTCAGGGATTTTTAACTGCAACCGCATACATGGACACATACCGACATTCCGAACTCAATCGCCAGTCGCAAGTGTCTATCTTTGGTATCTTGTGAATTTACCCGGGTTTGGGTTGAATCAGAATCCCAAATATTTGATCCCTCGAATCCTTTCGGACGTGACTTATGAACAAGTCTATTTCACCGTGTCATGTAGCATTGGCGGAGTCTGGGGATGGAGGATGCTCTTGGCATGCCGTTACTGCTGTGTATGGCTTGAACAATTTGATGTGTCTGCTTTCTAAACATCCTCAAACTCTGTGATACAGAATAGTAGTTTAAAGACCATACGTATCCATGGCCAAGACTGTAGTTTATTCAAGGCGTAACAAGATCTTGAACTTCATCTCATAGATCTCCTTCAAGTTCACCCAATCCAAGATGTGGCTGACCAAGAGGTCTGCTGTCGTCTTCATCCTTTGGGGGACTGGCTTTGTGCGTTCCGCCATCAATATCGATGGTTCTCAAGCCGTGGAGCCTGTCAATGAAGATGACCCTTCGCCTATTGGAGACATCAATACATACTACCCTGAACGATATGATTGCCCTCTCCCGTGTATTGATCTTGCAAATACACACACTTGGACACCATATTTGTCTGTGGACCGTCTGAAGCGTTGCAATGAGCCCATGCTGCTGCAATTCTCTATTACACAACCACTCGATGACCCAAAATCCAATATCTTGATACGAAGCTGCACGCTTGGTTCTCAAGAGTCTTCCTTTAAGAGCACTATATCCTCGATACAGAATCCGAAGAAAGGCAAAAATCTGTTTCGAGGTGGAAGTCTCAAAAACTCACCAGCATGTGCAATTGCTGGTTTCCAAGTCGACGACAAGCTTGTGCTTGCCAAGAGCAGCAGCGGCAAAGGAAACGGCCGTGAAATTGCTAGCCTCTTGGAGAGCATGAGCGAATACTTTGAAGCCAAAGACAATTGCGACGAAAACTTTCTTTTTGCCTATCACAAGGAAACCGTCGCAAGCGTCTACATCGGCCCCGGCCTTGGGAAGCCGACTGTGAGTTCTGCCTTGAAAAGCCTGGCTGCGAATGTGCAGGACAGCAACTCCATCTCCAACCACCTAGTTGCCCAGCTTTGTGGCAGCGGCCGTCTATCAACTAGAACCTTTGGTGTCTCGGTTGACACGACTGGTGATCTTGCGGCTGTTCAGAAGACAGCCTTAAGCTGGAGCAATGGCGTTTGCGCTTCAAAAGGAGACCTCATTACGGCAGGCAACCTTGCTGGCGTCAAGGTGTTGGACATTGGCGGTTCCAACAGCACTTTCAACAGTGGAAAAAGCTCATTGACCTCCAGAGCAGCGTCTTGGATTTCCCAAAGAGACAAGCATGCACGCAACATGTTGGACGAACGAGCGACTTGTCGTTATATACAAGTCGTCCCTGGAGACAGCTGTGGGGCACTGGCTTCTCGATGTGGCATATCGCCTGCTGATTTTACAAAGTACAACCCTTCACCTACTCTTTGCTCTACTCTTCAACCGGGAGATTACGTATGCTGCTCATCCGGCACCCCGTTCGTGCCTCCAAAGCCTAAGCCAAACCCTGATGGCACTTGCGCAACACACCTCATTGTGAACGGAGACTCGTGTGACGCTCTAGCCAAGGTGAACAACATCACGACTGCTGAAATTGAAAGCTTCAATAAAGGCAAAACTTGGGCTTGGACCGCGTGCAAAGACATGCTTGTCGGCTACAACATGTGTCTGAGCACTGGCAGGGCGCCAATTCCGCCTCCTCAGGCCGGAGCAGAATGTGGCCCCTTGGTTGCTGGGACAAAACTCCCAGCAGACAACACCACCTCGTTGGCAGATCTCAATCCTTGTCCCCTAAAGGCTTGCTGCAGCAATTGGGGCTTTTGCGGTGTTTTCCCTGCGCATTGCGACGTACATGCCCCTTCAGGGGGTGGTCCAGGAACCAAAGAGCCTGGCTACCAGAACACTTGTGTCTCAAACTGCGGTAACAAGATCAAATCGAATTCAGGTCCTCCTGCAACATTTCAACGGATTGGATATTACGAGGCATTTGGCCTGGATAGAGATTGCCTCTGGCTAAAGGCCAAAAATGCAAACACTGATGGCACTTACACGCATATTCATTGGGGCTTCGCCACAATCGACTCGAGTACATGGAAGCTCAAAATCAACGACACCAAAGGCCAGTGGGCGGATTTTAAGAAGCTGCCCAATGTCAAGAAGATTGTGTCCATTGGTGGTTGGGCATACTCGACCGAAGCAGCAACCTACAATATTATCCGACAAGCCATCATCACAAACAAGAATGCGTTTACTACGAATCTTGCTCAATTTGTCAAGGATGAAGGCATAGATGGTATCGATATTGACTGGGAATACCCCGGTGTGAGTATTGTCTTATGTCTTTCAGCTATTGTATCGTCATTTACACTCAGTCTCTGACCAATTCCTCATGTTAGGCACCGGATATTCTCGTCGGCGGCCAACCAATTGGTCAAAAGAATGATGGAGCTGACTATCTTAGCTTTCTCACATTGCTGAAGCAGAAACTAGGCTCAGGGAAATCTGTGTCAATTGCAGCACCGGCTTCATACTGGTACCTCAAGGCCTTCCCCATTGACAGAATCAGTGCGGTCATCGACTACATTGTGTATATGACTTATGACCTACACGGCCAATGGGATTACGGGAACGCAAATGCGTTTGACATGTGCCCGTCGGGTAAATGCATTCGCAGTCATGGTGAGAGCCCATATCCATGAATGATGCCCTCATGTTTTGCTAAATATGACAACAATAGTCAACATAACCGAGACTAGAAACTCTCTTGCAATGCGTAAGCCTACCCGTCTTGTCCTGCTCGGCTAAATCAAACTTAAGTAACATGAGGCTATAGTTACAAAGGCTGGCGCAGCAAACAACAAGATTTTCGTCGGTGAAGCCAGTTATGGGAGATCCTTTCACATGGCTACAGATGGATGCTGGGGGCCAATGTGCGACTTCACCGGAACCAGACTCCAGTCAGATGCGAAGCCTGGGCGATGCACTAAGGCACCTGGTTATGTTGCCTATGCTGAAATCAACGAGATCATCAAGAAGGGTGACGGTGCTCAAACGTTCCGTGATAATTCTTCTGACTCGGACATAATGCTCTATAAAGGTATGTTGAGTAGCCTCCTTGTTTTTTCGGAAGCCGAGTTGAGTCGAGCCTGAGACTGATGTTATTGCGCAGGAGACTATGTCAGCTATATGACAACAGCAACAAAGGACACAAGACGTAATGAATGGAAAGGATTGAACTTTGCCGGAAGCATAGACTGGGCCGTAGATTTGCAATCTTTCACAACAGATGACCTGGACGCTCCACCAGTCACACCAAAGCCCGGCGACAATGGCTGCGTCTCCGGAGAAGACAACAGCATCAACTCCGGAGATCTCTGCGAATTCTCATGTGGCCACGGATTCTGTCCGGAATCTCTCTGTACCTGCGTCACACAGGGAATGACAACTAACCTTCCATCGGCATCAGAGTTGGAGGTTATGGCCTGGGACCCATGGGATGTAGATTTAAACCGACTCTGCAAGTTCAGCTGCAAATACGGCTATTGTCCACAAGATATCTGCACGGACATCCCCAAAGAAGATGAGGGCGAAGAGGAGCCCGACACGGGTTACTTCAACTATACGGATGCGAGGTGGCAAAACGCTCAACACTGCCTGCTCTTCAAGGATCCCCAGTACAGAGACGTCAGTGTGAACCAGTGCAAGCCGGTATGTCAGGCGGCACTCGACGATGCGGAAAAAGAAGGCCGGACAAGCAACTATGGCTGTATTGGCAACTTTCCGGTCGACAAAGAGATTCCGTGGGAAAAGTATCCGGGAGCCAGTTACGAAGTTGCGCCGGGACAATGTCTCTGCGACAATATGCTCATCAATGAGATTGCAGACTTTGTCTTGGATGCGCTGCCAATTATTGCTCAGGTACGTTTGCTGAATGGACATTTGAGCCGAATACTTCTAACAAATTTAGATTGGGTGCTACATTCTCATGTCTTCTCTTAAGCTTGTGCTTGAGGTTGGCTTGGAATTCATCCCTGGAGTTGGGAAGCCTCTCGATGCCGGCTTAGGTACGTATCTCGCCACACTTTGTTTCCACAGATCACTTTTCTGACCAGTTTTTGTCTTAGATATGGCTCTAACCGCGACCGAGATGGTGAATTACATATATCCAGAAGGCGAGGACCCTGGAGGTGCCTTTGAATGGTGGTTGAGTCCATGTGGTGGCTCTGGACTGGTGCCAGACGACATCAAGAATATCTTTGACACTCTTAGCCAGGTTGCAGGGGGTGTTTCGAGTTTCAAACCACCGAAAAACATCCCCAAAGGAAGCGGCAAGAAAGGTGACGACGGCAATCCGACAGATAGAGGAAAGCCTCGGCCCAACACTGGTGGCAGTGGAAAAGGCACGCCGGCCAAGAAGCAATGCAAGGTTCCGCCCTCCAAGCAGACCCAGCGTCTTGGCCAGGGGAAGAACACGCTGCGCATACAATCCTGTGTCGGCGACAAGACGAAGACCACCGAGATCGTTGTCACCTCGCTCGACTACGCGGCCAATGCGAAGCCGACGCAAGTGGCCAAGGCTTGCGATGCTGCTTGGTCGCAGGCGTGTTACCATTACAGCTCAGCCATCCGAGTCAACCCCCAGTGGGCAACACTCACATGCCCGCAAGAAGCTGCGGCGACAAAACATCGTCTCGACGCCCGGGCGACGTCGGTTTGGTCGAGTCAGCACGCCGGAGAGGGCTGGCAAGATCGAAATGCTCCCGGACGCACATGGCAGAACTGCGACAGAGACGAGTACCCGCCAGCATATCTTCTGGGCGAGACGGACCCAGCCTATATAAACAGCGGATCAAACAGCAAAGGGCAGTTGGTTCGCTATGTACCCAACACGCAGAATCAAAAGGCCGGTCAGATGTGGAAGGGCACATGTTTCGGTACTCCGGTAAAAGCCTTGTCCGATAAGGTCTTGATGGACAGCGTGGCGAAGGCGCCTCAGTCCAAGAAGCAGAATATCCAAAAGGTGAACTTTGAGCAAACAATGGCAGAAATTGGTGTCGACGTTCGCCCCGAGTTTACCATCTCCTCATGGGGTCCCCCGAGCAGTGCGGATGCCGGTCTGTCGGCCAATCCATGCTGGCCAAAGGGCATTGCTGCCGCCGACCCTGGGTTTGCTCTGCTCACATATGATCCTTATTATGGAGGCCGAGCGCCGGCGTACGACTACAAAGCAAAATATGTCAAAGGTTCAAATGGGTCTTGAAGGCCATTGTGTTGGTGCTGTATGGTGCTGGTGCTGTATGAATGGTATAGGGCTATGGCGTCCTTCGTATTGAGAGAATGCCAAACACATGTATAGCAAATAGGTTTATAGCCATGCTTATGACAAACAAGTGTAAAAGAGACTGTGGAGATACCCGATATGCAGTGTTAACACGCCTGTTTCATGTATACAGAGACGGGCTTGTTCTGTGCCCGACGTTAACGTGAGACGCCCCATGTACAACGGCAGACTTCAGCTGTGTTCTCCATGGGGAGTACATGCATTGCTCGCGATAGCAACTCCACACCCCTGCAAGCAGCGGATTTGTGTCGCCAAGAGATTGGGCGAGAGCAGACAGGGCCGTGAATGCGATTGGTGGTGACCCCTTGTATGACGCAGGAGTTGGCGGCCGGATATGCGTGTAATATACAGCAATCTGCAGTATACCTGTTTCTTTTCTTCACAAGGGATCAATGCCAGCAATGACTGAGGATCGGGGGGCAATAATACTGCCCAAAGGATTCAGCCAACAAGGCGGCCAAGGGATTCAATCAACCAGGTGACATTAATTATGTAGAAGACTTGTGACTGGGATGATGTCAGTTGAATGGATCAAACAAACTGCAGCTAACAAGTGGCTTCGGGTAGTAACTTGCTAGGCCCCGGCAGAATTACCAGGCGGCTACACACCGCCTTCCCCTCCCGGCACCTGATTCACATGTACCGAGTAGTAGCTCTTCCCAAACTTCTTTAGGCGCTACAGCTCACCACAGCAACTCCACCCCTGCAACCAGCAGATTTGTGTCGCGGAGAGATTGGGCGAGCTGCAGCCAAGCAGGACAGCGCAGTGAGGCGAGAAAAAAAAGTGACTGCTGCAAGCAAATCACCAAACAAACCCGAGCTCAAATCAAATTGCAGACAACGCATCGGAAGGGGAGGAAAAGAGGATCGTCTCCTTTTCGGGCCGCATCCTTTGTTCTTCTTCTTCTTTGTCTTTGTCTTCTTTGTCTTCTTTCATCTACCTACTTACTTATCATGAACCTCCTGCGATCCTCTTTTCAGCACTGGCAGAGCCCCTCCACCACTAGATGACCGCGCACCAGTGAAGCCGTCAGCAATGGCAAAGGACAATATCCAACCAGATGTGCTGCGCAGCGCCGAGGCCACGCCCATCGCAAAGCTCAGCCCTGCCATCGCCGACCCAGCTGCGCTCGTTGTCGAAGGCGTCGTCACCGTGACCTGGCCCTACAGCATCGTGAACAAGTCCATCGCCTTCATCCTTGCCGAGCGCGACCCCCTGCACCGACGCGACAAGGGCCAGCTGCGAGTCGAATTCCATGGCGCTGCGGGCAAGGCGCTTGCGGCGTCGAGCCTCGGAGGCGGCGACGAGGTGCGCCTGAGTTTGCACGGCGTTGCGTGGGAGGAGAACCAGGCGTGGGCGAAACACCCGGGTATCCTGGAGTGGCAACTCAAGTTTTCCAAACGCTTGCTGTTGAAGATCCGGAGGGCAGATACGCAGGCGGTGGACACCATTGATGTTGATGCCGCGGATGAAGAGGAAGAACAGGAATCGCTGCCGCAGCCTCGGGAGCCGAGCCCGACCCCGTCGATTGACATCGAGCACACTCAATTTTCGAAACCGTTGCCGCGAACGCCGCTCTCTACGATACCCTCTAAACGATATGCGTACGAGTCACTTGGGCCCGGCGAGTATACCTCTCCGGCATTTATCAAGCGTGCAAGGGTCTCATATGGCTCGCTCTTTGAAGGCGGCTTTGACATATTTAATGAAGAGGAGCCTGTCAAATCTGTCAAGAAGAAGAAAAGGAGGTCTCGGTTCAGTATGAACCCGACATCTTGGCGATACGCCAGTCAATCACCTTCACCCGAGGGGGAACAAGAGCAACCGGCCGAAGAAGAAGAGGATGCTGAACCCAAGCTTGATGATGTTGAGGAGCTTGCGGCGGAAGAACGAATAATTACACCACCTCCCCAATCGCAGCCCGTAATGGTTGATCAGGGATGCCAGACTAGGGAGATGAGCTCCAGCCCAACCAATGGTGTTCAAGTCATTGCCGAATCTAAATCGACCGGAATTCTACTGCAACCCACGCCAACTCATCCCTGGAAGCATGTGGGAGTGGACCATGTGCTCCAAGAACCATCACCCCTCTCATTCGACTACGCAGCGACCCAAGATGTACCGCCCTCAATACACGAGTCGGAGGCTTTCAGCCAGCCTGAAATGCATATGCCTCACGCTGGCTTTGATATGTCCATGGACATAGACCCAAGTCTTCAACCACATCAAGCAGATACTCATAATCACGATTCTCACCCCGCATACATTACAACAGCGACTGAAATGCAGCCGCCTCGCTCACAAGAACATGGGCTCCACGATGCTCATCTACATGATTTAGCTTGGGTTGCCGAGACGTTGGCGCCAACTTATCCTACAGTGCCAGCACACAACGCACATGACTTCCCACAGGGAAGTTTTGATCGATCATCCTTTACCCTGAGAGCTAGCCCTTCCGATGAAACGCACACACTAGTATCCGCCGGACATCACGTTATGGAAATGCATAGCTACGTCCAAATCGATGAAGCACGGAGGGTGTCATCCTCATCTTACCCGCAACAGGATGGGATGAAGCCTAGTAATAGTTATCCTGAGCGTTACGAAGAAGATACCGAGACTGCCACAGTAACCGCTACACTAGGCAGAGAAGGTAGATCGAGCCCTCCCCAAGAGGAATATAGTACGGATGAATCCGAAGAGGAAGAGGAAGAGCAAGAGAGCAGATCACATCGCTACTATGACTGGAACACTGGTCGGTTCCGAGAGGGATATCCTGAAGAAGAAGAAGCTGATACCCAATATGCCGAATACGAAAACGATGATGAAGAAGAGGAGGAGGAGGGAGAGGAAGAAGAAGAAGAAGAAGAAGAAGACGAGGGGGAAGAAGGTGACGAAGAAGAAGTCGAGGATAACGCGACCGAATCTGAAGTCGACTCAGAGTCTGAAGAAGAATCAGAGTCTGAACCAGAATCCCGAGTCTTTAATCATTTTACGCAGCCCGCACCACCAGTTTCGAGACCATTCATGCCAATCCCAAAACCAGCTCCGGCTGCTCCAAAAGAGCCCATTTTTATCAGCCTTTTGTCCGACTCAGAAGACGATGACGACAATGCGCCCGCCACCACACAAGCTAAAAAGGAACCGAGCGAGGAGCCTCCACTTCACCAACAAGATGAAGTTCATGAGCCGCCAAGTGAACAGGAGGACGACATTATTGACGAACTCGTGGATGAAGATGTTGACGAATCCATGGACGAGCACTTGGACGAAGCCGAAGACAAATCTGATGTCGAAGAAGCAAATGAGATCAGAACCGTAGCAAGCCGATCATCCCGCAGATCCAGCCGAATAAGCCAGTTGGATGGCTGTGATGAAGACGATCTTCACCAAAATGAGGAGTCTTGTAGAGATATCAGCCACATCGAAATGGATCACCCGAATCTAATCATATCTCCAAAACCCCACACACGACAGCAACATGTTGATATAGCTGAGTCTCTGGCTCAGGTCCAGGATGAGTCGCCCGTGGCCAGCTCTCCGCTTCAGCGCAGGAGCTCAGAGCAACACGAACTCGCCGCTGTCGACGCGGCTGATGATGAAGAGATCCCTACCGTGGAGCTGCGCGGTGCCTCTGAATCACCAGCGCCGGAGCCCAATAATGTTGAGGCACCAGCTATTTTGGAACGGAATGAGGAGAAACTGGAGGCTAAGCAACACCAAGTGCATGTACAAGATGAAGTACAAGTACCAGCACAAGAGCCAGAGCCGGCGCAAGAGCCAGCGCAGCATACCGAGTCTCCTGCCGTTGAATCTACGGATCAAGTCACTAAGCCCTCTTTACACAAACCAGAAGAGGAGACGGAAATGACGGATATAGTAGAGGCTCCAACACAACAGCCCGCTGCCAACGATGATTTGCCTATGGAGGATCTGCAGTCCACAACTCTAGAGACCCAACCATCCAACGCGGAGGCAGGGGCAGAAATCGATCTCGTTGAGCAAGACGTTGAGATGCAAGATGAGGTGATAATTCAACCAAGGGAAGAGACTGAGGTTGTTGTGAACGAGGAGGATAACCAGGTCGACCACACCGCCGCAGACACTGTCTCGAAAGCCACTGGAGAGCCTGAAGTGGCTGCACCATCATCACCTCCGGCCACTCAGACAGAGCCACCTCATCTGGTGTCTATGGCAGTTCAAATCCTAGAAGAGCCAGAAATCACAGAAAAGCAGCTGCCAACTCCACTGGAGACTCAACAAGACGACTACGAGAACAACGTTGACGCGGCTGATGTGGCTCTTGTTGAGACCCCGCCTAGTGAGGAGGTGATCACTGAAGATGTCAAGGAACATGCTGAGGAAGATGTCGAAGATGAATTCAAAGATGCAGATGAAGACATGGACGAAGAATATGAGGATGCGAAGGAGGAGGGGGGCGATAATGACGACGATTTTGCAATTGAGCAGCAACTTATGTCTGAAATCCAACATTATTCCAACCCCCTGAAGGCGCACGACGCGGATGGAATTGAGCAGACTTTCTCGCACCCCCCTGACACCCTTGAGGAGATTGAGGAAATTGAGGAGGACCAACATACTCAACAAACCCAACAACACAGTCAGCAGAGCCAACATGGCCATCACGGGGAACACTGCGATCACAGCCATCATGACCACCATCATGCCCACCACGCCCACCATGGTGTCCACGACCGAAACTCTCGCCGAGCAGAACCAGAGATGTCGATAGGGTTGCAATCTCTTCGGAGCCACTGTCGTGCTAAGAGACTGTCAAGTGATAGCGCCGATAGTTTGTTGACTGATCCCAGCGTCATGCTCGCCAGGGTGTCTCCCACCATGGCGCATCGTCAATGCCTGCTTAGCGAGAGCGACTACCTTCCCCAGCGATCACCACGATCACCTCGGAACAAGGCCGAGCATTCGGACCATAGTATTGCGCTTGCCAAGTCATCGCCGCGTGAGTCTGTATCGCCAAAGAATGTTGGGGCATCGTCCCCGTTGCGCGCAAGACGTGGCGTCAAGGGGTCGATTGATGCCAGCATACTCCTAGCACAATCCTTTTCGCCCACGTCGGAACGCAGTCCAGCTAGTCCAACGGCATCGTTTCGTGGTACTCGGCGGAAATCTGATAAGTCGGATCTGAGTGTGCAATTAGCGACCACCAGCTTCAAGGGCTCTCAACAACAGCAGGTGACGGAAGAGGGGAAAGAAGAGATCGCCCTGGATGCAGCTCAGGACGCGTCAGCAAATCCTCAACGTGAAAGTACACCCGACCAGCCTACGATGACAGGCCACAACCTAAGGTCACCCCGGAAACCCACGGCTGTATCCTCTATCAGGGCGCCCTCCGTCGCCAGCTCCTTTGCTGAAGACGGGAACATGGCGTCCCTGAAGACACAATTGTTGAGAAACTTAAGAACATCACTACTGGAGTGTCTGCCACTCAAATCCCTGCGCTTCTCGTTGAACAAAATGACCGACATTTTAGCCGTGGCTACCCTCACTCCGCGCCAGCCACACCGACCGAAACACGGGCCCCGGGGCTACATGCTGGAGCTTTGTCTGACCGACCCCTCAGTGGCGCCCACGGGCGTCAACATCGCGCACATCTTCCGGCCCCATCAAGCCTCCCTCCCTACGGTCCAGGCCGGCGACGTTGTGCTCCTGCGTCGCGTCCAGGTGGTGTCGGTCCAGGGCAGGGGATTCGGCATCCGCGCCGGAGATGCCTCGGCATGGGCAGTCTTTGAAAAGGACGACGACGAGATGCTGCCGCAGATTAAAGGTCCCCCGGTGGAAGTCGCGGATGAAGAGGTTGCCTACGTGCAGGGCCTTAAGAGGTGGTGGGGCCTTCAAGATGACAAGGCATTGGCTAAGATCGATAAGGCGAATCAGAAGATGTCACAGGCCGTCAAGGATGATTCTAAGTGAATGGGCGAGCGGACCTCGGGATATGGGGATTTCGCGGGAACGGTGATGGCAACACTTTTTTTTCTTTAGCGTGGCTAAGATGATGGCCTAGACATTGGCTGAGCGAGCTTAATGATTTGATGAACTACCTATACATAACATGTAAGACTAATAGGACGGGGGGTTGGTCAATACTGGCCGTTAGGATATGGGGGAAAACCGGAGGGATAGCTACAGCATAGGATTTAGAGCTCTACTGGTATCAAACCAAACCATCATTTTTCTTTTTTCTCTTACACTTTCTGCTTTCTAAGATTCGTCACTTTTTTACTCCGTGCTCGGACTACAAGGAGCGAAATCGCAGCTCCTGTGAAGATCAATTACATCGAAGAAGATAAGGACGGTGCCATTGATTTGCAATACCAATGACTCCATAGACGAGCTTGTCACAAGCAAAATGTCATCGAGGCACAGGAGCTGTCCCAGCAAGGAATAGGCTAGCACATCAGGCCATCTGAGCTCGGCCGATGTGAACCGTTTTGACATCTCCAGGTCTCAGACATGTGGGTAGCCAGATCTAGAGATTCGGACAGCATGTGGTTGCGGGGTCCCTGGAGCTCAAGGGGGATCTAGAGACCAAGCTTCCCGGGCCGGGGGAAGCCAGATCCTAAAACTCTTGCCGAGCCGAAAATGGCACGAGGAGTAGCGTGGCAACGTCGGTCAATGCCTTGTGATTTTGAGGGGAAGGCTATTTTCCCGCACCTCCTAGATCAAAGGCATGACATGACAGGAACAGCCTGGACCGATACCGGCATGGCTTGGAGCCATTGATGACCAAGGTCGAATGCGGACGGGTTGAATTGAATGTGGAGTAGCGACAATGGCTTGCTGCAGTCTGTAAGACTCAAGATGGGAGCTGACTTGTTAGTTTGTTGGTCCTCAACACTATTGTTAGTAGATTGTGGGGGACGTATTCGTAGCCAAGCCGAGGTCTCCCGGTAGGGTTTGCTTAGTTGAAGCTAATTGTGCATGAAGGTGTTAGCCATGGACCATGCTTTGACGGTGCATGTTTGTCTGCCGCAATTCGGGACTGCATTCGTGGAATACGAGTAAGAGGAGCTCAATTGAGTCATCGAGCAAGCATGTGCGTGCCTGTGAGATGCATTGGCTTATTGACGAGGTGTGATGAGCGTAGCATGGTGACTGCAGCCGAGAGACGATCCCACCAGCCCCCGTCTTGTCCATTATAGCCTATCCGCTTACATTCACATTGGCGCCGATGCCCACGAGTGCGCATGTATAGGTACATGGATATAATTTGCACTCCTACACATACCGCAATGGGGATGATGTCAAATTTGCGAGGAGGAGCAAGAAAAAAAAACGGAAAAGATGGCGGGGCCTCTCGAACTAGCAAGACACGCGAGGAAGTCAGAGAGTAGAAGCAAAGCTTGAAGAAGTTTGAATCCATGCAGAGCACTCGTACTCCTTATGGAGTATACAGCGATGTTGTTGGTTTGCAATTACCTAAGAAAGAGAAGGGCTGCTCCATATGCGGCGCCAGTTTTCATATCGGCGGCCCCGTCCCACAGGGCCAGAACCACAGCAGGTGGAAAAGCTGGAGAATTTGTGATGGTATCAGAAGTGCTCGTATATCGATGAGTCCTGTGCTGCAGATACATGTGAGAATACAACGTATCTGCAAGAAGGGCTTTTGCTTCTGACTGATCTTCATTCCTCGAGCGCCGGTCTAGGATGTCCGAGTACGAGTACATTCAATCAATACCCGTCGTCTTTGAGACATGGCGCACTAAGAGTGCCGCGAAATTGAATGCGAATAATCGATGGGGCACCGGCTCCGATTGCAGGGCCCATCGTGGCTCCGGCAAGGCCCACATGGCATGCAGGGACCCCTGACATCAAAGACGGAGGATTTCGGAAGAGGTCGGAGGTGCAAGTGCGCGTGCTGCAAAGGTGATGCTTCAAGTGTGTCAACTGCAACAAGTCAGGAGTATCAGCTGAAGCAGCAGAAATCTGATACAGGACAGCCAAGGTATTGATACCATATGCAGGTTAGCAGTCAAAACAAGTTGTTTTAGCGCGCGTGCTGCAGCATCCTAGAAGCTCACCTCACCTCGGAGGCGCAACTGAGCGGTCGTGGGTGAACGTGCCCATCTGGACGCACTGACACAGACAGGAACAGAACGAGGCTGCAATATTATCGTACCTGACTTGACAGGTGTCCAACAGACCGCACGCGACAGAGGGTTTGTAAGCACAGGGCGCTCATGATGGCCTCAGCAGGCCTCGTTTCTCGCTCTTTTCAGTGACCGGCCCGGGTCCGGATGCTGTCCGGGTCACGCCCTAGATTCCCGAGACCCGAGACCCAGACCAAGAACCAGGACCAGGCAGACGTAGAAAGAGGCAATGCAAAAGCGCAAAGTGGGCAGCGACGGGACTCAGAAAGGAGCCGCCGCGGTCGCTTTTCGCCGCCCCCTGTTGAGCCTTTGTGTTGCTTGCATTTGCGTGCTGACCAGTTCGTCGAGAGGTGGAGATGAAGAAAATAGAAGCAAAAGAATGTTGAGAGAAGAGGATGGGTGGAGCCCCCGTGCGGCAGCGCAGCTGATTGGCCAGCCCTGGCCTAGCCTGTCAAGCCTGTCTAGTGTGTGGAAGGTGCCGCCACGGCGCAAAGTCGTGTTGCAGGAAGGAACAAGTGCCGTGACTTGCACGTTCTCGTTCTTGCTTTTCTCTCTTTTTTTCTATCTTATCTTTGTTATCAGTCTCGTAATCTCTCCAAGCTCATGCACACTTACACACATCTCGTCTGATTTCAAATTCATCATCCTCTCAGCCTCAACATCAGTCCATTATCCCCTATTCCCAGCGCAAAGCACCTGAGCAAACCGCCAGACAACAGCACAAAAAAAGGCGTCGTGTCTCTCCACCCCCCTGCGGATCCCGGAGGCCTGGCGCCGGCTAATGCAGCTTGGGGAAAAGAAACTACTGCTGCTACCTCTAGTTGGCGCGTCCCCTGTGCCACACCCTTGCCCGACCGGAGGGACACGGAGCAAGACAAACGTCCAAAAGGTTGGATGCATTCAATGATGAGCGCCCGACTGCGCAAGTCCATCCGCCGAGTGGGCTGGCTAGGGCAGATGGCATCTTATTTGACCCTCAATGCGAAGCGACAAAGTACTCGTACAACGCAGACAATCCTTCTACTATGACATGCCGACCCGGCTAGAGGCCAGCATCTCCTCAATATGGCCCAACGACAACGCCATCCAACTGGTGTCGTTTGGACGATATAATACTCGACCAAGATCCTCGTTGATTCCGCACGTTTGATCGATCAACCTGTTCTGTTCATCCATCCATTTCTTTCTTCTCTCATACACCCTACTGGGAAATCCTTGCATCTCTCTTCGTCAGCTCCGCATCGACCTTCTACCACACCCCGTCGCTCTCCGTCCGTGTACGAGTGCTGCTTGCGGACGACTAGCCCGAGACACCGTCAATTAGTTCCCCCAGCGGACAAGCCTTCTGGTAAGTACGGAGTGCGCTCGCCACCTTTTTTTTTTTATCTAATATTTTTGCTTTTTTTGCTTTCCCTCTGGCTTTTTTGTCGGTGCTTTTACCCAATTTTTTTTCTTTTGGTTGAGCATTTGTCTGTGCCCGGCCCGCCCTGCGCAAGGTACCTGTACATCTCCAAATCCTTTCTTACCAGGTATTACTGCACCATCGTCCAGACGTTTCACTTTTTCTTGAGTCTACCAATCTTTGGCCCTCTTCTTTTTTCATCTTTTCTTTTTTTCCCCCGACTGCAACCCCTTCCCCCTTTTCTTGCTTCACACTTACCCCCCCTCATGGTCGTTTTGTCGTCTCGTGATGCCTGTGGAATATTAGTCTCCGCTGTCTTCTGAAACATACCCGAATCTGTCTAGACCCCGAGTCCTTCAGCTTCACATCCCCCTTCACCCCCCTAGCTCCACGTTGTCCTGTCATGAGCCGCCAGTCGTTGGTTCTAGCTTCTCGTCTTGAGAGCGGATCGCGTGGAAGGCTGGGGTTGTTAATGAAATCCCCCAGTCCCATGTTCCGCAGGGGCCTGTCTTCCATAGCTGCTGCTGTTACTATTAAACCATTGCCATCCTCGCCTGCATCTGTCTCTGCTGCTTCTTTGAAACCAGATTCAACTTTTTCTTCTCTTGTTCCAACGCTAAGCGGCGACTCGGGCAGCCATCTTGCACATTCTCATCCATCTCTCTTCTCAGCATCTTCGCTGAACAAAATCCCAGCTCTACGCCCCCCACCAATGGCGTCGAGTGCCCGCAGTGCCGACAGTTCTGACGTCTTCACTCCTCGGTCAACTTCACCTTCACCGTCCGTAGCTTCGGGCCGTTCCTCTCACCGTTCCTCTCGCACTTCAGTGTCTAATAAACGCGTCTCCATTTCTAGTCGCAGACTGACCGATTTTAACCCAATGTCTTCAGTCGACGTTTTGGCCATTGAGGAGGCCATGAAGTTGGCGTCCCTGGACCAGCACCGGGGCTACGCCCAAGATCACTATACCGAGGTTAAGCAGGACCACGACACCGAGTACCTCAAGGAGTCCGAGGCTTCCGCCTATCAGGTCCTTCGTGAGCCATTGTGGAACAAAGGTAGGTTAATGCGAATTGAAGCTTATATTTGCTGTTTTTCTTTTGCATTTTCTCTTTTACAATCTGCACCTACATGTAGCTTACCTTGCAATTTCTGCTCTGGTTACTTACTCATTTACATTTACGCCCACTTTGATTTTTACACCCGTTGCTAACTTACCATCTTCACCATGACAGGCCTTTCATTTACTCCCGAACAACGTGTTGCCAAGAATCTCACTGGCCTCCTACCCCACGCCATGGAGAGCCTCGAAACCCAGTGCGCCAGGGCCATGAAGATGATCCATAGCCGCCAGACGGGCATTGACAAGTACCTCTACCTGTCCAGTGTCAAGACACAAAATGTCGATCTCTTCTACCGCCTGCTCATGGACAACATCCGCGACTTGATGCCCCTCGTCTACACCCCCACCATTGGCGACGTCTGCCTGCAATACTCTACCCTATACACCCGACCCGAAGCATTATACATTTCGATCAAGCAGCGAAAGTCTATCCGAACCATGCTTCGCAACTGGCCCTGCCCCAACCCTGAGATCTGCGTCGTCACTGACGGCTCTCGAATCCTGGGTCTGGGTGATCTTGGCATTAACGGTGTTGGTATTTCGGTAAGTCGCTATTAGAGAATTCGCATCTTCTTGGTCCGTGTAACCCATTCGCTGACTCTTGGCTCTTATAGATCGGCAAATTGGCTTTGTATACTGCGGCCGCCGGTATTCACCCCGCCAAGACCCTGCCCATCGTCTTGGATACCGGAACCAACAACGAGACCAATCTCAAGGACCCTTTCTACTTGGGCTTGCGCCAAAAGAGAGTTTCCTATGCGGAACAGCAGGCATTCATGGATGAGTTCATGGAGGCCGTGAAGGAGGTGTATCCCAACATGGTCATCCAGTTCGAGGATTTTGACAGCGAAAAGGCCTTCAACTATCTGGACCGATATAGGAATAACTATAGGGCCTTCAACGATGATGTCCAGGGCACTGGTGCTGTTGTTCTTGCCGGGTGAGTAGTTCTGATCTCATGCGATGCATTGTTATCGGTATCGGTTCGCTAATACTCAGCAGATATATCAACGCCGTCAATCTGTCAAGCGTTCCGCTGGAGGAGCAGCGTCTCGTCTTCATGGGTGCTGGTTCGGCCGGTGTAGGTGTTGCAAAGCAACTTGTTGAGTATTACACTCGAAGAGGCTTGACAGAAGCTGAGGCTCGTGACAAATTCTTCTTGGTCGATACCAAGGGTCTGGTCACCATGGATCGCGGCGACAAGCTCGCCGAGCATAAGAAGTACTTTGCTCGTGTCGACAACGCCGGCCATCAATTCCGTACCCTGGAAGAGGTCATTGAGTATGTCAAGCCCAGTGCGCTCGTTGGTCTTGCCGCCACCTTTGGTATCTTCACCGAGTCCGTTATCCGAGCCCTCAAGGCTTCCGTAGATGCTGGTGGTCTCGGCCGCCGGCCAATCCTCTTCCCTCTCAGCAACCCTCTGACCAAGGCTGAGTGTACTTTTGAGCAAGCCGTGCAGTGGACCGACGGTTCCGTCGTCTTCGCTTCCGGTTCTCCTTTCTCTTCCTTCACCCTCAAGGTCGGCGGCGATGCGGGCGACATCACCTACCACCCCAACCAAGGAAACAATGTATACGTCTTCCCTGGCCTGGGTCTTGGTGCCATCCTATCCAAGGCAACTCGTGTCACAGATGAGATGGTGTATACATCTGCTGCGGCGCTTGCTGGATCTCTCAACGCTGAGGAAGTCCACCAGGGTCTGATCTATCCCAAGATCGACCGAGTTCGTGATGCCAGCATCATCGTCGCCCGTGAGGTCATGAAGGCGGCTCGTCGTGATGGTGTATCTGAGCTCCCAGAGTCACTCTGGATTGAGTGGGAAGAATGGGGTGATGTCGCTCTGACAAACTACATCAAGCAGCGTGTGTACAATCCCACTTCCTTTTCGGAAGCCAAGGGGCGATTGTAATTGCACTCGCAATGACGGAGCTGGATGGCGGGATGGAAGAAGCGTGTTGACATTAACGACGGGGGAGATAATACCATGGAGAGATTTGACTTTTGCCATGACTTAACTCAAGAAAGATGCGTATGCAGAGAGGCGTTTAGGGTAAAAATTTCCTGGGTTGGATTGTCTGTTTGGATTTCGACCATTTCTTCTTTGATAGATGTTTTCAATATCATTTCTTCCTTCAAAGATTGCGTATTCAAGAGTGATTGTGCCGCCCCGAACAAGGCCGTAGCCATGGTTGTTGAATGATTTGGGTTCATCATCCGAGTGTGCCAATATCACACTGCGTGTAGCAACGAATTTGGCTCGTACCCGGTATGCCGTACCGAAACAGATCGCGGTAGACTGATTGATGATGGTGCATGAGAAGACATGAGATCTTACCTCCCTATCAGAACTTGAGACTTGCTTTGCATCTTTGGTGTGGTCGATGGCCAAGAATCCACTAATAATTATTCCTTTGCTGTCATCTCAGCACTCATTCAATCTGTCCCCCCCTCAATCGTCGGTTAATAGTGCGAGCGTGTTGAAAGAAGGTGAAAAAGGTACTCCGTAAACACGGGACGAAATAAGTTAACATTAAGTGATGGAATTGCGTTTCTGGAGCAAAGAGAGGGGATATGCACCCCAGTTTGCTTACATCCACATGCATGGTGAGCTCTACATGTGAGCTTTGAAGCTCGGAAAGCCGTTAACGCCACCGAGAAGCTCGGAAGGCCGAGCGTTGGTCGCGGCGACCGAACGGAGAACAGGCTCGGTGCAACTTCAGCCCTCTTCTTCACACAAGTGATGTGCACTGGAAATTCCATTTTCCGAACAGTAGGCCTAAGTTTGGTTCGTGTTTTGTACTGCCGTTGCCGGGCCCGAGGGTGCCGTGTTTACCTGCCGGGCACAGCGAGGCCACGAATTTTGTAAAGAGAGACAGAACGGATTCCACTCTACATGATTCATTGCCATTCACTTATTCTATGCTCAAATTGTAGCATCGCAAGACTTTGTCGCTGGGTCAAAGAGCTAGCATCTCATCCCCGTTTCTCACGGAGAGGGCTTCGACCTGCGTCCTCGCAAAAGGTAGGAAAAGGCAATAATTGCGGACGGCCTCCCGAGGTAGCGGAGGGCCCACACTCCACGATTTCTCCCGTTCGGCCCACACATCCCCGATACGCTCCTAGACTCGAGTGACAAGGGATACACTTAGCGGCAGCCAAAGAACGGTCAGGAGGGCACGAAGAAATTAGGTCCAAGAAGCGATCGGTAAATTCCTTTTGCGTAATTTGTCTTGGAGCTGCCCAACGCTGAGATGGAATGAACCAGGGCTTGGGCAGCTTTTGGGCGTTTTCCACCAATTCAAGTGGCATTGCAGTCGTTTAACTTTATAGACTATGACGACAATCAAAGAGCGGAATGTCCCGTCTGCCGGCAGTTCGATGATGGGATCAACATCCTCAGTCTCTCAGGGCGTCCCAGTGATGAAGAATGAATTGCCGACGGCGATGGACTTGGCGTAAACGTAATTGGCACCCTGTTTCCCTGTGGATATTGTTATTCCCGTTGTCCGTCCTATAATATAGCTCGGGCAGGCGGGGCGCAACTTGTGTCGACAAACATGCAGAAGACCCAACTTTTTCACTCGACTAAGAGTCATGCCCATGTCTCTGGCGAATAATACTCGTTCTGCTTAGCGGTAAGAGCTGCGCCAGCACTCCGTATTTGCTGAAAGCTTCAAAGTGGACCGTGGCTCGCCTGTGGCATTACTGAAGAGAGGCTGGAACGAGAGTGGCTGCAGAGCACTAATCAACAGTCACGGAACAGCCACATGATGGAGACGAGCCCTGGACGACCAGCAGAGCCACGAACTTGCCTGAAGCGTCTCGAATCCGCCCTCAATCCACAAGCAGCAGGTCCAAATCTGTCTTTGACATAGAAACAGGAGACAGGAGACAAGCCAAGACATCGTAATAGTGTTTTCAAGTGGGCATCCTATCGGAGAGCAATTCCGACGTGTGCAGAAGATGCCGGGATAACGAGGCTAGCCATCGTCGATCCTAAGCCAGTAGTTCTAAGAGGCTGGTGTAGGGGTGAGAATTGACGGCTCCACATGATTCAAAGAGTGGTTTCGTTTTCCCTTGAACTTCGGACTGAATGCCGACCAGCTTTCCTCTTTTCCCCGCATATTGGGCAGAAATTGAGCGAGGGAATTGCAAAAAGTAAATTTTCTTCGCGAATCGAGATGATTCGCGAATGTTACCTAATAGAACTTAGCTAGGAAAGAGCAAGGGTGTTAGGCGCAATGGCAGCTGTTGGGCTGGTGGTTGAAGGTTTAATGTACAAATGGAATACCGCAGAGCTACTGCCGTCAAGTGTGCGGTAATAACAAAGTATCGCGGCAAACTACAGGTACTATCAAGGTACTATTACAGCGTATTTTACACCCAAGTACCTTGAGGACCATACCTTCCTCTTTACTTGGTAGCGGACAAGACTGAGCTCCATGGAAAGGCATGACTGGATGCAAAATTTTCAACCCCTTTTCTTCATCTTGTAAAGTCCAATCCCCAAACAGTTACCGACATCTTACGCATCTCACGAACCGGCCGCCGCTGGATTTCAACTCATCGTTTCACTATTATATTCTGCCTCCATAGTGCTCTATAGCGGCCATGCCGGAAACCTACTCCGGCGTCCCGGACTCCGTCCAAAACACACCGTATGAAGCCAGATTAGCATCGCCAATAACTTCATCTTCTGCTCCACTCCAACGGGTCTGGCTGTTGCTTGCGCCGTCGAAAACGCTCCAGTCACGCTCGTTGAAAAGACACTTAGTCACTGAAACAGATCAAACAGGGTTTGTCCTCCGTTCTGGCATGAGCTTGACAGGGAAAAGCGCAGCCCAGCGCCGCGCCTAGCCCTGACAAGCGGGTGCCGTCTGGGGCAGACTGGTATCTGCTAGGTATCATCCGGTAAGACGGCCGCTTGGCCGGTACGAAAGAGCAACTTCGGCACTCCGATTCTGCACCCAGCATAGCATGGGACGCACACGAGCGCTGCAGCTGCTGGGCGTCATCGTTGATCGCAAAAGGCAGCCGGATCAATTTCGCTGCAATTCTTTTCTAACTGGAAAAAATGCGCTTAGACCTGATGGCCGCTTGTAGTCTTGCCATGGCTAGGGCTGGACCCAGACTGGACCGAGCATCGACGATGGCCCTAGACCGGTGTCCATGGAGTCGAGTCACCTGGTACGTGCCGTGCCAGGAACATGCCGTGTAAGTTGTTGAAAATGCTTTCTAATCGAATTTTCTGGATAGAGCCCTTCGTCACCGAAGACGTCTTCGGAAGATTAAGAAATGAAACATCGCCACCCGCGCCCCAAGACCAACGTTATTTCGCATCAGCTGTCACATGAAGACGGAATATACGGTCCCATCTTGAATGGCGCGCTGGCTTAGAAACCCATCTATCCGGCGCACAGCCAACCACGAATCCTTTGTGCCAGCCAAGAATCCCAGCTCGTCAGCGCCCGGAGTCCCGTGGCGTCGCCCCGGCCTCGAAGTCCTCCACTTCGCTTTTTTTTTCGCACCCGGTGCTCCACTACTGGCTTCGTGTCTAGAGTCTATCTTCTGGCCTTTTGACGTCGTGGAATGGGCTTTATTCAGCATCTGCGGAGCGCTAAATGACGAAAGTATACTGCGTACCAGTCTACGTACCTGTCGCTGTCACGCACGCTGTGGCTGGATCAAGCCTGGTCTCTGATAGAATGTAAAATGGACTCAGCAGCCACTTCAACGTATCCGGACCCAGCGCGTGCACACACAAAGACAAGGGCAGGGCAAAAGAAGGACAAGTCCGGACCGTGAGAATCCACACGCCCCTCCTCGTTGTGCCCCGTTTCCGATAATCCACCCCCGGATTTTTCACAATTCGACTCATTCCTTTTCTTCTTTCTTTTCCATGAACCTCTCTTACCCCACGCTGTTGTCATCTGTGTCTATGTGTGGCTCAAGAGCTCTACTTGTTCAATGATCGATTTCTCGTCACGATATCACCAAGACGACACCTCAGCCAGTATAGTCGTCCATTGTTTTAGGTTCATAGCCTCTCCTTGGCGATTCATACATGAGTAGCAGTAGCTGCGGCAGTGTGCGTTCAGCTTTCCCTTCGGCCTGCGCGCAACATCGCTGCTCTCAACACCTCATACGACCGCCTTCGCCACCACCTAAACCGGCACTTGGGATTCATGCTTGAATGAACCACCCATTTTTGAATACTAGCCAGGATCTGCTCTTTTGAGACGATTGCACCTTGCCGTCCATCCTAACCGACTCTGAGCTTGCCCAAAACCTCTGAGGTTTGCAAAGGGGCTTTTTTTTCTCACGCGAGCCTTCAAGTCCGCATCGACTTCACCTACCTATACGCCCGCTGAGTGTTTACTCGCGGATATCCCTGGCTTATATCTCTTCTACTTTTCTCGTCAACACTGCAGCCAGCCACAATGTCTCCAGAAGCTGCGCCAGAGCTTTCCTATGACGATTCCGCCGCAAATGCCGGCTCACCGTCAGATTCGGCGTCACCAGAACCAATCGACAATGCGTCCACTGCCGACGGACGATCCGACGACAAGTCCAAGAAGCGATCAGCTCCCAACGACGGCGCTGAGCAGCCACACAAGGTTACCAAGAGGCGTGCCGCTCGTGCCTGTGTCTCATGTCGCGCGCGCAAAGTTCGCTGCGATGTGGTTGAGGGAGCTCCATGCGGAAACTGTCGCTGGGACAATGTTGAGGTACGCAATGTGCAGTACGGCAGCGACCTCTCACGAACAAAGCTGGCCTGGCATTCACCTCAATTACCAAAACCCGTCTACAGTTGGGCTGACCTCACTCTTTTCCTCTAGTGCATTGTCCAGGAGAGCCGCCGGAGAAAGTGAGTAATCCCGTCTGCTCCGTTCCCCCATTCCCCTTGTGCATATTCAGTGCACGGCCGTTCCCAATCCCCTATATCCGTTGGAAGCGGTGCTCCGCCGTCATGATTTCAGAGCCCTAGCTTTTCGAGGCATCTCGGCACTGGCACCTCCCACGTGAATACCCCAACAACCAATCTGGGGAGAGTCGACAAGGGGCTTAGCACTACCAAGGAGTTTACCCCGACGAGCCAATCCGCTGACGCGCAATCCTTTCTAGAAAGAATCTCGTTACCGCCAGCATCGTGGGGCAAGGCCAATCAGCCGAGGCTCAGCTGCGCAAAGCACCGGCGAACCCCATCGCCATCAACAGCGCCGACCTGCGAAGAACCAGCGGGTCCTCTATGATTTCGCCCGCCAGCCTCGACCCTTCAAGCGGTCTGCTTCCCAACGCTGGCGTCGATGGCCATGTGCCTCACATGATCTGTAAGCAATGCCATTCGATGTTTCATTTTTGGAGTCCCACCAACTACGGATCGCTCTGGTTTTTTTTTCTCCCTTCCCCGTTCTCGGGGAGAGTCTCTCCAACTTCTCCGCACGCATCACCCCTTCCCCCCTGACCCACCCGGTTGGGTTAGAGCCGTCCCGTCCATTCAGCATCGTCACCAGACCCTAGAGGCTGCCGTCAAATTGATGACGGGGATCTTCTTTCACATGCAAAATCGAGTGATTTGACATGTGCAACAGAGCTAAACTGAACATCACTGTGCTTTCTGACCATAAGCGTGCTGACCACAAGACCACTCTGGTGTACTAGATCAACGCTCTGCATATCGCAATGAGCCCGTTTTACTCAGCAAGGCACAGCTGTCGGAGGCGAGTCGGTCTTCCTGGACGAGCACTGCCGGCTCCGTGGGCCATGGTTCGTCTCGCACCACGCAGATGATGGGCCTGCTCGATGATGCGGATTCAATTGTCCAGCTCCCTCCGTTCGTGCGCCCCTTGCCGAGTAAAATCCCAGCGGATGATATTCGCTATCTACACGCAAAGGGTGCGCTCAGCATCCCTTGCCTGTCGCTGCAGAATGCGCTTCTGCGTGCCTACATTGAATATGTCCACCCTTATATGCCACTTATGGATCTGGTTCCCTTTCTCAGCGTCATCAACCGTTATGATGCTGCAGAGGGCCAGATTAGCCTGTTCTTATATCACGCCGTCATGTTTTCGGCAACTGCTTTTGTCGACATGAGACATCTGCGAGAAGCAGGCTACGCAACTCGCAAGGCTGCCAGAAAAGCCTTTTTCCTAAAGACGAGGGTAAGCCAATTATGCATTCGGGCTGCACACGCCCCCCGTTCGTGCAGGAGATGAGATCCATATTCACATGTCAATAGCTACTCTACGATTTCGACTACGAATCAGACCGCTTGATACTCGTCCAGGGGCTCTTGTTAATGACGTACTGGTACGAGACTCCCGATGATCAGAAAGATACTTGGCACTGGATGGGTGTGGCGATATCCTTGGCTCATACTATTGGGCTGCATCGCAACCCCGAGGTCACCAGCATGGCCGTGCCGACGCAGAAGCTGTGGAAACGCATTTGGTGGTCTTGCTTTATGCGCGACCGTCTCATTGCTCTTGGCATGAGGCGCCCGACGAGAATCAAGGATGAGGATTTCGACGTGCCTATGCTGGTGGAGAGCGACTTTGAGCTGGGGGTGCTGCCAGACAAAGTCACCATTATCCCACCTGAATGCACGTTGATGCGCGATACAGAGATGCAGCGGGAGCTTGCCGTCATGTGCATCGCCAAGGCGAAGCTGTGCATTTGCATTAGCCACATGTTAAAGGCCCAGTACTCGGTTCTCATCCGAGACAACATGAAGCCCGAGAACACGACCAACAGCACCATGATGCTGTTCCCCAATAAGAAGCTGGATAATTTGGACAACATCAAGGTGGTTGACGCAGAGCTCCAGGAATGGGCGGCATCACTTCCTGCGTGTTGTCAGTACCGCATGTTGGTCCCTGCAGACACCAAGAACGGCAGGTCTACTATTGTCGTTCAGCGAATGCTCCTCCACATGGTATATCATACGACTATCTCTGCTCTGCACCGTCCCCAGTTTCTACCGTCGTCTCCCATGCAAGCACCGACCGCCTCTCGCCAGGTGCAAGAGATGTCGCGCCATAAGGTGAAGGATGCGGCGACGCACATTACGGACATGGCCACCGAGCTGCACCACCTCCGCCTGGAGAGGTATTTACCTACCACCGGTGTGACAGTGATCCTACCTGCCATGATCATCCACCTCTTGGAGATGAAGAACCCAATGCCAGATGCTCGGTCGCGCGCAACAAGAGGGTTCCGCCAGTGCATGCGAGTCATGGAGAAACTACGCGAGATATATGCTGCCGCCGACTATGCCACCGGGTTCCTGGATGCCGCTCTCAGGAAGGCGGCTATTGATATCAATGCTACCGTCGAGCCGTCGACGTTGGCAATGATGAAGGAGGTTCCCCCTGAATTCGGCACGCACACGCCGCCACCTGAAAACGCTCCGTACATGACCGCTTCCGAGACACTCTTCAACCAGAAGCCCAAGGAGGTCCAGAAACCGATGGGCCCTCCGGGGGCAATCAATACCATCGCCCAAGGATCATCTGTGGTCAACTCTCCGCCGCAAACCGATTTTGATCCGTCGAATCTTACTCCGAGTGTGAGCGGCGGATCGGATGAGGTCCACATGGAAGTAGATAACATTATTGGTGTCGATTTCATGCAAGGCCATGACGAGTTTGACTGGAACGCGGTCGCCGGTACTGATTTTGATGTGGACCAGTGGCTACAATTCCCTCCTGAGGGAGTTGCTGGCACCGACGAGACGTTGATGGCCAGTGCATTCACTGGCGCTCCTGGCGGTGAGGATAATACTTTTGGCTGGGTCTTCAACACAAGTGTTGATGGAACTATTCCGGCGCACCCCGAAACCTCTACTTGAGCTGAAACAAACAAATAAGAGATTTTGCTTTGAGGCATTCTCTCATTCGCCCTGCGGATATTGGTAAGGTTTTTGGTTAAAAAATATATAATAGATTAGGGAGAGGCGTCAATGGATGGCGTTTTGGATATGTTGTGGGATATTGCTGCTTAAAACAAAAAGGAGAAGTCTCGGTTATATTTGACGGGCACCTGCTGGCTGGTACATTGAGTGTCGTTTTCTTGCGCATTTCGTTTTCGTTTTCCTTCTCGGCCGCCCTTGCGGCCTGAAGATGGGCATGATTGATTATCTCTATCTGTTGTTGTCGTTTACGATGATGATAATGATAATGATGAAGGAGAGTGTTTCAAGAGTGTCAGATGGAACCCCAGCAGGCGGGTCATGCACGGTCGTTTGTTGTGATGGTTGCTACGCTGAGAGCCGAGGAGGCTTTGAAAAGGGATTTATGAATGTATGGATGGATGGGATTATTTTTATACTGCGTAGATTTAGCAGCATCAATGATACTGATGCCTTCACTCTGCTTCCTGTGCTTGAATGAGTTACTACCTACCTTTGATGTATTACAATGATGTATCACAGTCGCGAATTGCCGCCTTGGCAGTTATGACGCGTTGGGTACAGTATCAAGCGCAGCATCCCAGTACTTGTCCCTTGGGCAGATTGGTAAGGCCTTACAGGCAAGATGCCCTCTCATGCAGTACCACCTGGGCATGCCTCGGCGCCTGCACAAGTATAATAGGTTCGGACGCATTCAATTTTGAGAATTGCGGGCTGATCGCCGAGAAAGGACGTCTTGGTCAGGGTAGGGCTGCGGTCATGGTGGACAGGCTGTCGTGCATGGCGTGGCGTGTCCATGCTCAGACCCAATCATCGATGCGTGACATTTTTTGTTAGCAAGTACCAATGGTTCCGGGACGGGACATGTGGCGTGGCGGGACATGTGTGTAGCAGTGGAGGGCGGGAAATAGATTCAATCGTATCGTGGGCTTGCACGTGTGATTGACGTATCGCTTGCAGGCTGCTGATTTTTCATTCTTTGCCATCCATCCGCAGATAACTACAGTTTACGTGAATGGGCGGATATCTGGCAGTAGTACGAGTACGAGCATTACCTAAGGTAACCGCATGAGTAATACTGCATAATGCACGGAGCAAATGGGCAAGGGAGAGAGACAAGAGGACGAGTCCTGGGCCCCATCTATTTTCATCTCATCATGGCGACTGGACTCTTTCGGTGAGTTTTTCCTGCCTGCCCCCCCGGTAACGGAGAGGGCCGCTGAGGCCACGGGACCACGGAAGTGGAAGCGGAATCTGGCATGAGAGGACCCTTGCCTCGTCTTTCGTTTGTCTGTCTTATCGCAGCGTCATTTCTTGCGTCTGGGGACAGGGTGCAAGGCAAGGGAGACGCAGTGATTGAGTGCGTGTGAGCAACTCGTATGCGGGAATGACGAATTAGAAACCAAGAAATAAAAAATTTGATCTGAAAATGTGTCTCGGTTGGGCTGAGCTGGGACTTGAGAAGGGATAACCGGATGGGCGGGAGGTGTGGAGACGCGTGCGACATGAGTAAAGTGGTTGAAGAGAGCTGGAGAGGGAGAGAGAGAATTACTGTATGTACCTGTGCTGAGCTGCCCTTGGGATTGGAGGCGGGCTGAGGTGGATTTTGACTCGCCCTCCGTCTGTGCCGTCTTCTTCAGAGCCTTGCCTGTTTCAATCATGACATTGTACCGGATTATATCACACACACACACACACACTTGTTTTTGACCACGGCGCCAAAGTAAATATTTACTTTCCTTTTCCTACTAGCAGCTCCACGACGCGTGCAGACCGCGACTTGAAACCCGCAATACGAGTACGTACCGTCCAGGATCTGTATTTCCGTGATGGGTAATACGCACTGCTGGGTACCTGGCGCTAGCCTTTAGCCTGCCGTGAGAGTAAGATTGCCTTTTGTCAAAGGAGGAGACTCGCACCACGCGGCAAATGAGAGCTGCCATGGGACAGGGCGCTAAGATGTAGCGAGGGCCCGCCTTGCCATTGTACCTGGCACAAGCACCTACAGCCAGCATCCACAGCGCCCACAGCACACTGACAAGGCCTAAGCAGCACCCAGCACAGCACCCTTCAGATGGCGTCAAGGCGTCTCCCCAGGGACTTTGCTTGTACCTCCACTGTTCCTCATACGAGGGCGACAGAGGGCGAGTTTGATTGCCTAGAGAGTCCGTTGCTGGCTAATATCTTTGCTCGGGGTCCTGTTGGCGCCGTCGCGGGCGCGTTGTGTTGAAGCTCGGCGCCTCTGGTGCACGCTCGTTTCTCTCTTCTTTTTTCCTTGTGTCTTATGTTGTTTTTCCCTCTACCAACTACTACTAACTTTTGACTTGCAATACCGTCGCGATCTGTCTCCCCGTCGCTCGCTTTGTTTTACTCCTGTTTTCGTTGTGATTTTGCCACTTATTGTCCCTCATTGCTGCGGACAAGGCCAGTCGTTCTTTTGAAAAAATCAGCCCCCTTGGCTCACAGTCCTTTCTGTCTCACTCTCACTCATTCTTTTTTTCGCGCGCGCGTTGACACCTGGTCCATCGCTCTCGCCCAATACCACCTTGCTGTGTGCTTTTTTTGCCTTCGCGACTGTCGCTATCGATCGCCACGTTTTCTTCATGTGGGAGTTAACACCACGTCTGTCTTGCATAATCGTCGATTGAAAGAGCCCCCAACAAACGACCCCCTACGGCGGATACCCAACGCGCGCCACATATTGCCTACATACAGCCAGCCTGGTTCGGATCCCACGCATAAACGCAAGACGCATTGCAGACTCCACGCTGTTCGCCAGCTGCTCTGCTTATTCGCTGCCCGCTTATCCGGAGGCCTTGCCAGCGCAGCAGCACTGAGGTGGCACCATCCAGCTTGTGCCCAACCGCCGAGCCGAAACACCTGCGACAGCGTCTATACCTATACAGTCCTGCTCGGATTTTGCACCTCCTGCAGCTAGTTGGTGTGCGCTGGTCTCCTGTCTGACGCCCCGTCATTCCTTTTCCTTCTGCGACGCTCCGCGCCGAGCTACACCAGGGGAAGGGCGGAAGCGGCCATTGGATTGATTCCCCAGCGTGGATCTTTTTGCAGTGCACCTTCAGCTTTACTTGAATCGGCCTCTTTTTATCCTTCTCCCTCTTTCTTTCATCGTCGCGCTTGACTTTGTATCTCTCTTTTTATTACAAAGTCGCAAGCAAAGACCCAGGCAAGTCAGAGAGGCCAACCGCCTCCGTGTGCTTGCCTGCAAAAATTTGTCCCTTTGACGGCTTATAGCTTTGGTCGCATGGCTGTCATTTCATAGCCGCAAAAAACAAACACCCCATCACCGCCGTTCTCCGACTATGGGCATCACCAACGAAAATCGAATTATCGCTGTCCTAATCCCTCCCGGTCCATGACATAGGTTCAACCTTGGAGACGGAAATCAAACAATCCTTTTTTCACCAACAAAGGCAGATGATGCCTTGGTGGCATCACTGTTACAACTAGTTGCACGCGCTAACGACTACACACCAACCGCGACGACCGCGAATAAGCAACCATGAACGAAACACCAGTTCTCATCAAGCAGAAGCGGCTTTCGACGCCCACCCCGGGCCAGCTGCTGGCTGCTCGGCAGCGTTCTGCTGATGACTTTTTTGCTCACCTGGAGCCAGCGAAAGTTGTCGAAGCATTATCGCCGCCCGATGGCGTTCTCAGGGGTTGCCTCGCAGAAGCTTCTGCGCTCGAGCGCGACTTCGCAATGCGAACGGCCGTGGCATCCCACAAGATCTGGCAATGGCTCAGCGAGCTGAACCAGTGGAATTGGCCAAAACAAGCGGGGTCCGGGGGCTTCCTGGAGCCGAGCAATACGCAAAGGAAGCTTTTCGCTCAGGCCCCGACCCCTGAAGAGACTGGACGGAAGCAGTACATGGGGAGCCTCCCCGCTGAAGAGGTGGAAAAATACGAAACAAGAATCAATCAAATCAACAGAGACATGGATGACCTGGATCTCGAAGAGATCAAAGGCCACGTCATGAACGACCACATCCTACCGCTGTCAAGGCCGGGTACCCCAATGAACATGGACCCTAGTCGATCTATGCTATCGGCCTTGTCGAGCTATCACAAAATGGAGGACATCTCGGTCCTCATCACCGCCATTGTCGTGCAGACCCTGCCCAACTTGGCAAAGCTGTCTCGGCTGCTGCAGCTGTGGCATATGCGCATCATCGTCCTCCGGCACGTCAACCCCTTTCTGCAAGCCATCCAAGATGTGGAGGCGCTTCTTGGGCAGAACTGGGAGGCCATTTCCCAGTCTCACTGGGAGATGGAGCGCCCAAGCCGGAAAGCCATCGTCTTACCCGCTCGCACCTTGACGTCTAAAGACTTTGAAGCTAAAAGGCAATCACTTGCGCTCAAGGTTGCAGAGCCTGGCCGGACCCTGGATTACATGCTAGATTGCTTGGAGGGCGCCCCGGACACCCTCCCGGATGAGTGGCTCACTCGTATGGAAGACGTGGAACAGGGTTACGGAGAATGGGTTTCCGCCTGCGAGCGAAAAATGGCCGAAGCCAAGCTGGCAAAGTCAAAGCCTAAGCCAACCCCTCTCAGGAAGACCTCTTCGCTCTCGCCATCTCCAACAAGGGCTCATCAATCCGCCAACAACAGAGATGTGAGCCCAGCAAACAGTGGCAACAAGCTCTCACCGCCATTATTACTGGTGCCTGGCACCGGCGAATCAGATCATGGATCGTATCTAGACCCCATTGCAGAGGATGAGTTGTCCTCACCGGAGGACCATTTGGATGGTTCCTCTCCTGAGGATCTTGCCATGATGGAGGACCACATGTCAGCCATCAGCGAAGAGGACGAGTTGCCGTCGAGCGAGTTTATTGAAGTGTCTGGATCCCCCACTATCCCCAAGAGTAGACTTCGCGAGGCGCTTTATCCGGAAGATGACAGCCCACCAAGCTCTCCTCCAGAACTAAACCGCCGCCTCCTCGATAGCCCCATGGTTATAGAAACGCCCGAAGACGATGAGTCATTCTTACAATCGACATTTGAGGATTCCTTCTTAGACGACTTTGAGGATTCATACACTCCCGATTTGCCTGGCCGGCCTACCCGCCGAGAAAGCGCCGGCGAGCAGCAGCTCCGGATGCAAATTAGCCAGATTATTGAAAACATACCAGCCAAAATCAAGCTCACGAATGGAACCTCTGGCATCAACCTAAACCCACCAGATCTTCAACTCCCTCGCTTAAGGAAGAAGCCGTCTAAGGAGCCGGTTAAACGGAGCACATCTGGCATGTCCACCCGAACTGCCACGCCTTCTTTTACTCTATCTCCAGTCAAACAGAGGACGCGTCCCAAGGGCCACTATCCGATTAGGGTCTATCATCTCTCTAGATCAGATAACGAGGCCCCCATCAAGCTGTTCATCCGCTGTGTAGGAGAGCAAGGAGAACGAGTAATGGTTCGCGTTGGTGGCGGCTGGGCTGACTTGTCCGAGTACCTGAAGGAATACGCTAGCCATCATGGCCGCCGTTCCAATGGCAAAGAAACGGTCAAGGTGGAGGTTCGCGACATTCCTCGTGCCTCAAATGGACCTTCCAAGGCCAGCCCTCCAAGCCGGCCACCTACCGCTACTGGTGATCGCTCTTCTGTGAGCCCCCTAGCAGCAGCACGCAAGCCACGGAGGAGCAGCATCAACAACAACCTGCGTCCGAAGACCCCAGTGACGCCAGGTCAACCGGCGGAAGGTACGCCACCATCTGAGGGCTCGGCCATTTCAAGGCCTAGCTCCCGGCTAAGCTGGGCAGAGGATGAAAGCTCTTTCTTGGGCCTAGCAGGGCCAAAGGCTAAGAAAATAGAGATGAGTGAAGAGAGCAAGGCTTGGGTTGAGAGCATCAAAGAGAAGGTACTCATGGCTAGTGGCCCGGACAGAAAGACAAATGAGAAGAAGTTTGGCGAGATTGGAAAGGCTGGTGGCACGAAGCGCGTGTTCAGGAGAGGCTGAGCGCTTCCCCTTTTCCCTTTTCCTTTTTTTTTTCTTTTTTTCCTTTTCCCATTGTGGATATGACGGACGCGCCATACATGGAAAGGCGAGGAAACAATTTCCTAGACTGGGGTGGGAGTCAATTTACGGGGATGAGGAAACTGGTCTTTTATTTTTATTTGCATGTTCAGAGAATCATGCATGGAGTTTTGTTTGGGCGGGCATTGGCGGGCATAGCATGTCATAGTGTTACAGAAACGTCTGCATGAGGTGTCATTGCGGGAGCGAGTTATAAGCATTGTCGGAGGATACCCATATATACCTAGCGGATTTACCATATTTGTGGAATTCAAATCATATATATACCCCCTTAACTACTGGATCATGAGTCCTTGTGCGTTGACATGATATTAATTGCTGAGGTTATCGTCAATGCTGAGCCGCACGTCTCGGAGGTTTTCGTAGTGCGTCGTCGACCCAAGATCCACAGTATGCAATACTTATCGTAGTCGCAGTGTAAATAGTGTTATTATTAATTAAATAATCCATTATTCTCTTTCAAATAAATAATACGATCGCTCAACTTTATCTCTATTTCACAGCCATACCAATGTGAATGAGAAAATCGACCGCCGCCCATTTTTAGGCTCTAAATTCAGGTACAGTGTTTATTACATCATCTAGCTCCCCGGCGCTAGTTCCCACTACTACTAGCGTTGGCTTATCGATAATCGGCCGAAAAAAAAAGTCGCCAGAGAGTGAAGGGTCTCGAAAAAAATCGAGACTGTCCCGCGCCTACATTCAAACCAACACCACCCATTGGGATCGAAAAGACATTTTTAAAACAGCAATTTTCGGTCGCAACCATGGGTCAAGGACGTCGCATGAAGAGAAAGCAGGGCATGCCCGAAGCCCTGTCCGAGGAACACTTTGCCAACCTCAAGAGAAAAGCAGGCCTGCCCGTCGAGCCGCCGGTCGAGAAGGCATCGCTGAGCAACAAGAAGCGCAAGACCACCAAGGGCGCTGCCGTGGCGAAGAAGCCGGAGCCTGCGCCTAAGAAGGCGAGCGCGAAGAGCAATGGAAAGGCAAAGAAGCTGCCGGAGCCCGAGGAGGATTCCGACGAAGAGATGGATGACGAGTTCGACCTAGATCAACTTGAGGGCGATGCGTCCTCAGATGAAGAGGCTTCTTCGGGAGAAAAGAAGAAGAACATCTGGTCTGACGATGAGGATGAGGATGATGATGCGGAAGAAGACGACTCAGTTTTCGACTCTGACGATCAAGAGGATGGCGGAAAGAAGGGCAAATTCGTCTTCTCTGACGACGAAGACGAGTCTGACGCCGAGGAAAAACTCACTGCCGCCAACATCGTGGGTCTGTCGCGAAAACTAGACGAGAAACTTGCAAAGGACAAGGCCATCACTGAGACGGAACTGCAAGAGTCTGCCATGCAAACGAACATTGATGGCCCTAAAATCTTTGGCGAAGGCTATGAGGATGACGACGAGGAGGATGACTTGGCGAAGAAGAGCCAGTCTCTGCTGGCGCCAGACCTGCAACTCCTGAGACAGAGAATAACGGACACGATACGGGTGTTGGATGACTTTGCCAATCTAGCGGAGGAGGGAAGATCTAGAGCAGAGTATACCGCTCAGCTGCTCAAGGATATCTGCGGTGTAAGTCCTGTCCCTTTGCATTTTGCCTTTGTCTGAATTGGCGTTCTAATGTGGTGTGGTGATTTCAGTATTACGGCTACAGCCCTTACCTCGCCGAGAAGCTCTTCAACCTCTTCACCCCTCGAGAGGCCTTTGCCTTCTTCGAAGCCAACGAGATGGCCCGTCCCGTCGTTATCCGAACAAATACCCTCCGAACACACCGAAGAGATCTCGCCCAGGCGCTCATCAACCGCGGCGTTACTCTTGAGCCTGTCGGCAAGTGGAGCAAGGTCGGCCTGCAGATTTTCGAGGCGAATGTGCCCCTGGGTGCTACGCCCGAGTATCTCGCTGGTCACTATATTATCCAGGCTGCTGCCTCTTTCTTGCCAGTCATGGCACTCTCACCGCAGCCGTAAGTTTCTATTCGTCTCGGGTTCTAAACCAATATTGTATAGAGGCTAACGTCGTATGTGTAACCAGAAATGAGCGAGTTCTCGATGTACGTGCTGAAAGAGAAGCGAAATCCAATCCTTTACCTTTCTTTTCTCCGAGAATATCCTCTGACAATTTGAATAGATGGCCTCTGCTCCCGGTGGAAAGACAACCTACTGCTCAGCCATGATGAACGTAAGACTCGACTTTTAACCCCTGAGCCTACATTGGCTTTTAGTAAAGATTAGTTGCTAACATCACCACAGAACACCGGCATCGTCTTTGCCAACGATCCCAACAAGGAGCGTGCCAAGGGTTTGATTGGTAACGTTGCTCGTCTGGGTGTTCGAAACGTCATTGTCTGCAGCTACGACGGTCGCGAGTTCCCCAGAGTCATGGGAGGCTTCGACAGGTGAGCAGCCTTCATATCCTTAGATAGCAAAATAAGATACTAACTGGTGTAACAGAGTGCTTCTTGATGCCCCTTGCTCTGGAACTGGCGTTATCTCCAAGGATCCCAGCGTCAAGACCAACAAGGATGAGAAGGATTTCATCTCACTGCCACACATGCAGAAGCAGCTGCTGCTGTCAGCTATTGACTCAGTCAACCATGCTAGTGAGACGGGTGGTTTCCTTGTCTACTCAACATGCAGTGTCACTGTCGAGGAAAAGTACGTTGCTCTCCTCTTCTCCCCCCTCTCACACACTGCAAGCAAAAAGGTGGTTTCTAACAGATATTTCCTCAATTTAGCGAGAGTGTCGTCGCCTATGCTCTGTCTCGCCGTCCCAACGTGAAGCTCGTCGATGCCGGCATCCCCTTTGGCAAGGAGGGCTTCACCAGCTATATGGGCAAGAAGTTCCACCCCAGCCTCAAGCTCACCCGCCGCTTCTACCCGCACGCCCACAACATTGACGGCTTCTACGTCGCAAAGTTCCAGAAGATTGGGCCCACGCCGCCTAACGCTATCGGCGGCGCCGGCAAGAAGATCAACACTGCTGCTGATGCCGACGAAGAGGTTGTTGATAGGACGCCCATCACAACTGACGATGATACTGAAGTCGAGGAGAAGAAGGCTGGTAAGAAGACCAAGGCGGCTAAGGAGACTGGAAAGGGCGACTTTAGCGCCTTCGATGATGATGAGGATGTCAAGTATATGGAGAAGGCTAAGAAGAACGCCATGAGGAGGAGAGGTTTGGATCCCAAGTCTTTGAACAAGCCTAAGAATCAGGAGAAGAAGCCCAAGGCTCAGGAGAAGAAGTGAAGAGCATGAAAAAAGAAGACTTGAAAGAGCGAAATACATACTGTTAATAGCATGGTAAAGAAGTGGCTTTTCGGGACTGTCAAAGAAGGGGAGAATTTGTTGGGACGTTTTTTCTTGTTTCTTGTTTCTTTTTTTTTAAACTGTTTCCTATGGGATGAGCAATTGTGGATATTTTGGTCACATTTGTGGGTTTACATAAAAAATTCGAAATCATATTCATTCCATCTCCCGTCCGCATTCAATGATATTCCATGCATGTATGTAGTGCCAAATCTCCGACACAAAAGGGTCATAATAGAGTCTTTTACCAGTTCCATTCGCATCTTTAAACAACCAAAGAAAAACAGTAAGAGTTATCTAGTCATCAGCAAAGTTTGGTGCTCCCCTCCTTGCCTTCCTGCCCATGCCATTCGGCGCGCCCTTTTTGAAATGCTTCTTACCAGACCCAAGCTGCACATCTTTGGGGTCTACGCCGGTCTCGAGAGCAATCGCTGCCCGAGCCTTGCGTCCGCTAAGCATCTTGGTGCCGCCGGCTGTGCTGCCGGACGCGCTGCCTTGTTCTGTGTACTTGTAGTTGAAGGGCTGGCTGACATGCCCGCGGATGTTCTTTGGCGTGAAGAAGCTCTTATCGAGCCTCTTGGATTTGGGGCCCTGGGGGAGGCCAACGAACTCGGATGCCAGGCTCTCGTCATCAAGGTGGAGGGCCTCCGTGGCGGCAATGAAACCGGCACGGCGGCGCTCGGGCAGATGCGCTTCGTCGTACAGCTCAGCGTTGAACTCCTTCTCATCCTCGATACCTGGGGGAGGATGAACGAAGAGGAGCTTTCCGTTGACGTAGTCTTTCAGGATATATCTGGATGCTCGCGCCTCATCTGGCTGACCAAGACCTTGGGTCTGGAATCCTCGAGCAGTAGCGTAAGCACGCAGCAGCTCCTCAGCGGTCGGAACACCAGTGCCTCCTTCTTCGACAGGTCTAGTCAAGATCTTGATGCCGTAAATGGCTTCCAGGAATGGCTGAGGAATTCTCTGAGCGACCAAGCCTACAGGTCCGGAGTGCTCGCGCATCTGGTCAATGGGCAGCACGCCCTGAGTGACGAGATCGGCCTTTGTGGTGGCGAAGTTGGGGAACACGAGACCAGGGCAATCGCACAGAATGACCCGCTCACTGAGATGAATGGTCTGGAAGTGCTTGGTCTTTCCTGGCGTTGAAGAGACGGAGACCTTTTTGGCTCCGATGAGGGCGTTGATGGTTGATGATTTACCGACGTTAGGGTAGCCGACTAATCCGACTTGGAGTTTGTGATCTGCCTCTGTCCAGGGAGTTAGAATTGCAACATAGTGTTTCTCATTGGGGCCAAAGACTTACCTCTATCGGTTGGAGCATATTTTAGGAAAATCTCTTCCAACTCTTCGACTGTGAGAATCTGAGTATCTTCATCCTCTGACGCTTTGCTTCCCGAGCCCTCGGCAGCCTCTGCCTCGTCTTCGCTCTCCTCATCCTTCTCAACCTGCTGTGATGAAGAAGATGGTTCCTCATCCTCCGATTCATAGTCTGAGTCCTCTCTTGCCTCGATCAATTCCTTTGCAAGCTGTGCAGAAAAGAATTTGTATGCAATTCCTGCTTCTCTCAGGTGCTTGGCCCATGCCTTGCGCTGCTTAACAGTCATCATGTCGGCCTTGTTGATCAGAAGCAAGTTCTCTTTCTTGGGATCAACAGCCTTGACGTATGATTCTAAATCCTCAGATCGGAAGAGAAGAGGGTTTCTCGCATCCACAATCTGCACAATGAGATCTGATCTTTCAATGACTCTCCACAGCTGTCTCCAAACCTCGATATTTCGTTCAAACGGCGTCATGAGCAGATCGTTATTCTCTTGCAGCTCGGCCAAGCCTCTTCGCCATGAGACGAGAGCCTCTCGCTCACGTAGGTCGAGCTCCTCCCGAGTCGTCGAAGCATCCCAGTGAGGTCTTCGCGGAACTGTCAGTCGGTTTCTATGCTGTCGGTGCTTGCCAAGGATGGCTCTCTCTTCAGTGGCGGATAGCAGATAGGGATTCTTCTGGTCGGTATGGATGATCTTGACATTGTTCATCTTCTCGGCCGTAAAGTCAGTGCCGGCCAGCTCGGCAGTGGCCAGGAACTCGTCCAGCGCGCCTTGCTCTGTAACGGAGCGCATCTTGACCCAAGCAGCATCCTTCTTGTCGTTTACGAGATATTGTTCGCCAGTCGTGTGATTCGTTCGCATAGTAGCGGACGTCTTCCTGTGGTCGGTGCCTTTGCCCTTTCCGAAGCGATCGTTCATCAGGGTATTGCCCAGCCCCTCATTCTTTTTCGACTTTGCCAACACCATCTTTGCGGCTGTCCTCGTTCGCCGAGGATTTCAAATGCGATTCAAACGGTCTCAGACTTTATGCCTGGTTAATGCGAATGTCCTCAGATCGCAGGGGAGGACGAGGATAAATATTTTGTTGTGGAAGGTCGCATGCCCAGGTTTTGCGGGCTGAATAATACATCATAATGGAGGGGCAAATTTTTTGGATAGTCACATGAAAAAGATTTTCGCACTGTATTTTGAAGGCCTTGCCCACAAATGCATACAGTACTATCAATAACCGAACTGTACTGGCGCTACCAAGAAATTTCTTTGAATACAGGCAGTAGGTTAACAAGCCCACTTCTGTCCATGCTCATTTGATTCAGCGCAATCGCAACACCGCCAAAATGCCCAAAGGAAAGTGGATGTAAGTTGATGCTGTTGATTTGTATGCTTATGTCTGTTTGGACATTATTGATGCTCTGTATCTAGTGATAAGAAGACGGCGCAGCACTTCACGCTCGTCCACCGTCCGCAGAATGATCCTCTCATCCACGACGAGAATGCGCCATCCATGGTGCTGAACCCCGTTCAGACAAAATCTGGATCAAAAGTTAAGCACCTGGATGATCTGGCCTCCGAATTCGGATCCGATGCAGGCGAAATCCGCGCCAACGAGGGTGAAGCCGCAAACTATGGCGTTTACTTCGACGATACCGAGTACGACTACATGCAACATTTGAGAGACCTTAACTCGGGTGGCGGAAACGTCGTCTTTGTTGAATCAAGCTCGACTCAGAACAAGGGCAAGGGAAAACAGAAGCAGTCATTGGAAGATGCCCTGCAGAAGATGGATCTTGAACAAAAGTCGGGCGATCTTTTGGACGAGGATATCCTACCATCCAAGAATCTCACCAGACTGACCTACCAGGCCCAGCAGGATGTACCAGATGTTATCGCTGGATTCAATCCTGATATGGATCCTCGGCTGCGTGAGGTCTTGGAAGCCTTGGAAGATGACGCCTATGTCGACGATGACGAAGATATCTTCAAGCAGCTGTCAAAAGACGGAGAGGAGCTTGACGACTACGACTTTGAAAATATGGGGTTCGATGACGGAGATGACGATGGATGGGAATCGGATGCCACGGCAAAGCCTACCAAAGAATACAAAGAGCAAGTACCAGAACTGGTGAAGGTCCAACCAGAGCAATCAGAACAGCCAGAACATGGGCCGTCAGAGGATTGGATGGAAGACTTTAAGAAGTTCAAGAAAGACCAGAAAGGCCCACGTGGGCCAACGGCTCCATCCCGTTCTGGAATCGAGTCCATGTGGACAACAACCACAAACGGAGGCAGGACTAAGAAGCGGAAGGGCGCCCTGACGAACGCCTCTGCCTACTCTATGACATCCTCGTCACTCGTACGAACAGAGCAGCTCTCATTGCTGGATGAGAGGTTTGAGAAGTTGGAGGCTCGTTACAACGAAGACTTTGATGATATGGGATCTGTATCAGAGGTCTCAACAACCTCTAGCGTCACAGGACCTATGCGCGGAGATTTCGATAATATTCTGGATGATTTCCTTGGATCTTATACAAGGCCTGGAAAGCGAACATCCAAGAAGTCAAAAGCACAGACAGGACTGGAGCAGCTGGATGAGATTCGACGAGAATTAGGACCTCCCCGTATTCGAGGCCGGGTTAAGTCATGATATGGGAATAGAGAGACGGGGCGTCGTAATGCAAAGGAAAAAGGTTTAAGAGCTAGCGAATTATATATGTTGTTTCTTATGAGAATAAAGTAAAATTATTCTTAAAACGCAAGCAGAAAAGTAAAAGACTTGTGACACTGTTTGAGGTATGAAAGATAGAGTCAAGTCGTCTGTCTTATGTAGATTGGATGCGTCACGTGATGGCCAGCCTCCTACCGCGAAGCTCAATCAAAGGTCCGGCTAGCTTTGGCATCGCGCATCAGCCAATATCCTGCGACACGGCCTTTTCCAACAACCTCCGAAAAGTCACGCCCAACACTCCTCCTCCATGCGCAAATCATCACATAGATGAATGCGACGTCCGTTGCATCATCGGGCCAAATGTTTTCCCCATTCAGCCAGAAGACGCAGGGCTCGTCGCAGGCTTTCAATCCTTTCGCTCCTCGGCCGACCGGTGAAGGAGCATCATTTGGCAGTGATGGTGCAGGCGGATCCAACTCACTCAACAAGAGTAAGCGGAAGAATGGATTTGGAGGAGACAGCGATGTGGAGAAGAAGCTCAACGTCAACAATCCGTTCAAGGGCAAGGATGGGAGCCTGAGCGACAGCGGGAGGCAATGGAAGAAGCGAGGTGGAGAGGGAGAGAAGAAGCCGGCAGAAAACAAAAAGAATTCCAAAAAGGCACGCGGTGGTACAAAAGGGCCGCAGCAGAATACCGATGGCCGCAGCAACGGTGTGCAGGCTGCCACAAGCGCCGAGGACGAAAACACATCACGCCCCAGTTCGTCTTCGAGTGCGAGCTCCATCGACGAAACGCTCGACAATGCAGCTATGCGCGCTACCGACCCGTACTCGAAGAAAGTATACGACCGACTGCGGAAGGATGGCATCAGTCCTCCATCTTGGCCATCTCAGCCTGGAAATCCAAACAGCAAGACAGAGATGGCCAAGTTTAGAGAAAAATACGAAGAATATCGACAGAAAGTGCGCGCGTCTCTCACCAAAGCCTCTCTTATCGACGACCCGGACAAACGAAAGACTCTCGAAAATGCCATCACCTTCCGAGGTATTTGCGAAGATATGTGCTCCGAGTACGAGAAGATCACGCGAATCACCGAATTGGATGTTCCCCAACCCGAAAAGGATGCACGAACAGGCTATGCCAAGACGAGTAAAATGGTCAAGAAGCTGGCGCGTTCGGCTGCTGGACAGGAAGCTCCTCTCCCGATGGATGTCCGCTCTACGGCTGCCCTACGACGTACTCTGGATTATCTGATTGACGACCTACTTCGCGACGACGAAAACTTGCCCGGTTTACACGGATTTCTGTGGGATCGAACGCGAGCTATCCGACGAGATTTTACCTTCTTCTCCTCTCCTACGGCCGACGATTTGAAAACGCAAGCATATGTACTGGAAAATATTGCGAGGTTTCATGTCACGGCACTACATCTTCTGTCACAGCCAGGAAAGGCTGGTGAAGACTTTGTCGAACAGCAGGAACTCGAGCAACTTGGCAAAGCTCTGCTTTCTCTCCGAGATTTGTACGATGATTGTAATGCTCAGGGGATTACGTGTGAAAACGAAGCCGAGTTCCGCGCATACTATCTGCTCTTCCATGCCCACGATTCCAATACGGTTGAGATGCTGCAGCGGCAATGGAAACCACACTTCTGGAGGGATTCAGACGATATAAGGACCGCAGTATCACTCGTTGAAGCATTGCAAAACACCGCCGATTTTCATGGCCCATTAAAGGCAGCCCCATTTTTAGCGGCGTCGAATGCTTTCCACTCATTCTTTCGAATTGTCGAGGACCCCAGTGTCTCATATACCATGGCTTGTTTTGCGGAGTGTCATTTTCCCCAGCTTCGCCGGTCAATTCTGCGGGCTGTGAAGCGAGCATTAGCCCGGCCCAAAGACACGGCAAACGACTTGACGGCTGCCGCTTTGAACAAGTTTCTTCGATTCGATACAGTTCAAGAAGCCATCGACTTTGCGAAACTTCATGGCATCGAATTCGTCCCAGATAAGCAGGCACCTATGGACCCTAACCAACAATGCTTGATTTTGAATAACAAGGAGCCACTTCGACACCCTCGTCTTCACCATCAATTCTCACAGACTCTCGTGGAAAAAAAGCGGCGAAATCGGCCTTTACCAGATGTTATGCATAAAACAATCTACGAGGACTCGACCACGTCTTTCCAATCCGGCAGCTTCTCTACACAAGAAGGATCTCTGTTTATGCCAGATACAGCACCAGTAACACCAGCCGAATCTCCGCCGATACAACCGCAAAATTCCACATCTCTTCCTGCGTTCGGCCAACCCTTAAGCGGGTTTGGAAGCAATCCCCTCGGCACACAACAAGGTAGAGATTTCTTCCCTTGCCAGATACTACAAGAACACCAGCAGTTATCTTGCACATCATTCTTGTTCATTCCAGTTCACTAATACCGTTTTAGCTTCAGAGCAACCAGCCAGCATATTTGGAGCGCCTGATGTACAAAAATCTACTCCATTTTCGAACCCCTTCGCTTCTGCTTCGACCCCTTTTGGCAGCAAGCCGACTTTGGGTTCTACATCTTCTGCTTTGCCTTCTGGCAATGCACCTACGACGGCCAACCCTTTCGCATCTGCTCTCACGTCAAGCAACGCTTCTCAGAATCCACCCGCACTACCATCAATCTTGGGTGGAAGCACGGCTGTTAATCCTGTTAATCCTTTTGCACAAGCAGCGCCAACCCCTTCACCAAGTTTTTCGGGTTTTCAAAGCAAGCCACCATCTCAACCGCAAACTCAGCCATCTGCAAGTCAAGGCGGCTTTCCGTCATTTTCTCCGCCAGCGGCTGTGAATGGAATTGCCCCCCCACCAAAGATTTCCTTTGCTGGACTCGGAGAGCAAAAGCCTGCCTCTGCCTTATCAGGGCCATTTGGTGGGAACAAAGCACCTATATTCCCCCCAGCTGCGGATACAGCCAAGGAAGAGACAACCCAGTCTAAGCCTAGCTTTTTTGCTTCTCCATCGCCAGCTTTTGCTTCGGCAAGCACGAGCAAACCGACGGCCTCTGCAGGGGTGCCAGCAATTACGCCTTTCTCAAATTTGACGGGAACAACTAGTAACAGCATATTATCCTCTGATCTAGGCTCAAAACCGCTGTTACCCACTCAGAGCCAGTCTCCATTGTATGCGGGCAATAAGCCATCACCATTCCCGCCAGTTGGTGACAACCTTGACTTCTTGTTGTCAGGCACACTTGACAAAGAAGTGCCCAAGGGTGCAATATCTACTACACCGGTTTCTGACTCTCTGCTGGGACTAAAGCCTAAAACGGCCGAAGAATCAGCTCTCTTGCGCCCTGGCACTTTGCAGAGTCCTTCTTCCGGTTTCCCAGGACTTGGTTCACCAACAACTAGTCGCAAATTTGATCCGGCTGCCAGTACCACCCCGACCTCCTCTCCTCCTCGAAGTGCAATCTTATCTACTACTCCACTCTCCCCCGCTCCCCCAAGGCCAGTGACTTCACCGCGCGATCTGCTAGGCGACTTCACAAAGTGGTTTGTGAATGGAGACAATGGGCTGATGAAGGAATTTGAGATTTTCATGGTAGAAAACATTGTACGAGAAACTTTTGACAAATTTCAAAAGGATGAGAAGGAGAGAATGGCCAGAGAGAAAGAGGAGCAAGACGAAGCGGAAGCTAAGAGATTCCGGATATACAACCTCTCTCTGAAATATTTTTACCGGTGGAAGAAAACTGCTCGGGAGAGGCGTCTAAGGCAGCTGCGTCAAAGTGGACGCGACCAATTCCGCGCGTTTCGCGAAGCTCAGAGAGCAGCACAGATCAAGGAAGAGCAGGAGGCTACTCGACGAATTGCCAGCCAAAAGGCAGAACTGGCTACTCTCAATCGCCCTGATGAGCTAGCGACAATACTCAAGAAAAATCGACAAAGTAAGAGGAAAGCAGAAGAAGCACTGTTTGCGTCCGGCGTCTTATCTGGTGTTGCCAACGAGAGGAGAGCGGTCTCAGCAATCTTCCGCAACGATTACCGACTATCGCCTACCCCGTCGTCGATTAATGGGAGCCAGGGGATTCGATCTCGGTCCGGGTCGGTCGCAAGCACGGAGGGTGGTTCGAAAACACGGGCTTTGCGCGAACGACTGTTAGGGGAAAAGCCCGGGCGATTTCAGCGTTCTCTGCCTTCTGTATCAGCAGGTAGCTCACCACCGGAGAAATCACGCGTAAGCAAAGTCTCTGAGCGCTGGCGATTGAAAGCTATGGGCATCGTACAGATGCCTGACGGAACTGCCTTGCCGGAATCCATGGTGGACGATATCAAACGCGGTCTCAAGAAGGATACAGGTTTCAGAGGAAGTGCGAGCCTCAGAGGAAGTACAGGCTTTAGAGGAAGTACAAGCCTGAGAGGAAGTGCAAGCCTTAGAGAGAGTACATTGATCCGACGGGCGTCAATCACCAGCGCAGCATCAACGATAGCAGCAGCGGCGGTGCGGCCGCAAAGCCCTATGACATTCACATCCTCTCGAGAAGACCCCTTTCTAGATAGCCCATTGACCATCAATAACAAGAGGAAGCGATCCGTGGGAGATGCGGGGGAGACGGCCAAAGAGCAAGTCGAAGATACGGATTCACACAAGCGCGTCATGAGCGACGCGGATATTTTAATACAGGAACTTAGGGCGATGCGTCAGGAGATGGAGGAGGGTACAACGTGGTTCAAATCACAAAACGGAAAGCTGCAAAGCGATATATTGAGCAGAGGGGGCACGCCTCTGGACGAAAGCATCATGTGAGAAAAAAACATCGGCGTTGGAAGGGAAGGAAATTGATATTTTTGGGGGATTGGTTGTCACAAATTCGACAGAACTTGAGGGATTCATTTATGGTAATAAAGGCCTTTTTTTCTTCCTCTCCTCATCATCATTACTTTGTTTTTAAAAAATCTTCATCCAACGTTTCTTGAGCTTTGCAAGCCGTCATTCTTGCTTTGGTTTCATTGGCTTTTGGCTTGTTTTGTTTCTGCGCGCACGAAAGGGAGACAGAGGAAACCGGCACGAATTCTCGAATACCCACGAATTGGATTGTCGGATCGAAGACTGTCTCTTGTTGCTCTACTCGAATTCAAAAGAGATTGCGGTATCGTCTTACACAAATTCGTGTTCTTTTTTCTCTTTTCGTTCTCGTGTTTCATCCCCAGGTGATGTTTATACTTTGAGAGGCCTCTTTCTCTCTATGTTTGTTATTCTCATATGCCTTTTTTTTTTCTTACGGCAAGGCGGTAGGGGCATACGGCAAGCGTGTCTTATTCTTGTTTTTGCTTTAGCTATTAAGCCTGTATACAGCATTCATGGTAGGAAGGATAATAGCATGATATGGAACGATTTGTTGATAGAGTTGCAGTCCAGCGTTTACATCTTGGAAATTGAATACGAATGATGGTTTTGGTTATTTATACCTACTATAGTACTTTTGGTGTTTTGGTGATGCTGTAGCAATGTACTGAATGATAAGAGAGGATACATCTAAACACACAATTTTAATGCCGAATACAAGCCACAAAGCGAGTGTTCAGGTTCTAGTCGTTGAGTTACTGTTGAGCGTATATTCTTAGGGTCGCTCTACTTGCACCTACAGTTGTTTCGTACAAACTTCTGGCGTGTATTCCATACGTGATGGACTTTTGGCTTTACCATGTGGCCCTTATTGAACATTGTAGATCATATTTCTCTTCAAGCACCAGAAGCTTCTATTTCTTCGTCTTCAGCTCTTTGCGCCTGAAGAATTCTGGAGTTGGAACACCAGGGCTTGTTCGCCTTTCGTCAGAATCGATCAGATCTAGCATAGGATATGAGATCTAGGTTAATTATTTTGTTACAGAGAATGAGTAAATCTTTGCAGTTTACCAAGCGTCTAACGAGTGCTGCCATTGCCGCTACTCCTTACTCCGGCTACCCCTTTCTTGTCCCTGATACTATCGCGAAGCCCTATCCTTGTGGGCAAAGTGTGTATAATCTTCATCACAGAAAGCATCAGTAATAGGGAACTCCATAAAGATACAAACCAAAAAGAATTCAATCACCTCCCACTCCAAAACACCCAAACCAAAAACACCAAAATCTCCCCCTTCCCCTCCCCCAAGCCCCCCTCACACAACTTCACTACCACCGCACCCCTTGTGGCGAAGCAAGCATCTCATCCAGCTTCCACATCGGCGTATACCCAACCACCTTGGGAAACCTCGGAATATAATCCCTCCAGTCAAACTCCTTCTTCTGACTCTGTCGCTCCCTCCGACGCTGCTCCTTCGCAGCTCTGCGTTCTTCCTTCGCAGCCCTACGTTCTTCTTTGGCGATTCTGCGTTCTTCCTTGCGCTTTCTTTTCTCTCTCTCCATAATCACCTCCCACCATTCGGGCTCGGCCGGGGTTCTCTCTAGGACAGTGTAGCGGCTGCGCCAGCGCCATGTTTCGAGCTTGACTTCGAGTTTGGCGATGGGTCTCCAGAGCCCCATTTTCGCTGTGATCCTGTTCGTGAGGGTATTCTGGTGCCTGGCTGTTGTTATATTCGTGCGAGTGTTTTCTTTAAAGATGTTGATAGATTGTAGGAGGATGAAAGCGATGGTAAAGAGTGATGCTGTGTGATGGCTGAGAGAAAGAAGAGAATAAATAGCTCGGAACGAAACACGTTGACGGCAGCAAAATCTTATACTTTGCAGTCTACTTTGATGAGGTACTCGTCTCCTTCCGCAGCGATTGGGATAGCTGAACTTTAATACTGATAATGTATACCTACCGTTATTGGGTTTGAAATACTGCTCGATATGAGATCTAAGTTCTAGAATACAGAGGGGGGCGGATATTGAGTTTCACGAGACACCTCGCTACCAAGTACTTGTGGTGGTGATAGTGGCAGATAAGGTACCTGCTTAGACAGGACATCGGTACTACCTAGTATTAGATATAAGAAAATGGTAGCAATAGTATACCTACTTAGGTAGTAGGGTTGAAGTATCAGATGGGCAGATTAAAGGTACCTCTACAGCGTCCCGTTACAACACACATATTACTGGCCATACGCTCGTGTAGTGCTATTTTTAACATCCTCAGATAACAAAATAGAGAGGGGGATCAAGGCTATTTGCGATGTGATTTGAGGTAAATAGCTTTGTTAATATGTGTACCTAGAGCATAGAGTTGACGCCAAGTGGCTTGATGTGGTCAATATTCATGGCAACTTCCATTAGAATTATCAAAATATCGTCAAGTGCACTTGTCGTAAATCGTTTCATTAGTTCAGGCATCAGTCCAGCTGTTCCGCTACATTCAAGCATTGTGTATCATATCGTACAAAATAGAAGAAATCTCAAGCTACTTCCAAACAAAATCGCTCCAGTACTTAAACCCATATCATAATTATTAACCACCACCATTTCACCGCGTACTCGTAGGTGGCGGTGGAAAGGATGTTATAAGTATATCGCTCTGGACGGGACTTCCCATGCTTGTCTTGCTTCTCTTCCTGGTAATCAGCCCTAGAGCATTTGTCACTCCGGTTTCTTCCTCCCACCTTCTGTCGGGACGGTACGGTTTCGGGGTCGGTGACCAACTGGACTGACCCAAATGAGGAGAAGGCTTGAATCCAGAAGGTTGGTGGCTGAGAAGAGGGGCGTTGGAGCGGGTCGATACAGCAGAAGCTGGGGTCGCGAAGTCGTCGGGAGAGGAAGCCCGAGGGGACATGTATGCTTGAGTGGGTGGAGTCAAAGCAGTGATGATGCTTGGCCTCATTACTGCACTATCCTGTCGGCTGATGGTGACATTTAATGAGCTTTGGCTGTTCCAAGGGTATTGATCAACAGGGTATGCATTTGCCCCAATGCCAGTGGTAACCTTAACGTGCGCCTTCTCCTGTCCGTGGAAGCTGTCGTCGGCATGGGCGTTCTCGGGAAACCTTGGTGTCACAGGGGTGACTCTGGTTTGGCAGCGGAAGGAGTAGCCAGAGGCGCGGTCTTCTTGTTTCGCACGATTCTTGCGCTTACGGATACACATGTAAGTGAACCCTGCGACCAACGCAAGTAGGACTGCTCCTCCAATTGCTATGCCCACAATTGTCGAACTGGAAAGTTTGGGTTCTTCGTAGTTGGTAGAGGGTGTCTGGTCGACGACTTGGATGTTGTCACTACCAAAGATGGTATTGTTGAGAATTAAAATGGACCCTGGCGCTGGTTTTGTCTGGCATGCCCCTTGTAGAGTCAGGAGAACTACAAGACATGGAAATTAGTAAAAGTGAGGATGGTGGAAAGGACAAGCGTATAAAACATACAATTGGATAGATAGTTGTGCTGCCCATCTGCCTTGACACACTCCAGACACCCCTCGACATTGTTGCTTGTGATGACGCCTCCGCTTACATCGCAATAGTCGTAAGTGGTCGAGTTGGTTGGATTCTTGATGTCAAGCTCGAGGGCAGAAGCGAGGATTCCGCATCCTACAGTTGTCGTGCAAGGGCCGGTCTCAATGCCGGTGTTGTTGGGATAGCCAAACATGCAATAGCTGGATGAATACCGCAGGTTGTCTTTGCAATGTGTAAGCTGACGGCTACTAGAAGGGATTATCACCACGAGGACTTACACAGGAACCAATCCTGGTCATTCTCACTGCCATGGGTGTAATTGCTGTTCTGCAAGCACGTGAAGCAGCTCTTCAGCTGTTTCCCCTCCGGCTTGCTGTCAAAGTCGTCGTCACTGCAGACAATGTCTTTCCACTGGTCGTCGAAGAACTTTGGATCCGATTGCGACACGTCGGAGGTAGTGCAAGCACTTGTGCATGGTGAGTTTGGTGAAACTCTCAGAGCATGCACCAATGAAAAAGCCGTGAGAAATAGGGAGAAGATCCAACGAGCCATTGACATGTAAGCCATCTTCTTTCTTCTTTTTTTCAAGAGTGGGCGATCCTGGTAAACTGAAGCGAACGAGAGAGAATGACAGGTTCTGGATTACAAACGAAGGTTCCCACACAGCTGGTGTGTGATGCGAAAAAGCGAACGTCGTTTAAAGGAGTGATAGTCGAGGAAGCAAATGCTGTAAAAAAAAGGTCGATGCACGTTGTTCAAGAGCGGTATATTAAAGTCTCAACCGTGGTTCCAAAGGTAAGACAGTCCACCCCTATCGGATGCAGCAGTATCCAGACTGCAGCAAGGCCGTAACACCAACCGTAAAGGGAAAATATACAAGACAAGAGAAACGCAAGCAGGAAAACTGTGGGTAGAGCAAGAAACGAGAGCAACGACCGAAATGCCAAAGTAATTCGACACGAGGGGTGGCGAGGGGCAGACACGGCTTATAATAATATCCTGGCGGTTGACCATCGTGCGTGATCTGTGGCTGCTTAAGCTTGTTGATCCCAAGGCGCCGGTGACGAGATTATCGTGACGGCGGCAACATGATCGCTTCGCCCGTCTGCTTGCCGCCCGTCTCGACCCCCCTCGCTAACGGGCTCAGCTCCCATCACACACCCATAAGCCCGTCCGTCTGTCGCTCTGCCGTCAGGCGCTTGTGCTGTGCCGGACTCGTTATGTGATGTGCCGCTTGCTCTTCTTCTTCTTCTCCCTTGACTCTCAGCCGGCATTTGGTCGTCACACCGTTTCTCGGTCTCCCCCTTGCATCCCTGCCCATCGCATCACCGGCCATCTCATCGGGCACCTCCACGTGAAGGTGAAGGCCGTCAATCACCAAATCAATCCACCTCCCATCACAAACCAGGCTCAGGCACACGATGCGGGAGCTAAGAAAGAACCCAGTAAACAGACCCTTGTCCGCAAAAGCCGTTCATCTCATCACTCCGGCCCAATAAGAAGCGCCATCTCGTAAACTAGTGATTTCCCTAGTGAGCGAGCGCCTAGCGAATCGAAAGAAGCAGAATGCTAGTGAGAGAAAAAAAAAAAGCGGGAGATGCAAAAAGATGCAGCGTCTCATTGTGTGATGACGGACCCAGAAAGTGTCGGCGCTTAACTGCAAGCTCCACGTGAGTTCGCGCCCAATGCCGCCTTCCAATTCAGGTACCAAGACTTTTGGGAATGCGCAACTTGATTCGATTGGACGGAACTTGCAGGTTAGTAATTAAATAGTTTCTGTATGAGGGTGGGAGTATGATATCATTCATTTCTGAGTGAGAAACGATTAGGTACTTGTTTGTTTTGTTTGTTTTATTATTAACGTCCACTAAGTAGGCTAGTTACATAAGTCCTCATCTGGGCACTAGGACGGTAGGAGCCGCCGAGTTCAGATCGGGCGTTCGCTACGTTTCAATGTGACAAAGGAAATGGGGAAGTGTCAATCTGTTTTACGTGTCTGTGTCTGTGGGGGGGGGGCCATATGGGCTTGTGTCCTCCACTAGCTTCTGGAAGTCCTTATATCCTCCGTCACCGAGGAGGTATTGGATGTGGGTGGTGCCGAAGCGCGCCTCCCTCTCCGGTACGTCGGGGAGGAAGGGGGCTACCATGCGGCACTTCACGAAGTGCCCTTGTGTCCTTGGCTCGCCGCATTTGCAGGTGCGCCTAGCGTCGTGTCCGAATCTCTCGTGGTATTCTGTGAAGTCCCCATGTCCGGACCTCTCGGCTAGCAGCCTGTGTAGGATCGGGCGTGGGAGACGTAGTTCTGGGGGCATGGAGGGAGCTTCGTAGAGGCCCCACTTGCCAGCCTTGTAGGACTCTGGGTAGTTATCATTCCAATTGGCGTCCTGTATTTCCCTGCGTCTCTTTTTCACCCACCTTTTGATGAAGGTGATGGTGGAGCAGTTTCTCGAATGGCAAGGGAGTTCTGAACCCTCCTTTGCCAAAACGATTAGGTACTGTACTGTAACGATATCATCCCATAGACCCTGTAATACCCCGAGCCCAATCACACAAACCCATACAGTATTGACATCTTTGCACACATCATAGTAGTAATAATCATGTATACGAATTGATACCTAATAACGCCAATTGCCCAAGAGCCACATGTGGGTAACTAGAAAAGAGAAAGGTACAAGGCGACCATTTCCATATCGACAAAAGACTCCCACGCCGGGATACTTTACACTGAAAAAGAATCCTCAGTCTTGATTTCACACATTCTTTTCTTCCTCTTTTAATCGCTGTCCTCGTCGTCTCCCTTGCCTCCCTTCTTCGTTGCCTTGGCAGCCTTCTTCTCTGCCTTCCGTCGTTTCCGCTCTGCCTTCTCCTCAGCAGTCTCTCCCTCGTGCTTCTTTCGCTTCTTCTTGTCCTCCTCAGCGGGAGCCTCTGCATCGTCCATCTTGCTATCAGCCTGCTCGCTCTTGGAAGGCAGGACAGGGATCGATGTGGTGGCGGGAGCAGCCGCGGCAGCAGCGGCAGAGGTGTCGGACACGCTGAAATCCTTGTACTCAGAGGTCCACTTGGAAGGGGTGGCATCGTTGGGTCGGCCAAACTTGTCGAGCTTGCCGTCCGCCTTGAGCTTCTTCTTCTCCTGAGCGACAGGTCCGAGACCCCATCTTCGGGGGTAAAGATCACGCTCCATGATGCAGCGCTTGACCTTGGCCACAACTCCGTGGTCGCATGTAGACATTTCGACCGTAGACATCTGAGCGATACCAATGGCAATAGCCTCACCCTTGGTGGTCATCAGGACAACCTCTTCGTGGTGCTCAATGCCAGACTCTGTGAGAGAAAATTTCAGTCAGCGACACGTTCCATCATATATTATAAAGCATTGAAAGCTTTCTCAATCATGTACATACCATAACGCAGGAGACCAGGAAGCATAAGCTTGGCACCGTAGCACACGGCGTTGACGGCGCTATCCTTGACAACAAGACGCTTGTAGCCTGTGAGGAGGGTCTCGAGGGGCGCAATCACTCTGCGCAGGTAGGACTCATCCCGGGTGTTGTCCATGGTCCACTGAGCATCCAGCACATCGTGCAGGGTGACGAGGTGCTTGGTCTCGTCCATAGCACCGGATCGCACACGACGAAGCTCCTGCATGTGGGCGCCAACACCCAGCAGAAGACCCAAGTGCACACACAGAGTTCGAATGTAGGTACCAGCCTCGCAGCTCACCCAGAAGACACCCAAGTGGCGGTCATTGTCAAACTCAATCAGCTTGCTCTCGTGGATGGTTCGGATACGGAGCTGACGCTTGACGGCAGAAATCAGAGGAGGGCGCTGGAACAGGGCGCCAGTAAGGGTCTCGAGGGCACGAGCGAATTGAGCCTCGCCACCAGGCAGCTTGTCGTGAAGGCGGATGATGGCAACATACTCCTTTCCGGCTCCTTGTTGGGACTTGACCAGTCGAGTCGCTCGGTCGATACAGACGATCAGGCAGCCCGTGACCTTGGGATCGAGGGTACCACTGTGACCAGTCTTCTCAACTCTGCACCGATTTTATTGTTAGCTCTACGATATAGGGTGAGGAGAGCGATTGGAACCCCAATCGACGAAGAAACTGCAAGTCGCCACGAACCGAAGAATTCGCTTAACCCAGGACACAACCTCGTGACTAGAAGGGTTCGAAGGCTTGTCCAGGTTGATGACACCAGAGCTGATGTAGGATTTGAGATCACGCTTCAGGGGCGCAGATCCATTGGGAATCGGGGTGAAGTGGCCAGTTCGCACAAGGACTAAAAAGAAGAACAAAGGTCAACAGAAAGGCTCTTTTTGGTGCTTGTGTCGTTTTTCCATCTTGCGCTCCAACGTTGCTTGGACTACATCGCCACGCCCAATTGAGTGCCGATATTCATCCCGCAAGTATAAAAAAGACCACCAGGATAGATTCTTCACTCACGCTTGTCATAGTTCTTGAGAAGCAGCGGCCACTGGCTGGTGTCGACGGCGGGAGTCACCGCTTGAGGCTTGATGGTGTATTCCACCTCCTCCTCCTGCTTCTTCTTGTTCACGACTTCCGTAACCATCTTGGGCAGTTGCTTTCCAAATTAAGCAGCTGAATATCCAGGATTCTGAAACAAACGGAAAGTGCAGCGTCTAGCGATCTCAATTACGGAAGACGAGGCTGGCGCGCTTGCAGTCGTGATGGTTTTTTTCGAGTTCTGCGAACTTTGGAGCTTCCAGTTTTTTTTTTTTTCCTTCGCTCTGTGGGGCAGAAACTTTGCGTCCCCAAAATTGTGGCGCCAATTGGCCACTAAACCGAATACGGTTTATCGTGGCCGTGCAAGCCACATCATTTTTTGTGGTCAAGTTCTACAGGGAATCTGCTCCGTACTGGTACAGTACCTATTCGTAGACAAATCCGCTTACACACCCTTGATATTGCATGCAGATGACCTGCTTCCCTTTCTTTTCGAACAAAGGTACAGGATGCGGATGCGGATGCCGACATGAAATGGCAAACTACGAGAGAATTCACAAAGTCTGATGCGTGGCTGTATCTAATCTTATTTCATTTTAAGTTTCTTTTTCTCGCTTCCACCAGGGATTGAATATATAAAGAGCCACCGCCTCCTTCTCCTCTGTCGGCATTGGTCCCCCGTTCCTTCTTTTCATCTCCTTCCCTCGTACTTCACCCATGTGTGACGGGAAGTTTTGTTCACAGGGAATGTTTTGAAGGGATCGTGACCGATTGCAGTCGAGCTTCAAAGATGGGTTGCAGTTGGCGACAGGCTCTATGGGTGGGGGTAGAGCGACATGGCAAGCAATTGAGACCTGGGGGACACGCGCAATGATGATTCACCTCTGAGCACAACGAAGCGACACATAGTGGGACACTGAGGAACATCACATGAGGAAGATTCAAAAAATGTATGGTCAGGGGTCGTGATGTCGGGCACAACTTTTATGGCAGATAAAAGGCATGGTTTCATTTGACGATGAAAGCCAGTATCAACATCCCAACCATTGGATTTCATCTAGCCCAAGCTGGGTAGCAGTACAAGCACTGATCAGCTTGACTTCATTTTCTTGGGCTGACCTGGAGACAATGATGACCGTCAAGTTGTCGGGAGGTGTCGCCTCCCGAGGGACCACAAGGGTGTCCCATTGAGCTGACTGCTGAGTCTCCAGGAAATGGCATCCCCCTGAGCGAACCAGGATTCCTGAGAATGGGTTGGGTGGCTAGTAGCCAAAGAAGAATAAGATGACTGCCATCGGTGTGGCCGATCTGTTGTGGCCGATTTGTTGTGGGAATGGAAGAAAGGAAAAGAGAGAGAGGCGATGTGGGCGATGTTCACCTTAAATACCAGAGACAGAGGCGCTACTTCTATTTCTTTGACTGCTTCGGTTGTTGCACGTTCCTTTTAATTCTACAGGTTCCTTCCCTCTCCGTACCTTACCTGCAAGGCACTTGTAAGAATAGAAAGTGCCGGACTACCGGAGGTCTCGCCAGACTGAGTAAAAACTTCAGGAAAGAGAAGCCACGCCCATAGGCACTTCAATGAAGAGACCAGAAATGTGGCAGTTGGAGAATTGATCAAGATACAACACGAGTTACAAATATACTTCAAGCAGCAGCAAGGGCAGCTACTCATGTACCAAAGCTTGAAACATTGCAGATATGGAATGGAGGAAAGAACTTTGCTGCACTCTTCAAGTATGAGCCCGCCAAAGAACAAGGTCAGACTTCTACCATTACTTGAAGGGGTACATGGGAGTTTCCTTTACAGCCTTCTGTCATTCGAGCTTGGCGATCTTCAGTGCCAAAGCAACGTTATCAAGCGAGCTTGGTGAAGCCACGCACCTTGGGTATTTTTTCCCATCCAACGGCTGCCGCATCAGCCATCTTCCATGAACTTCTACAGTACCTGGATGAGAAATGGTGATTGGGGTAGGGGTCTTGCGGATACCCCGGCAAATATCTCCTCGCCAATACAATCATCAGACTGTTTCACTGCAAGGATGGGATGTTCCAAGAGGGCATAGTTCAAGGGCTCGAAGAGGATTGCGAGATGACCGGAGTAGAATTGTATTTTGATGAAGAAGCAGTAGCGTATTACTTGACGAAGCAAATTATTGTTGTGGGTGTCAGTGGCTCAGAGATGATGCGACTGTCGGGTTTTTTGACGGAGATGGTTTGGGATACGGTAGAGGAAGGTCATTAAATATTCATTTGCAATGTTTATTTGCCATTATATGCCATAACTTGTGATACTACGGTTAAAACAATAGAACTTTTCTGGAAAGATGGACGGATCCGACTTCTCCGATAACCACATGCGACCATGAGTAGAGCGGAATTCGGGGGCCCATCAGGATCTTCAATTGATCATTGAGCTTGCCTATTATAGGCCCGCTATTCCCACCCTGTAAGACTCTTTAACAACTACCAACGTCAGCGTCGTGACAGAATCGATTGTCTTATATGGGTATACCACTTAACCAACTACAAACTCCTTTACTCTTACCTCAAGACTATGCCTTTGGTCACAAACAAGATTTGTTGGCAGAATTTTGGTTGCTCCAAGAATGGTGGAAAGGTTTGCATGGACGCCCTCCCCGGACTGTAAACGAAGTGCGTGTGCTTGGAGAACTCTCTTGTTCCGAAAGAAGCTGTTGATCACGCTGGCTCGGAGCACCCAATGGGTTTGGCAGAGCTGTGTGTTTAGGTTTATAGGATTCGGAAACCATAGAGCACTAAGCGTCGTAAGAAGTTGTACAATCCTCTTTTCGGATAATAATACTACACCTTGGTTCACGCCTTTTCTTTTACAGCGTAACGGTATAAGATAGCTTCCCAGAATGAGTTTCACATTCGCGAACCATCTTGCGGACCCATCTCTCAGTTTTCAAGGGCCGGGAGAATATCTGCTCCGAAGGATCATACGTTCCGACGGCAAAATGGACATGGAGGCAGCATCACACTACGTTTGCTCGTACTCTTTGCCCCCACATCGTTCTTTATGTTGTTGGTTGAGTGCCTGTCAACCAAGAGAGCTAAACTCAACTCGATGCGCAACGCAGTGCCCCCCTGTCGATTCATCGTATCGTATCACTATAAAACCCCTCAATCCGCCGATCTTCTGGGCAATTTTTCTCATTTCTTCAATTCATTCTCTGTGTTGTTTCGTGTCCGTCCGTGCCAGGTCATTTCCCTGCAACATGGAGGGACTCAAGCCGCTGATGATACGTAGCAAAGCGCGGTGGGACCTGGACTTGACGACTGAAAATGGGCAATACCTCGCCGTTCTGGATTTCCTGTCTGCAGCCACCCTCAGCGATGTCCAACCACTTTCGTTAGCCTTTTGTGAGGCATTTGGGAGTGTATTGGCCATCTGTAGTCGAACCCTTACAGTAACCGAAACAAGACTGTTCCGGGAGCTTCCTCAGCCGGCTTCCGTTGGCTTCCTGCCAGCTTTGTCAGTCGGATTCTCAGATGGCACTGCGGAAGCCCTGGCTAGCACCTTGAAAGGGCTGCGGTTCCTTTGCCTAGCAGCGGCTCTTGTCACCTCGGTAGGGCCGTTTGATGGAGCCAAGGCGATCATAACCATGATGCACGATTCCAAGCTCCACGAGGAACAAACAATTTGGATTCCAAGAACTCAGCAATTGGCAGACATTCTCAAGAGCCTCGAGGCAAAATCAGCATTCTGCGGCTTTGCAGAGCTAATGGTGCAATGGGAGATACACCTAAGGCAAGAAGTGTTTCCACGCGCTTTTGATCCAATGGCAGAAACTGGGGATGCTTCGGCTCAGGAGAGACTTGACCGTGCCCGAAGACTTATGCTAAAAGGACTCCCTCCTCCCGAAACTATAGCCAGAATCGTCGATGCCTTTAGGACGGTTACGGGCGTAAAGTACCGGGCGATTGCCGAGGTCGAAATCAAACTTGGTGCTGGTGCTGCGTGGGTGTTGGCATTTGCGGAATGGTGTTTCGGTACCGCGCCGGCTTTATGCTTATTACACGCACGAGTAGATGGTGGACACACCTACGAACACATCTCTGGCTCTCCTGCCTCTCTTGTCAAAGTCACAATCCCAGCCTCATCGTCTAACAAGTTCACCGAAATCCTAGTCCGCTATAGGAGTAAGTTGGTCAGCTACAACTCCCCACCGGCTGTAAAATCCGACTGCTATGGAATGGTCTGTATTGAATCTTACGGCCAATGGCTCCTCCACGAGTATGGATTTGCAGACGTAGCTAGCCGTCAGCTGCTCAGTCAACTTCTCCGATATGCTATACCACAAATATTACCGAAAATGACTTGTGGAGAGTTTGGGCGTCTTGGTCAAAATTCGCCTCTTGTCAACAACTATTATGTTTCCGATCCATCAGGATTTAATCACCCGACCGCCCTTCCCGATATAAGCATACTCAGAAAAATTTGCAACATAATAATGGGCAACAGGATACCTCAGAAATTCACGATACGTCAGGACGCTAAATTGGTGATCCGAGATTACTTTCTGGTCAAACGTCGTATAGATGACATTGATCAAGACTGCCAATGCGCCGATTGTTGCGGGAGAGACAGGAACTCCACCTCGGAATTCGAACCTTGTGTTATGGAGGAGTTCTACTTAAACTTTTCCACTATCCTCGTTGATATTTTTGCATTGTCACTTTTTAAAGCTCCCGAATTATTGTTGGTATGACCTAGGCACGACCGACATAATGCAAAGCAATTGAGAGATACTGTATGCGATGTTCTTCGGAATGGGGAGCCACGGGAATTTGAAGACGGTCATCTTCTCCAATGGGCGAGGGCCATGGTGGGCCATGTTTTTGACGCCAAAGATCGACGCCTGATCGTAACCTCAGGCCGAGGTCAGGTTGTGTATCCTTCGGCGTACGAATCTGATCGTATTGAGAGAGTCGGATACCTCCGCCTGTCGCACTTTTACGGCGTCCTTAGATATGATAGAGACGTGTACAATGTCGTGGCGTCACCGGATAATGAAGCATCCGATGTATCTGACGATCAGAAGCGGTATATCTACGAAAATAACCAGAATCCTGAAATTCTCCAGCCCACGAATCTGTATAGAAACGTCAAGGTTTCATGGGAAGTTGTTACGCAGGATTATGGTGAGATCCAAGCGAACTTCTTGGTTCACATACAAGACCGCAACTTTACAGCAAGGAGAAATCCGAGTCTCCTTATAACGGCTTTAAAAGACACCTTTTTCTATGAAGACTGTCTGCATGACCGTCAATCAATGTTGGAAGAGGCAGATCGTTTCATAACCAATCAACCGCCATGGCATGAGGTAGTGGCTGAGAATGATGAAAATCCTCGCGTCAACATCATTGCTGTAGATAACTCGGAAGAGCTTCGTCGTTTTGCGCTTGCTCATGCCAACGGCCCTGTGGTTTTGCGCAGAGACGCTTGCCTGCGCTGTTGTCTTGATTTGTGCAGGCGCACATCAGCACGTCGTCTAATCCTTTGATCTCGCACGGTATCGCAACGGAGGCTACGAATAAAATTTATGTAAGATCGATTGACTGATTGATTGATATATTTACGGCTCAGCAAATATATTAGATTATGAATCTAAGACCAAGCACGACCATAGGCAGTAGAATTTTGAGGTCCGGCCAAGCTCTATCAACAATGCCATGGTCAGCGGAAGAAAATAAAATTCATTGTTCATTTCAAGTTCAATATTTGCAACAATTCCAACGATTCGCGAGGTTATTAAAAACGCGTTTCTACTTACCAGTATAGCACAGATTAGCTCTGGCGATCAATTTACGAGGGAAGCTTTTGTCAGTCGGTGCCCCCGTTCACGGTTGACGCTGCGGGGATCTATATGGTGGCGTTCAGTGGCTCACCCTGTAGACATGGGCTTTTTCAAATCCGCAAAGAGGGGATGTGTGACACAGGATTAATGGTATAAGAGATTGCGATGATCCGTTTTCGTAGCGGTAGATAATCTGTCTTTCTCCGGGCACGATAACAGCTTGTCTTCACTACCAATGCCAGTGAGCAGTCCCTCACAACGTCTCTCAACACCAGCCAACAATCCCCCACCACGTTTGCAAGATGAGCGACTCGACATCAACACGCCGCCCCTTCCACGGCTCATGCCACTGCGGTTCCATCAAGTACATCGTCTTCCTCACACTCCCTCACAAACCGCCCTCAGCCGACACGCCACCTCCCGCCGACCCGTCCCGCTCCCACCAGGAGTTCTACCGCTGCAACTGCACGGCCTGTCACAAGGCCGGCCACTTCCACATGCGCCTGGCCTGGGCGCCCGAGGACTTCATGCTGCTCTCCCCACTGGATCCCATGGCCGAGCTTGCAGACTACAGGTGCAGTGCCGGACGCTATCACTGGCCCTTCTGCAAGACATGCGGCGGGAAGTGCTTCATTTTCCAGGGCAAGGGGGAGACGGCAGAGGTGGACCTGGACGAGATGGGCGTCAAGGACAAGGACGGGGGCAAGATGGGCAAGAGAACCATCTGGCGGCCCAAGGCTGAGGGCTGGAATGAGGAGAGCGGATCCGGGTGCTACCTCAGTGTGAATGGGTATACCGTCGATGTGGCGCAGGAGGGGTTTGAATTGGGTGAGTTCACGACCAACGGATGGGTCGCGTACATTGACTGCCTTGAGCTCAATGGTCCGGAGAGAGAGCCACGGTATGATAAGCCTTACGAGGGCGGCGCCTTTTGAAGAAGAATGCCTTCATCTTAAAGTGCGGGCTGGTGATTTTCTCTATTTCGTCTATCTCAATCAAGCTATTTGTCTTTTGTCTCAGTACAAGAGCTTATACAGATTCTCTGTACAAGTTATGCCCAAACTGCATGAAGCTTGGCTTCTTCCAAGGCCTTGTGAACTTTCAATGCGTCGTCAAGGGTGGCGTATCCATCCTCTTCACCCGTGGCAAACGCCTCGTATAGCCTCGCTACATTTTGTCCCATATAAGACACCTGACTCAAATGTTCCGGTTCGCTTGGGTTAAAGTCAATCTCCTTTGCTTCTCCCCCAAATTCTCTCAACTTCAGTTTCAGGCCTGGAGGCCCCCAGTGGAAGATGCCAGGATCGCTAGTCAGCTCAAGCTCTCCCTTGATCCCGCTGATGATCCATCGGAAGCCGGTGTTGTCGACTGGTTCTTTGGACGTGCGCATTGTCATTGACGCCACAGCACCAGTCTCCAAGACTCCCTGGAGAAGAATTGTGTCTGGAGCCGTGATATCAAAGTCTTCTCGGATGGTTTTGCCTTCGTGATCCACAAGCTTGGTCTTGTTGTTTTGGATTTTGAAGGTCGATTGGATACCTTTGAAGTCCCCGAGAATACTCAAATGAGTGTCCAAGACTAGGCGTTATTAGCAACCGATTCTTTTCACTTGCCATTCATGTATAATGATTAGAGAAAAACTCACTATGCCCGACAACTAGATGCAAGCGACTGATACCAGAGTCGATATTCAGAAGAATTGACTGCGACTCTGGCCACATGGGCGCAGCTATAAGGGAGTTATGGCCGTTGAGGGTAGAAAACACCACGTCGCCGATGGCACCGGATTTGATCAAGTCCTTCATTCGTCTGAATACAGGATGAGCACGGCCCTGTGAGCCACTGATGGTCTTGACTCCAGCACTCCTGGCCAGAGTAGCCAACTCCTCAACTTCAGCAAGTGTTGGCGCGATGGGGAACTCCACTAGAACGTTCTTCTTCTGTTGGAGCACAGGCTTTAACAATTCGTAATGCTTGCCAATGGCGACGACAATGGAGACCATGTCAATGCCAGGATCACTAACGACCTCATCGAGAGAGCCATAGGCCTTGACGTCGGGGCCAAGTTTGTGTGACTCGATAGACTTTTGGGAGGAGGCAAGTGAGGAATTGCAAATACCGACAACTTGATAGTGAGGAGAGAGTTTGAGAGAGTTTAAGTGTTGGATACCCCATTCGCCTGTCTTGTAACCCGCGCTGGAGGTGGCAGCGAGCCCGATGATGCAGATGCGGATAGGCGCCATTGCGAGTGCGAATTTATATGAAGCTGGGAGTTGTACTATGGATTGTGATCTTTTATTACTTGATTCAAAGCTTTCTCGAATGTTTCTCGAGTTATATATATATATATATATATACATGGAAACTATATCTTTACATGGATACCACTGTCCTTCAGAGGCCCATCAACACTGCATGCAGCACGGGGGTTGCAATAGATCCACAAAGTCCGCGGCTGGTCTCCACTTGAACTCCGAGGAACTCGGACTCTGTTCTCCGCCAGCATCTTGGATGCCGAGTTTACGGACCAACTATCCCATTAGTAAACTATATCTTTACATGGATACCACTGTTCTTCAGAGGCCCATCAACACTGCATGCAGCACGGGGGTTGCAATAGATCCACAAAGTCCGCCGGCTGGTCTCCACTTGAACTCCGAGGAACTCGGACTCTGTTCTCCGCCAGCATCTTGGATGCCGAGTTCACGGACCAACTATCCCATTAGGAATGCAAGCTCATTACTAATCCATCCGTTGCCATAAACTGAAACTGAAACTTCAAGCTCAACAATCCCAAACTCCGAGGACTTTCTTTAGTTGCGTCTTGGGTCGATTCAGCTCGTGTTTAATGTGCTTCACTGTACATATATCCGCGGACAATTAGGCATGCCGTTCCCTCGCCAAAAATCTTGCACTCACTGCAGGCAGTCGAAATTGCGATGCAACCGGGCAGCTCCGACATGTTCACGCTGTGCTGAGCGCAATCTGGCATGTGATATACGCGATATTCACGTATCGCCATATTCGGACTCGCGCCGTTCCAAGGTCCCCAGGCTGGAGGTTGTGGACATTGAAGCTCTCGAACATCAGCAAATTGGTTTTGGAGTCCCACCCGCTATTTTCGATGGAGTCTCACCTGATGCGGCTGTAACACTCAGTGATGAGAGTGTAAGTGCCAGCTGGATGGTCACCGATAGTTTCGAGCCCGGTCATTTGAACCCGAAAAATCTCGAATCTGAGATTGGCAATTTTGGTCTCGACACTCTTGAGGACGAATTAAGCCTGCAAATGATGCCCGAGTCCAATTGCTCGGAGCAAAATGGCGTCGAGACATGGGCATCTGCCTGTGTAGCCCCCCCTGATAATTCCGCTCCAATCTTACACTGGGACCCTTCACCTCTCTTAGGTGAATCTAGTTCGGAGAGCAACACCACCTCGTGCGATCACACAGCCTCCACCCTAGCTGTACGGACTCCCTCCAATCAAGGGTCCCTGCGAAGCCGCCCAATCTTAAAAGGGTGCATGTTAACCAACATAGTCCTGGGACAAATTACCGGCTATCCGAAGATGCTCGTCTTGGGAGACCGCCTTCCTCCGTTTATCCATGCGCCTTGCTACATAGACGAGAGGCTTGCTCCAGAATGTGGCGAGATGGGGAAACACCAATGCTTGCCCAAGAGGCTTGCCATTTGCGCCAGCTTGGTGGACATGTTTTATTCGCGGACAGATGCCAACGCAGATTTCGTCTGGCAGACGATATCTTCTGAGGGACAGAGATTGCATGAAGAGGTATCATTTTCTTGCTTCACGCTTACTGACACCAATTTTCTTTTTTGACTTACAAGATTGACCTTTCTCTAGTATAGAAGCTTGGACTCGTACGGCCAACTTGCTGCCCTACAGGCGGTCATCATATATATCCTCCTGCAAGCTCAGGACCCGGAAACGGCGGAACGAAATGGCGCCAATGCTCTGCTCTTAATCATGATAGTATGTTGGCTCTATCCAGTCTCTTTTTGGACAATCAATCTGCTGTCCAACAATACTTACGGGCTGCATTGGCATAAATTAGGAACTCTTCACTTGCCTCACTGAGAGCATTGACTGGGATACATGTGACTCTACGGAAACATCAGACAGACAACATTGGGTATTAAGGGAGTCTTTGAGACGGTAATCACACATATACTCGAGTCCCAAGCTCAAAACCCATTTCAGGCCCTAACGAGATATTCAGGATAGTCGCATTGCTAGGCCTTGTCGAGCTACTGTTCGAAGGCTTAATCCCACCTCACGCAGCTCAAGCCAACCCTCCTTACAAAAACTTCCGGGCCACTCCTCTACCAAGTCAGCGCGACTTGTGGGAAGCCCGCACTAACAGATCCTGGAGGCGAGAACTGAAGCTCTACCTCTCAGGCCGGACGTCGCGCGAAGTGCTAACAGTCGGAGACCTGCTTGAGCTGGATAACGCGGGTTGTTTCAGGAACACTTGGAACAATGAGCACGCGTACAGCAAGTTGCCGGATGCGGTCAGTTGGTGTGGAAACTCTGATTCGTTGGGGATGCTGATCTGGATGGTGCTTCCGTTTCAAAAATGGAGAAAGAGGGATGCCCTCTGGTGATTTAATCTGCGAGGACAATCTAGACTAATGGAAAAGAAATTGACACAAGGGCGTGCTACAAATGATAATACGACATCTTACATACATCAACACCTCTAATAATAATAGGCAATACACGTGCTGTCATTGAAAATATTAAATGGCGGGGCCGCGCTCGCGGGATCGGAGGCGATCATTCAAGTTTGTTGGCGGGGCTTTGCAGCCACGGCGGTGCGATAAGATAAGGCGCCACTAAAAAGAAAGCTGCAGTGACTCAAATGGCCGCTTCAGCATCTGCGTCAATTGAAATCTTGGATCTTTCAAACCAGCGAAATCTGCAAACAGAATCCGAACCAGCCATGGCTACGATCATTGTAAGCTGCTGAAACTTGGCACATTATGCGCAATACGAGCTGACATCAAGTTCTCCAAAGCTGGGCGCCCAATGGGGTTCGTTGCCTCTTTTTTTCTGTGTCTCCATGCGACTGCCATTGGTTGGACTGTGCTAACATGATTGCGACTCTACAGGCGACGAAGGCGTACGACCACTTACAAATTCCTACTATTCCTATGCGACTACTAATGGCAATGGCGACTCGACAGAAAGGAAAATTGACCGACATCCTTGCCCCCGAGGCGCAACTTTGCGCGCGAGCTGCGGTGAGCCTTTTCTCTCGACCGACCTATATAAGACGTTTGAAACATGAATACAAGCTGAGACGAGATCTAGGGCGGTCATAATGCTGGCCGTGAGTATACCTTTGCAAGGTTAAATATTATAACTAATCATGAATAATATTCAAAAAGACTCCATTGTGTAAGAGGAAATTACTCTTAATATCTTCTTTGATCCTGGGTTGCTGACCACAGCTTCAATAGTGCCAATGGCGTGTCGTACAGGTATGCGCAACCAGCAGACATTTCTTTACGGCGCAAATACTCATTATAGCTTCTAGCTTCCACCTGCTGCCTTCCGGCCTCGTCAACCCCAACTGGTATGCATTCATGATTTGGTGATTTACAGCGGACATATTGCTAATCATGCTTCTCAAAGTCGAAACCTTATTGGTTCTGCCGTGGTGGCTCACATTGTTCTTACCCCCCAACACTACTCCATGCACAGTCAAGGACTTGACTAATGCGTCGAATAGCCTTCGTTCTTCAAGGAGCTAGAAGAGCTCGAGCAAAAGGGACTTTCAAAGTATTATATGTCTAGTCATTCTCTCAATTGTCAGAGACCATACTAACCATATACTAGCGTCCACGATCGAATCTTCATCAGCGACAGAGTCCACATTGATCTGGACCTCCACGTTGCCGTCGACGGCTTGGAAGAAATCGAACTTGGAGGTGATTAGCTATATCATGAGCACGGGTCAGTTATATATGCTGACTCCTACCCCTCAGACCGCAAGGTTGGAACGACAGGCCGCGGAATTGGCCCTGCTTACAGCACGAAAGCGGCAGTAAGGATCTAGTCCGAACGATACGATTGAGTGGGCAGCTTTACTGAACCAGATGTAGCGAAGCGGTATCAGACTCGCAGAGGTCTTCAACGAGGAGCTTTTTGAGTCGAAGCTCCGAAGACTTGCATCGGGCTACCAGAAGCGATATGGCGATCTGCTCAAGTACGATGTTGAGGAAGAAATCAACCGATTCAAGACATATCGGCCCAAGCTTCGCAAATACACCGTTGACGCCATTGCTTTCATGAAGGAGGCACAGGAGAAGAACACCAAGATCCTTTGCGAGGGAGCAAATGGTAGGCCAGAAAACCTCTCATACCATTACCCTAATTCAGACGTCCTGACCTTTTTAGCTCTTATGCTGGATCTTGATTGGGGATCAGTAAGTCAAGTTAATTGGAGCGGTCCAACTCTTGCCGCTCTTTATGAGAAGGCGTGTAACTTTGGGCGGGTATTTGTTGACTTTGTCTAGTACCCATATGTGACCAGCAGTTCTACCGGGTTCGTAACATTCTAGAGGCGACAGATGTCCCTCATCCACTCTAATAGTTAATGTTTAATACTGACTTGGAATAGCATCGGTGGCATGGTAACTGGCCTTGCTCTTGATATCAGGAAGATAGGCGAGGTCATTGGCGTGGTCAAGGCTTACACCACTCGTGTGGGCTCTGGCGCGTTCAAGACTGAGGATCTCGGAGAGTACGGCATTTCTCATTCTTAGCATGCGAAGAGAGCTAACCATTACGACAGGATCGGCGAAAAATTCCAGGAACGAGGCCGAGAATGGGTGAGGCTAAACATCTTCCCTCTAGTTGACATGAACGCTGCTGACAGGTCTTAGGGTACTTCAACTGGCCGAAGACGTCGCTGCGGCTGGTAAGCATTCAATTGTCTTAAGAATTTGTGATGAATAGTCTCGACTAACTGAAACAGGCTTGGTATGTGCTCTCTCTATCTTAATCCCATGATACCTAGAGCCCATTATTGACTAGAGTCTTGTAGATCTCGTCGTCGTCAAATACACCACGGTATATATCGTCTATTCACTTTGGGGAAACCCTATAACGGATATCTAACATACACTAGGACGTCAACCACTACACGGCGCTCAATCTCACCAAAGTAAGATACTGCGTTTCTTAATTCTTAACTAGAGGAGCATATACTAACTCGATTCTTAGCTTGATGTCTTGGACACCTTCCCGACAATCAAGATCGCCATTGCCTACGAAGACCCTGAGACCGGCGAGGTGAGATTTTGAACACTTTTTAGGATGGAAATGGCATATGCTAACCTTTTGCAGAAACTCGATTCGTATCCCGCATCATTGGACGTTCTCGACCGTGCCAAGGTCATCTATCACGAGATGCCCGGCTGGAACAAGTCGACTACCAACGTGAAGACCTTCGAGGAGCTTCCCAAGGAGGCTCAAGACTACATCCTGGTTAGCAATGCCATATTCACCTAGAATTTTTCATCTCACTAACATTTTTGACTAGTATATTGAGGAATTCGTTGGAGTCAAGGTATACTTCTCATTTAAGATGACTTAACCTGTGAAGATGTATACTGACAGTGCGTAGATCAAGTGGGTTGGTACCGGCCCGGACCGCGAGGCTATGATCACCCGATTTTAGAAAGGCTGCCTACAACAGCCCATATTTGATAAGTGTAAAAAGCAGGAGTGTATACGAGGTGTTGCCGAAAAAACATAATATAAGCAAAGCTAGAAGAGCATTCTAGAAGTCCTAAATCAGATATGCCAGGTTCGCAAGATATGTTAAATAAAAACCAGCTTTTCTAATAAATAACATGCTTCGCAATTAGACCCATACGGAGTGTTTTTGTTTTCTTGGTAGAGATACAATCTCGCACCAGGTATACAGTAACCACTCCGTCTCAATTATTTTTGCCAGACTTCGAAGTAGACCCCTGCGTAGCACAGTTGCTTGACGTGCCTCCTTTATTGCCCTTGACTCTGCTGGTCCTGGAGTCTACGCGTTGACCCAAACCTGTTATGCATTCCCTTGGTACCCATGGATCTTCATTCCCTGGCTGTGATAGCCATCTCTGAAGCTGGTAGTCATTTGAGACTTGAGCCGATTGTTGCTGCGAAGCTGTGATGTACATAAGTCTAGGAGAACTATAAGATAAGAACGCGATTGAACATACCAATCTTCTCAGTGCCCAGGTTCTGAGTCATCTTCAAAGATTTTAAGTTAAATCTGTTTGTGCAGATGCTAAGGCAAGGTTAAAAGAAATGGGTTTTTGCAATGACTTATATGTCTAGATATATGAAGGAAAATTGAAGGGTTTCTGTATATCAATAATTTTTCACAAAAGATATCATAGCCATTAAATCTATGCCAGAACCAGCTTTATATAATTGCTCTTGGATCTTTAGTAGCGCATTAGAACTTGAACTTTGCAGGCAAAACTCTAGGCGTCATATCATTTTTCGTGCTGCCATCGAACGAGGGCCATTTTTTTTACTGGAAAGGCAGAGAAAATGTTAGATTGCCTGAAACAATTACTTAGGTACATTATTCTGCAACTGTAATTACCTAACATGGATGTACATGTTCCAACTCTTACCCGCCAATCAAAGAATAGGCCCTTGGATCCGATGCTCAGGAAATGCCACTACCTTATATTTGTCCCGTTCTTAATTGGCCTGAAGTGTCAAAATGGTGAGTACAGAGGAAGAGATGAACACCTCTTCTGCTCGTTGACTAGCCACTCAGATTAACGGCCCTCGTCCAACCGGCTGACTCCTTATGCAACCAGCGCACAAAGTTGAGTAACTAATCCAGGCCACCATGCGTTACACTTAACCTCTTAATATAGAACTATCTTTGCCCAACTCAGCCTAACAAACGGAATGTAAAAAACATGAGGATCAATACACAGAGACGGGCTTGTAGAAGTTGACCAATCAGGTAAAAGGCCCTCATCCCAGCGCCGAGCTGCAAGGCAGCGAATCAGCAAACCGGCCCTCTTTCAAGCGCCTCAGCTGATGAGACGCAACTGATATATAACTAGGTACCGTTCACTTCTCAACTTTTGTTTCTTTTCTACTCATCACCGGCCTGCTGGGCACCTTGGGGCTCACCCATCGCGGGAGCTACATTGGTGAGTCCTCATCTAATGCACCCCAACTTACCGGTGGCACTTTTTACCATGGACGTTTCGTTTGACTGATCTCGAGTCTTACTAGGTTCTCTCACATTGGTCAATATCCTCTTACCTCATACCCATGATGCATGGAAATTCCTATTATTATCCTTACGATACTTTCTTCCTGTTTGTCCTTGCGCCGGACTTCCCGGCGCACCGAACATACAGGGGCACCATGACGATCACCACATAGAGCGCGTAGACGTCGATGAACACAATCTTATATGGTATCTTGACTTGATAGACACAACTGGATCTAACAAGCATTTTGGGGCCTCCGAACTAGGGAGGGGCATGTGCGAACAATCGCTTGCTGCCGCCGATCGCGATATTACCCCTGCTGTTAGTGATGGTGACTTACTCTCAGAGCCATCGATTCCTACTGGCTATTCATTCAATTTCACAAACCGAACTATAACTCCGCCTGAAGCAGATACATCAATAGCCTCCGAAGATCCAGGCCCAGGTCCACGAATCGCAGAAAGTCCGAGTTCCGCATCGCCCGCAACCTCAACCCATACGTCGCTCGCCGACTTACCCTTCTTCTATGCCTGCGATTTCTGCCACGATACTTTTGTCGGCTTATGCCAACTTATCGATCATATTGAGCTGAAACACCGACGAGGAAGACGGTTCTACTGCAGGGCTTGTAATGTTGACTTTGGACTGAAGAAAGACTTTCGCCGGCATCTTGAAAGCGCAAAGCCCCATCAGTTATCGGCTATTCGGTGTCGCTGCCAGAAACTACTCCGTAAGGATAAGTTTCGTAATCATCTCCAACGCAAGAAGCCCTGCGACAATATTATACATTTTCTCTGCTATTGCGGGCATAACGTTGACAGCAGTACGCCAGATGCAGTCTCAAGGATCGTACAACATATCAGTGACTGTGGACGGGGTCGGGCGGGTCGACCAAAGAACTGAATGACTCCCATGTAAGAATGGATGGTGAAAGAGGGGAATTGTGCAAAAGATGACATTATTTTGAGTGGTTGCCACTGGATGTTACAGGGATGGATACAATTCGGAAACGAACGGGCAATTTCCTTTGTTCTTTTTTCGCCTAAGGGGTCCACTAGTACTACCGATCATGTACTATGTACGGCCAGTGTTACGGTATGTGTACGCTTGTCATCTTGAGTGTGAAAAGTCTGTGTCTATGCTTCTTGGTTAATATTTGATGGTTCTTCGGATGATACAACCCAGTTGTCGGATGATCTGTTTACATAGGTATTTGGTCAACGTACCAAGATACCGGGGGGGTTTTCTTTGTCTTTTTCTCATTTTCTCTTTTTTTTTGTAATACTTGGAATATTATGGATTGGGTTGTGGATTGGGCTATTGGTTTTTGGTTTCTTTTTTCTTCCTGCACATTCAAAAATAAGCAACATTTACCCAGGATACACTTATCAACCCAGATTAAGCCGTCCAATTTCTGTTTCAAAGTTACAGCTCCTTTCATCTCATACTATGATCCGCTGGGGAATTATTTCATACTTGAAGTGAAGCTATTTCAAGGCCTTGGTACCTTCTTGTCCTCAACGAGGCCAAAGCCTAGGCAGCTTAGGGTTATAGCAGCCAGCACAAAAACAAGGAGAATAATATAAGAGGGCACTAACGCCTGGGATCTCTGAGTTGGTTGTCTTGTAGTTCAAAGTGGTAGTAATATTCTAGCAAAATTTGAAAGGCGAGTGTTTAAACCTTGGTGGCAGGGCTGTGAAGCTAAGCAGAACAGCAACTAATATACAGATTGAACAACCTACATCCTAGGGCGTTGTATAAATTGTGCTACCAAAGACATTGATCAAGATCCATATTTCTCGTTATTGAGTTTTTTGGCAGCTCTTTCAGCCCGGATCTGTTCAATTATTTCAGGGCCCCAAGATTTCGACTGATACTTCCGCGTATTTTTAATTCGCTTGATTCTTTTCTTTTCTCTTTTTCTAGCAGCAGTCAATTGTTCTTGAGCAATCATTTCAGTTTCACCAGGCGAGATGTGAGGGATCGGTAATCTTGCAGCCGCTACTGCGCGGCTCAAGTTGCTGTTTATCCCCACATCGCCAGGGCAACTGCGCTCAGCTAATAAGAGCAAGGCCCGCAAGGTGAAATGTGCGTCATTACCGCCATTATGCAGCCAATTATGCGGACATTGAAGTTCAGTGAGAAGCTCCCCAAGAGAAAGAGAAAAGTAGGGAAGAACTTGCGGAGCTATTCTGAATGTGTCAAGGGAGCCAGTGATTTCAAAGTGTGAAAAATCAAACTTCAACCGCCTTAAGATTCGTATCTCATGTCGAATATCGTGGCCTACGAGAAGAATCTTGCGACCCAGTGGAATGCATTGCATTATACTGGTTAGCATTTGATGATGACCAATGACCACGGGCTTTCCGAATAAGAACTTCAATCCAGCTTTTCGGCAGTATGCTGCTGACCCAGCAACAAAATTATAGGTTGATATTAGATGTTCCGAGGAAGTTGAAGAACTGAGATGTGTAGGATCTAGAATGGCTAGTCCAACTTGAACGTCATTTATAGGAAGATTTGTCGATTTGTCAAAGTTGGCCGTATTCTCAAAGTCGATGGCGACAAGAACAGAATCTCTATATTCAGATTCCATCTCAGATGTCCCGATGACATCGAGAACAGCTTGTAATCCGTCTTTTATCATTGTTGGTCCGGGTTGATAGATCGGAACCTCGCATATCTGCGTCTCCGAGTCGAAAGATGACATCGTTGGTATTCTTTGGTGAGAGTAGTGTGAGACTTCGCACGTCCTCTTAGAGTGATGGCGCCCGTGGATGCCCAATCACACTGGAAGAAGGGACAAAATTCTCTGGGCTGAGCAAAGTGGATGGAGCGCACAAGCTCAAGCGACAAGTGAGGAAAACGATGGGATCCAGTACTTTGAAAGCTTGGGATACAGGCGCTGCTATCATGTAAAGATAGCCAAACCGGTATATAATAGATTACATGTAGTCAAGCCAAGCTGCGAAGCAGTTCTTGCGAAGGCTCAACCGGAGTGAAGAGCTGCTTCTAGCTCTGCTTTTATAAATAATTGATTAACTCTCCAAGCGCTAGGAAAGTTAAAATATATTTAGGTTTACAATTAGCCTTTGGTTACTGTTTGTAGGTACTAAAGACTCTCAGTTATTGTGTTTTTCTAAGGTCAAAGTTGGTATAGCGAAATTGCTTTTGTAGCGTTTGTGAGTTTTGGAAAAGCTATGTATTTCTTTTACTTACAACAATCGCAGGCTATTATATAATACTTTGCCCGAATTTATTATATAAGAAAGCCTGGTGACGCAAGAATAAAGCGCTGCATACAAGCCGCCAGAAGGTGACATTTCTAGAACTAAAATCCAGCGATCCAGTTACCTAAGGCAATAACAATCGGAAGATCTTGATCGAACGGGAAGACCTTGATTGCTGCAGCAGCTTTGCTTGCCCCTATGAATGCCTTAGCAGGCATCAGATTGATAGCTGAGTTAGTAGGTGACCATCAGTGAACACCGGCTTATAATTCGATTCAGCTCTAGACTCTATCACATACGACCATAGGTAGAGGAGAATTCGGGGTCCCGTCTGCTCCCCCATAGACAAGCCTCTAACCGGCAGATTAGTAGTTGAGTGGGTGACCATCAGCGAACACCGGCTGTTGTATGTTTTTCTTTTTTGCAAATCTTGCGAAGCTTGTGTTGTTGTTTTGCAAGCAGGCATTTGAGGCCGAGTTAGTGGAGGTCAAGTACATACGACCACATCCATTAGAAAATACGGGATCCCGTCCGCTCTCCCAGAGTCAAGCTAATGAGAGACAGATTAGTAGTTGAGTGGGTGACCATCAGCGAACACCGGTTGTTGTATGCTGATTTCTTTTGTCTTTTTGTCTTCTTTTTTATATACTTCGTTGATTAGACTAGTGATGCGGGAATGGTGTTGATATAAGTTGGTGGTGGTGGTGGTGCAGTAAGCATGCATGCATGGATGTAACCCTCCGAGCCAATGGGCTTTGACTCTCGGGAATCAAGCGCCCATTGGTTGAAAATGAGATACCCAACAACTCAGATACTTGATACGCACATGGAATCCCTCTCCTTCTTTTCAACTTCAATTTCATAATCCTTCCATCATGCTTCCCATTCATTCATGACCAAAGGTTCGGAAATAGGCAGTGATTGGAGATGTTGTGACCGATTGGCCTCAAAATACAAAGATGGGCTCCAGTTGGCGACACGTTGGTTCGCAGCGGCGAGAGTAACGCATGGACCGTCGCTGCAACCATAGCTTGGAATCCGAGTGGCTTCTATCTCGAGTATTGGGGGTCTGTTATTGGCTAGATTAATCTTCAGAGCTTCAACCCGAGCGGATATCGCAGAGTGAAAGAAGCACGACGTGATTGCCGGGGAACAAGACGACAAAGATTCAGACCCGACATCTCTACTCGATTAATTCCTTCCAGCATGCCGCGACCGACGCAGGATGGTTTTTCTTTCTCTTTTTGTGGTTTTCTCTTTTGTTATAGATATCTGTAGGGCCCCACTAGGTACACTTTTCCAGTTATACCCACCGAGTACTCCGTACGTGAATAACGGCTGTCAGCAGCTCCTGGGTTCTGTTAATAAGTCACGTGATGCGACTATATAAAGGTCATCGGACCGGGGGGGTCCTCTACTGTACAGTAGCTTCTACGCCCCACTCGGATCACCAAACCATCCACCACCGAGTTTCCTGTGTCGATGCTGACTCAGGCCCTTGAAGCATTCCATCAGCGAAGCCTCCAAGTTTCAGCACTGCCAAGCAAAACCCTCAATCACCAAGTCTTCTCTCACGCGGGAATTTAAACACCATGGCATCGCCAGACCTGTCGGTTTCTACTTCTCCTACGTCGGTGTCGCTGGCTTCGCAGGGGGAGGAGCAGTCGCCGACAATCACATATACAAACGTCAAAGAGCTCCACAAGGTGATTAGGCAGGTTCCAGGCGATTTCCTCATTGTCCAAAGTAAGTATTTACCATCTAACGGCAATTACATCCCCAGGATATTCTATACTAACTACTCGTTATCAGATGTTTCTCCTGCCGATTTTGAGCAAATCAGCCGTCCAGAACGTCGCGGTTTCCGCCTGCGACGTTATCATGCCGACAGGAGACTTTTAATCATCACAATACCTACTGCCCTACATGAAGCACTCCACATAAACCTCTACGTGGCTTTCTTATTCAAGATCGGGCCAATAGCGCAAGATATCTGGAAACCAATCATGAGTACGACCTTGCGTCCACAAGGTCACCCTGGAGGCGACGGTGGTGAAGGCGACTCAAGTGGTGGCCCAATGTCAGTACGCCACGATAAATATGCCTGGCCAACCCTGGTCATCGAGGCAGGGGATTCCGAATCCTTGCATGCCCTACGAGATGACATGAGATGGTGGTTTTCCGCATCAGACCATCAGGTCAAGATTGTCCTGCTTGCCAAGTTTGACCACCGTCTTCAACAGATTCTTATCGAGAGATGGGAGGAAGAAGCTGCGACCCGCCCTGGCGCTACAACGACTAGAAGGGCAGCAACGTTTGGCGCCAGTCAGCCTGTGTTACAGCAAAGTATCACCATCACACGGGATCCGGCTACTGGTTCATATCAAGTCGCTAGAAGCGACTTGGTGCTTTCGTTCCGGCTGCTCTTTCTGAGAGATCCAGGCCCACAAGAGGGAGATTTCATTATACCTACTGAAGATTTGCAGCGTTATGCACGACTTGTCTGGGCGGCTGTTTAAGATAAGCTAAGCCAGGGGTGCTAGATTCGCCGGAAATAGACCTCCAAGTCAACTCTAAGGCGTCACAATCCACAGCCGCGCCTGGGCGCCTCGTGTCCACTGAGTTCTTCATGGGCGATCATCTTACATACGACATTCCAAGGGGACCATTTCGCTCGAGTTACGACTGGCTAAACGCCATATTGACCATCATCATACGGCACCAAACTTTGGTTCTAGAAAAGTCTGAGGATGAAGACGACATAGAAGATGCCGAGGACATCCTGCCAGTAGCACAAACCCTCCTAGCTCTCCTTCCCAAGGTTTCCCCCCCAGACTTGACCACATCAGAGTCGTCAGCTCTCCAACACCATGATCTCAATCTCAACAACATTCTAGTCAACGAACAAGGCGAAGTCACAGCCGTGCTCGACTGGGAATACGTCTCGGCACTACCACTCTGGATGCTGACTCAAATGCCCAAGTTTCTTGACGGTGAGCCTCGGGATACCCTCTTTGGCGAAATGCGATTCCCTGGTCACGCATTATCACTTCAACTTAGTTATAATTTTGACTCTGCCATATATTGCCAACGCAAGAGATGGTCGACTCGCGGATGGACATTTCAGGAATCCTACCTATCACGACGGCTTCTTGTTTTTACGTCAATCGTTAGCTTCCACTGTCAAAAACACACAAGCTGTGAATGGTGGTTGGACCCTCACGGTGAAACAGGCCGCTGGACTTCCCATTCTGTTGACCGGACATCTTTCATTTGCAATGTTCCAAGTTGGCCTGACATTGTCCACTACATTGACGTGGTCCGTGAATATAGTCAGAAGCGTCTGTCATTTGACGATGATATTCTCGACGCTTTTGCTGGTGTGACGACAGTGTTAAACCAATCTTTTCATTCGGGATTTCACTACGGTCTGCCAGAGCTATTTTTCGATGCTTCTCTGCTATGGGAACCAGACTGTAGAAAGTCAACTTCTCTTCGGCTCAGAAAGACAAAGAAGTTGAAACTTCCAAGTTGGTCATGGGTGCGTACGAAGGGTTCAATCGGGACAAGTGTCTGGGACATTTTTGCACAAGACTTTTACAAAGATACCTCGTTTGAGAGTATTTATGAGCTAAAACCCCGAGTTCAATGGTGGAAAACCAACCCTCAGGGAGAAGCATTAAAGCTAATCGAGTATCAACACTTCAATAACCATGCCTCGATGCCTCCAGGCTGGACTAGACGAGACAATGAGGATGGATATGGAGATAATGAGGATGGATATGGAGATAGTGAGGATGGATATGGAGATAAGTATTCACACACCTTGTCTCCAGGCATACAATACCGGTACCCTTTTCCATTTTCTGAGAGTGCCGAAGCAAGTTTTCCGAAAGATGAATACGGCCCGTTACTGAGATGTTTCGCAAATCGAGGGTGGCTGATCAAATCAAACAAGTTCGAAGAGCCCAATAAATCATATCGCAAATTTTATGGCACATTCAACCTTTGTCTCAGCGACGGAGCCTGGGCTGGGGTATTATTTGACGATCGATTAGACCAACGCTTCCCTCAAAAGTCTGGTGAGAGATGTGAAGTAATTGCGATTGCCGAGGGACGGGTTCTTAATCCAGCTTTTGACGTTTATTTTCCTGAGCGCGCAATGGCTCGGCGAGCAATCTTTCCAGGGGAAAGATTGTCCGATCGCAGTGATTTCTGTTATGAGTTCTATTTTATCCTTTGGATCGGCTGGGATAAAGGCGTTGCATACCGGAGGGGCATTGGAAGAGTTCTTAAGACGGTATGGGAGAAAATGGAGCGTGAGGAGATTGAAGTAACCCTCGGTTAGATATGAGAGCAACAAATTTAGCATTGCAAGTTGTCTTTTACGCGCAGCGTATTATTCAGTCTCTGTGACGACCTGCCTCTAGTACCAAATATATCATATGCATTATGATATGTGCATCCATATAACATTAACCACCTCTCAGGCACTCTACTTATTACGGACCTCATTCAAACGCAAGAATCCTCAATCAAAATTGTAGCAAATTTATTCTGAAAGACTTACACCATCAAGGTGTGTTCGGGTATCCCCAGCATCCAGTCCTCCCAAACCCCTTCCATGCCCCCAATCCCAATAAACTGCGCTCCTTTGCTACAGCATCAACAAAAGAGGTATATATATATGTATAAAGCACACCAAAACACCATACAGAAACAAAAAGAGGGAGAACCCCGCATCAGACCCAGCAACACTTGACATACTTCATAATTCGTGAGCATTAGTTTGCATACATGTCTCCTTTATACCGCATTCCCGTTCACATCGTATTGCCTCGGCGGGCTATCAGAGTTTCTCCCATAGCCGGGATGGGCCAGGATCGGAGCCTCAACGTGAATCGGCTGTTTGTTTGCAACGATTCCGCTTCCGGCACTGTCAACATACTGCATTTCGTATGCCTCCTCCTTCATCTTGCCCTTGTCGTCTGGCGACGAGACCCATCTCTCATGGCTTGCATTGTTAATATCAATGGCAGAGCCAAGCGCGAGTCCAATCTCTCGAGGAGATTGAGGAGATCCATGGGCGGGTTCTGGCCACGGCATATGGTTGACCTCAGTCGCGCTAATCGGACTGTTGAATTGAGATGAATAAGGTGAGAAGTATCGGGGGAAGGTCTTTTCCGTATTGCCAGTCATGGGAGAGTCATCCCAGTTCCGCAGAGGTCGCTGGCTGATTGGAGTTTCGTTCGAATCGTGCGGGTTCGTAGACACAGATGGCCATCCTCCTGGGTTAGACTTCATCGGTGGCATGTTGGTCTGCAATTTCCTGAGGAACGCCTTTCTCCGTCTTCTGCCTCTGCAGACGATGAATACACCGGCGAGGGTCAATAGTAGAATGAATCCCGCCACGGCGACGCCAACTTTTCCGCCCAAACCCAGCGGACCATGATCGAACCAGGCAGGGTCTACCTTGGCTGTTGGTGTAGGCTCAGTGATGTTGACGACGTCACTCGAGAAGATGTTGCCCTGAAGGCCCAGAGTTAGACCATCCATCGGCTTTTGCTCACATCCAGCTTGAAGAACCGTAACAACTATACACCACGTTAGCAAGTGCCACGGTCTTCACTGAGTTGGGACATGAGAGTGCATCATACAGTTTGCCAGATAGTTGTTAGAGACCTGAAGACACTCTATACATCCGTGAAAGTCGACAGAGTCGCCGGTAGGCCATGTATCGCAGTATCCATAGTCGTCATACGTGACTGACAGATTTTGATACGCAATAGCGTTGGCAAAGACACCACAAGCTTTGCTAAAGCCAACGTGTTAGTCATGAGACGCAAGGCCAAGGACGGTGTGGTGTGGCATTTACCTCGTAACACATGGATTGTTAACAAAGTCATAATGCGACGGCTCGTTGAAGACGCAGTATGATACAGCATACCGGAGGTTATCTAGGGTCAAATGGTTAGAACTTTTGATGCAATAACATACATGGCTTAGGTGAGATGAAACACATACACAAGGCCGCCTCGTTGTCGGAATAGTTGTTCTTTGTTACATATCCGCTCTCCAGCTCGCACTGGACACAGCCTTGAAACACGGTGCCAGCATTGTTGTTGTAGCCGCCGGTGTACTGGCCCGGCGTGCACACCAGGTCATCGGGCGCCGTCGAATCCAGAACATTGCCGCAGTTGGTCGAGCACGGCGAGTCTGGCGCAACCAGAATGGCCTCGGCCGCGGGCAGCACCACGCCGGCAGCTGCGAAACTCGTTAGGAGGCGTAACATGGCTTTTTTTTGGGCGAAAGCCTCGCTTGACCGTCTTTGCTCTGTGTGGGAGGGTGGCCTTTTGTCTTCTTTTTTTGGTGTCTGTGGTAGCGAATGTAGGGAGGGATTGGATTGGGGCGAAGGAAGCTTCGGGAGAAACACAGGACCGGCCTGTGCTACATGCCACGCCTGAAGGACGGCAATGCTGAGTTTGAAGCTGTTCACGAAAACGAGAGACGGTCCTTGGCTCGGGGCGGGAGAATCGCGGAGAGGGCCAGTCGAGGTTGTTATAATGGTCGTGCTGTAGCGTGCTGTACGAGCAGGCGTCGTGCTCGCTGGTGAAGCCAAGAACAAAACAAGGGGGGCCTAGCTGTAGCTGGAAGCTGTTGGTTGCGAGATGTGATGAAGATGCAGAGTCGCATCGCAGGCCATTGCCATCCCCAAAGAGAGAGCTTTCACATTCTCCACCCCAGAGTGGATGGACGTCCGGTTCGCCCGCCCATGTTCGCCGCCGCTCATCTCCTCCTCCATCCCGTCCTGTCCTGTCCTGTCCTGTCCTGTCCTGTCCCGTCTTGTCCTGATCATGGTGAGAGCCGGCAGGGCTATCCAACTAGCCTCAGTTTAGGGGCCTTGCACCCTCCATAACCAGCAAATCTCGAGTCACCTCACACCGGCTGGATGCTAAAGCCGTGCCAGACAAGGGCTCATCTAGCCACTAAAAGGCGGGAGACGACCCGCGATCCCCTGCGTGGCGTCAAGCCTCTGCAGGGATCCCTGCTCACATTCACATCGCCATCACCAGCTACTGGCTGTCGCCGGCCTCCGATTGGCGGCGTGCTACGTCCTGGGCGCTTAATTCGACTCTGTGGATGGTCGCTGACAGGCCTGGTGTCGAAATTGTCAATTTGGAGGCGGTTGAACAAAGAAAATTGTCTCTCTCTTTTTCCCCGCCGCGAGGCAATAATCAACTAGTCCAGAATCCAGACCTGCCGTGTCTGCGTACTGTATTCCGTATTCCGTCTTGTCAATGGCACGATAACGATGAATTGAGCGGCGTCCTCACGTCATCCCAGGCCGTATGCGTTCATGTCGGGCACTTTCTGGGCCATGCTGCAGGAGGAAAGCCTCACTGCTACCCTGCCTAGGTACCGTAAGCATATCAGACATGGAGATATTCTCTGAGCTGGCAGAAGAAGAGAATACTCGATGAAATACGTTTCGACACTCGGTACGGACCTGTCAAGTTACTCGGCAACATACGCCCTACAGACAGACCCGCTTGCACTCCATCTAGTACATCTCCAGCTTCATCATCCATCATCCTGCACTTCCATCTGCGGGGGCCAAGCTTCTCCGCCTATCCGCATAACATCACATCAACCTCGAACCAACACACATCCAAACGCAAAAGTCCTCATCCCAAAGTCCAACGTTACTCTGGGCATCAAAAAACGGCGCTTCTCGTATCCCCTCGGCATCACCACCACATGGAATCACGCCTCTCGTACAACCAACTGCCGGCACGGGACACGGCTTGAAAAGTGTACAAGTTGCAGGTATCACAGCTTTGCCCGTGTGGAGGTTGGGTAATGCAAATCTCCCTGTGCTCTGTGCTCTGTGATATCCCCTCACATCCCTCGCGCTTCATAAACGGATGAGTGCTCGTGCTCGGACGAGAGACTACTTTTTACCCGCCCCCAAGCGCCGTTCACATCCGCAGCCATCACATTCGATCACGCTTTATTGATGTTGGGTGAATGCTTTCAAGGGGAAATATTGAACAACGAATATGTATCTCGTTGCCAGAATTCCGCTAGGCGCGCCATTAAATCTCGCACGAAGCGCCAACTGTGAATATGCGAACATCATCACTCGACGATGCAGAAGTCCATGACTGCACCTGTTGCATCACCATCACATTCGTTGTACATGCTATTAACCTGGAACCTCGGCAGCCAAGGTACATGCACTAAAGCCGCATGCCTACAGTGGCTGCGGTATACATGAGAACCCCTCCCTTTCGCTTATGCACGTCTAAAATGCAAGGGACGGGCGTCTGTGTACGAGTAATATTCGTGAGGCCCTGCTTATACCGTACGAGTATGTGACAAAATCAGATGTGCCATACTTGAGCCATTCACTTGGATTTACGTAGCATTACGAGAAAAAACTTCGTCTATGGTGCAAATATTCTCGCTAAATCAATCAAGCAAATCAAAGTCAAATGACACCGGCCGCCCAAACCAAGCAAAATATGTATCCTACCAGACTGAGCTCACACGTCGCCTCACAATATGCGCTGGAGTCTTTTCCACGCATTTCAGCAAAGAGAACGTTTTCTCGAGGCCATCAAGTAACTCCAGATCGGGAATCAATTGCATGGCAGTCGGCGTCTTGGGGCCGGAACTCGTCTTTGCAGTAGATTCTTTGGACCTCTCCTTCTCACCCCGTCTCGTCTCAATGCTGGACCGGACTTGTTCAGGCTGTGACGAGTGCGTACGTCGGTGTGATAGACTGTGGCCGTCCCTCTGGCTTTCATTCTGCGACGTGCCGCGCCTAGTAGATTGTCTCCTAGCTGTTTCCGCCTCTAGCAAAGGTTGCGAACGGTTCCCTGATCGCCCTCTGGCCCTAGAACTGTCCTGACGCCTGGTCCCAGATGGAGGGCGACTTCCGTGCACCGGACAGCTAGCAGAAGGATATTCTTCGATGAGAGCAAACTGCGAAAGATCAATCGGCTCTCTTTGGGACATTTGCGTGCCACGAGACTCACGCCGTCCCTCTTTGAGTTGTTTGTGCGAAGATCGCCGCCTGCCCCTCCCAGTCTCCTCTGTAGCTACTTGTGAAACTGTGTGAGATTGCAAAAGGTGGACTGGTAGAACAGCACTGCTGGAATAACTCCTCGCCATTTCGTCGATTTGACTATAGCTGTACTTGCTTCGGAGTTGATTCTGAGACGACTGTCGCGATAGCGGCATGCCATAGTCACTACCACGCCGACTATTCCAATCAGAGGATTGCCGCTGGCTATGTGCCCTATGCCTGTTTCTGTTTCTTTCTTGAAATCTGGCGCTATTCCCCGCTTCAACAGTCCTGGGCCGTTCTTGAGTCGATAGATGCGATAATTCGGGGGCGTCAATCATTGAGACAGATATTTGGCGAACCCGGCCAGGTTCGTTGTTCCAGACAGACACGTCAGATCGCAGGCTGAACCGCTTCTCATCTTCCATCATGTCTGGGTAGAAAGCTACGTAGTCATCTCGATCTTTTCGCGAGCCCCGGAGTTCCTCTGGAGGTGCTGTTGCGGACTGATTCGGGGGTTTGAATGAGTCCAGATGGGATATCGGAGACTCAGCCTCGAGGTATCGTCTGAGCATGTATTGATCAGGCGGAATATCGAGCTGTAGGGAATTGATATTCAATTTTGAGCTTGATGATCTCTGTATATTCTCAGCCTGCGGCTTGTTTGTCGTGTGGTTAACATATTCCTTGTTGTACTCGGAAGATTGGTGGTTTTGTCGCACATCCGGATCAATCGAGTTACCCATAAGCCACATATGCAAATCATCTTCTTGTTGGTCCGTTGAAGAGTCAATGGGTGCCTTCGATGATTTCTCATAGTCTTCGCGAGACTGGTCATGAGACTCATTGTGTTGATACGGGCCATTGCCAGAGTTTTTCTCCAGGTCTGGTGAGGCATCGTCTTCGGATCGAATATTGGGCTGGAGCGGCTGGTAAGACAGTCTAGCATACGGCTCAGACTCGGTATCAACGACAAGCAGACCCGTTTCACCGCGGCCCATTATACCGTAAACCCAAATTTCGCCAGACTGTATGCCAACAACAGCACTGGTACCGGCATAAGTTGCTTCGCCCTCGATGCCACAGCGGTTCGCAAAGACGACAATGACTTCTTGGTTCGATTCTGCCCGAATTAGCGGCTCAAGACGAGACACCCAGTACAATAAAGTCATGCTATCGGGTTCCAGGGGAGTGCTGGTGAATTCTCGAGAATCCTCATTGGTAAGCCAAGCCATAGAAACTATGACAAGTCGAGCACCACTGTCCAAGACATGTTGTCCAAATTCGAACTTGTTCCAAGGAGCTTCAAATTTGTAAGGACTCAACGTACGGATTACTGTGTTAGCTTTGGTAGTTATGGGGAGGTGGAGAGTAACCGCCCTTCCATTACTCACTTGAGGTCCATGCATATCCCCATGGCGGCTTGACCTAAGCCTGGAAGCCGTCCTTTAAAGAAGCCATGGGAGCCCTCCAAAGCCCAAGTCTCGTCGGTGTAATACAGATGGGATTTGCGGTAGTTGGCCACTGTTTCGCCATCGCCGTTGACAGCTATTGCCGAGTTGTAATACTGGGGGTCCGTAGGCCAGTTCAGCGTCGGATCTACCTTTTCGGGGTATCCCACGACGACGGTGCAGTCATGCTTGAGGGCTGTATTCCGAGCCCAGAGCGAGCTGATACCCGTGCTGGATTCTTCAAGATGGGGAGATATGTGGGTTAATGACTTGAAGTTGTAGCCTGATCCAAGCATGCAGCAAGTTAGAAAGGAAGTCGTGGGGCAAATGCCAAATAGGATATGCAGCCTCACCGGTGAAGGCCAGTTCTGGAAGGACCAATAGATCCAGGTCTAGATCGTCGGAATCCGCCTGGTTGAGGACCTCGTCCGCCTTGTTGAGGTTGTTTTCCACATCCGCAACCTGCGGCGCGAACTGAAGGCACGCGATCCGCATCTTTTTTTCTCTTTCCACGGACAACCTCTCTCTGTCTGTCTCTCTCTGTCTCTCAGCTCGTCGTCCCCCCTCAGCGACTAACTGCACAGTCCAGAGCTCGGCGTCGCGGGCAGAGCCCGGCTTTTCCGCGTCGCTTCGGGTGTTATAAGTCTCGGGCTCGCGACGACAAAGCAGATGATGGTGGTATTAATGCCGTGCCGTCACGCAAAAGATGCTGGACCCAACAGCAAACCGACTGTTTTGGGCGTAGGACAAGAGCTCCTCCCAAGCCTCTCTCTTCCTGAATGGGGTTTTCTGTACACTGTATGCGTTTGAGGGGGGAAGGGTGGGGTAGCTGGTACACGGAACGGTTTTGAGTTCTCAGCACTACCGAAGAGTACCTACTCCATACTATGACAAGGGGAGTGACTACCGCATAGTACCAAAGTTGAACTGCGCACTGCTAGAAGAGAATCCTTAATGCTGGGGAAAGGGGGGGATGGGCTGACTGCTCACAGCCCCATGGTATCTTCAAATTAGCCTACGATGTCTTTAAAGCAGTATTCGCTACATACATGGTACCTAATTTCTTGGTACTGTGAGGTAGCCCCTAGACATGCCAGAGCTGCTTCTGGTGTTGCTTTCAAGTTATGTCAAGTGCCAATACAGCTCAACCTTGACTTCCAACAGAGTACAGTACCTCACATACAAGTATAAGATGGTTCTTCTTTGTCTCCCAGAGACAGCCTGCTTGTCGTTGGGCTCCGTTTCAGGTACTGCAAGGGGTCTTCCTGCATCTCCAAGACAGATTTGATTGGCTGCAGTGTGATTCCAACGGCGCAGTCCACCAACGGCGTCGCTTCGTTTACCGCCTTCTTCTGCATGAGCAGGGGTTGTTGAATCTGGTTGCTTCTTGCCCATGTATACTCGTACAATACTCTGCAATAAAAAATCGTCTTATACATCGCCTTTGTTAGCTGCCTACCTCGACTGTATAGGTTCCATAGTGTACTCGTATGTATTTGCAGTGTTTGTACGGCGTGTTCCCCCATCTATCCTTATTCCTCTTGTATCCATAGTCGACAGTTGCTGCAAAAAGTGAACTCTTACCCAAGGTAAAAAGGTAAGGTACGGGGTTTTCGGAGGAATCAATAGTGTGATGCAAAGCAGCGGAAGACTCCGCACGTGCTGCATCCCGGCAGACAGGTGCCTGTATTCTCCTAATGGCTTAGTACAGTCTCAATAAAATCCACAGATCATGACCACCCACACACAGCATATGGCTGGATGGGCGACCAAGAGAAGTCAATTAATTAGACGGCTACCTATAAACTAGAAAAATAATACCGAGGCCATCAGTAATCATCCAGCCTGTTGGATCTGATTCCCCATACTTATTAACCTGTCAAATCACTGACGGAAAAAGTGGATTGGCTCTTCTAGAAAGACGCATATACTATTACCCTATAATCAGGTATTGATGACGGTTCACACTGCCGTATACCAGGTAAGCTATGTGGAATAGATATTCTTGAACTATGATTGACATTTTGTACTTGTACGAGATGCCATAAGACTCTTGGTAAACCTCGAGGGCGCATACTACCCTTATAATAAGCCTGAATACCACTTACATGTGTTGATGTGATAGCAGCTTTGGAGGCCGCCACCCCCAACGCCCGCAGGATTCTAGTCCAGGCCTGGAGATTAGTGCAGCCTTTGTATTACCACGATTGTATAGCACGAGCAAAAGCATGCAGTGTAGGTACATATGCATCACCCCGTTACCGAAATCCTGTCGTCGCCCCGTTTTACCACCGATTGCAGTTTTGACAAGGTTGCGCAAACAAGATTGCGAGCTGGAGGATGCATGTGAGACGCGGGCTGGGCGAGATTGACGTCACTTTTAGGCAGGACGTCGAACTGCCGCTTCTTTTTGCATTTACGGGCATTTGAATTCCCCAAACCTTCTGCAGATTCCAAACGCTGGAGGATTTGTCAAGATTAAGCCTTCCCGTCTTGCTTCCAGCGTGCTGGATCCAGCCAAGAACCGCAGTGCTAAAAACAGCCACAGGAGAAACAGCGACGCAGATTAGTAAAACGAAAAAGCAACTACAGAAACAGCCTGTTCCAGCAGAGGCTAGCAGACTTGGAACAACTGACAAGTTCGGGTTTCGCTCGGATTAGCGTCTTAGTACCTGGAGGCTACCTATTCTTAGCGGTGGAGGGTAAATCCCTCTTTTCGGCGTTACGTCTTTACGTTGAATACATGTACCCACCTAGACTACTGTAAATAGGTAGTCATCTATCGCCATCATCGTCGCAACCTCTTACACCAGATAGTCTGTTTCCTCCTCTCTTCGCTACACACGCGACCACCGAAATTCGGCATCGCCGCCATTTGAACTTGATTCGGGCTCCTCGCTTTCCCTTTCGCGACGTCCCTAGCCCCTCGTATCGCCGCCTGTCGCACATCGCAAGACCCCCATATCATGGTGGCCTCGGCGTCGAGCTTCGGGACTCTCCCGCACCAAAACGGCACGCCGATGCCTGCCCCCCAGCCGATAGCATCGCCTCCCGGATATGCGTTTCCGTACCAGAACCTGAAGCGTCGCCTGACGCGGCCTGACAAGGTCCCTCTCGTTCTTGTTGCTTGCGGGAGCTTCTCCCCGGTAACGACGCTGCGTAAGTAGTTAAGGGCACGTGGATATCGCCAATGGCGCTCTAACGAGTCCATAGACTTGCAAATGTTTGAATTTGCGGAGAAATATGTAAAACAGAGCGATCCCGGCTTCGAAATCGTTGGCAACTACATGTCGCCCTGCTCCGACGCATATCAAAAGTCATCATTAGCGCCGGCCCACCACCGGATACAAAGTAGGTTGGATGCGCTGAGCTGGGAGAGTGTTGTAACTCTCTACTGACTGCTTTCTATAGTGTGCAGCCTCGCTGTCGACACGGATACGAAAGTGACAATCACAATCGATCCTTGGGAGACGGTCCGCGTTGATGAATCCGGCAAGCCTCTGTACAGCCCGACGGTTGACGTGCTCCGTCATTTCGACCACGAGATAAACAACGTGCTCGGCGGCATTGAGACCCTGGACGGAACGTTTACGACGGCGCGCATTATGCTGCTCATCGGCGCCGACCTAGCTGCCACAATGGCAGACCCCAAGCTATGGGATCCCGCTGATATTGAGGTATTGCTGGGCTATTATGGAGCTTTTGTTGTTGAGAGGTACCGTTACTCCACGCCTGCTGGTCATCCGAACAAGGCTAACCTATCATCATCTCAGGCCTGCTCAATGCAGAACCCAAGATGCCATAGAGCCTCTCGAGAAATACAACGCCAAGATCTGGGTCGTTCCGACAATTATCAACGAAGTCTCGGTAAGAAGGCATAGTGCCTTTCCACTGGCCATTGATACTAACCAGGCGTATTAGTCAACTCGCGTCCGTGCTCAGATACAGAACGGAGAGAGAGTGGAAGACATTCCGGATTCCGTCTACAAATACATCAAGTTGCATCACCTATACCAGAAAGAGCCCATGGCCAACGGCAGACACGCCGAAATCACCAATGGGAATTAAGAAGCGAATCAAGACATAGACTGTTGCATTTACTTTTACAGCGTTGCATAATGGATACACCTGATAGCATTCCCCGCTATCAAACATGATACACGACAAGCGCAGCCACGCAAGAGCTTACAGGGCTCGCCATGATTTAATAGAGTACGCTCTCCCCCCTTCTGTCACTTTATGATTCTGGCGCAACACTAACTCTGGTATAAATAGGGGAGATGATTATAAAGCCAGTCTAGCGACTACTGTTCTTGAGTGCTGAATCTTGAGCTGGCTTGCTGCATGCTAGAATTATTTTTATTGGATACACTACAGAGGATATACGAGTAATGAAGAGTAGTATACTTAGAGATTACAGTCTTTGCGCCTGGCTGAGCTTCGCAAGGCCCTTGGCCAGCGAACAGTCAAAGGTTCAATTCTGTATGCCAATGATGAAATACGTCTAGCGATTATTCTAAGAGTGATGGGGGCTTTGACGGCTTACGGCTCCAGGCTCTGACTCAGTCTTGATATAGATAGCTGCTTGAATCATGAGCGATGTCTTTTATCTTCTGTTCCCGAATGGTTAAGTAGGGTATGTCTAGAGATTATTAAACGGGAATTTCGAGTCTCTTTTTACAGCCTAATGCTAAAGGAGTGGAATCACCAACATTGATGAACGACCACGCCCTTGTCCCCTGTAGACGGACGTCACGATCAGGTGGGCAAAAGCAAGAGATTGTTTCCATGACATCAATGCAAATCGATTGGCCATCCGATATTCACGCAAAACATCTCCCTCATCCACGTGCCCGCTCCGATGTAGCCGTGATCACCACAAAGTAGCATTCACTGACACATGCCTGCAATCTGGCCATTGCGACACTCTATCGACCGGAATCACAGAGTGGTTCATGCAAGACTTCCCAAGGCCATCACACAGGCGCCGTCGCGGCTATCGGATGCTTCCTAGCGCGAGGGTGCACAAGCGACGAGAGAGCAAATGCATGTAAGAATAATCCCGGCCCAGGTCGGCTATTCAAGTAAAACCGCTCACTTTTCTAGCCGACGAAAGAAAGCAGCACCTAGGTATTTGTTCCATTCTTCTCGGAGGGAGCCAATAGCAAAGGCAAAGATTTAATTTGTATTACTCTTCTTCCCTCTTTCTCTCTCTCGTTTCCACCCTCCATCTTTCGCTAGCTTCTCTTCGTTTCAACCTCTCTCAGTTGATTCTACAGGGTTTCATTCGTCCCGCTATCGAGTGGAGGACGCGGAACACATGCCGTTTGAACAAGGAGCCAATCACATGGGATTCCGCAGCTCGGACACCTGTTCGTCGAATATCCGCAGCTGTGCGCGTCTGTCACTGATCCTGGTCAAGCGTCAGTGGCAAATGGCATATCGACAGGGGATGAGAAGAGACAGAAAGGAAGGTGGACGGGGGCTTGCAATGAAGCAATATCAGAGATTTGAGTGATTGAGTGAGTGGGCAGTGGGCTCATGTACATACAGGGGGATCTTCATACCAGTGCATACAATGGATATACATACAAGGCACGATATTAACTGCTCATTGTCATTTTACACTTTACCCATCCTCGTATAGGTAGGGTTGCATCTTGCGCGGGTCGCCAGAGGGCGTCTGAATGGCCTCGTCTTCCGCCCGCCAATCCCGGCCCTCGTCAGTCGTTCCTCAACCCGGTCCAGACGGGCTCCTCCGCGGCACGGCCTTTGCGCTCTTGCGCCTCTTTGCCCGCGCGTCTATGCCGCTGCTGATTGGATCACCGTCTGTGGCGTCTACTTGTTTGCATCGGTATCCATTCGCTCGGACAGACGCCGTGTTCCCGCTTGTCTTCTCTAAGAGAGCCTCATTCAGCCGACCTTTTTCTCAATCAGATGCCCACGTACTCTCTATCTTGACTATGCGAGACAGGGCTTAGGGTCATCTCGTGCCGTCTCTCTCTTTGCTAGTTCCCACACGCACCAAAAAAGTCCTACCAGAAGCCCACGTCCTCTGTTTGGATGGAAAGCTTACCGGTAGTCGAAGGATCCAAAAGGTTGCCACAGGCTAAGATGCTCTTTCAGGTTGGATCGTCGACGAATAGCATCATCAGGATCACTAGATGAAGAAAGATACAGCCAGCCTTGAATTTTCCCTCCAGGCTTACAACCCCTCTTTCTGCTTGGCGGGGGACCAACATTAGGTTCCTTCTGAATATGCGTTTTTCTGCCTTTACGTGATTTTTGCCTCGGTGTCGAGAATGCCTGATCGGATGGGGGCGTGTGTGTCTTGTCACCACCATCAGCGTTGCATCCTTGCAGGGGATCCATCGGGATATGCATGCAATCTGTATGCTAGAACCAACGCGCCGTTGACATGATGCCCTAATACGGATGCGGGCGAGATGTTGGCTTGTGTGTGTATGTCCGAGGATGTGTGCAATCCAGGCTTCCATGGCCCGTATAACTATTGCCGGGCCTCCCCGTCGGCCGCATCTTGGACATGTGTTTCTTGCTAGCTGGTGTCTTGCTCAGTCGCCTGTCTTGATAGGGTTGATCAGTTCAACGATATCAATCTTTCTGTTTGAATCATCATCTCGAAAGGGAATGAATGATACTTGCAGTGGGTTTGATTCAGCCCGATATTGAGCAGGCAGCCTCGGTGATAGACCACTAGTACATGACATCTTGTTATACTTGAATATTTCCCTACTCCAATCATATATAACAGAGCCCAACATGACTTCCTCAATACATCTCCCCTTGATGGTTCTGGCCGTCTCCCAGGCTACATGTGTCCAGGCTCTCACAGTCTTCCCAAGAGACTCCTTTTCATCTCAAAGCCTCCCCCTATCCGCCACCATCGGCATCATCGTCGGCGTCATCTCCATCTTCGCCCTCGCCACTGTCCTCTTCATCATCTACTTTGCTCGCCAGAGACCCTCTCCATACATCGAGCAACGCTACTATTACAGGGAAGAGTATGTCTCTCCCAAAGCCCTGGTTGAGCCTTGGGGCTACGTCGTCAACCAGCCTCATCATGGCACCGACTTGGAGGCCACTGCAAACATGAATGATGGAGCCAGCGAGACAAACGGCCAATACTACAACCGTATGGAAGAGGCTGCTCGCTACGGCCACATCCAGCTCACACACGATCCAAGAGCCGTCATCCATGGCCCTGACAATGCCATGCCTGCTCATCATGCCTACGATCCCAACACCGTATCAAAGAAAGATAGCAGAGCCAGCTCTACACGATCCCTATCACCACCCCGACCAACCCACAGACTCAGGCCAAGCACGCCCGACTCATTCATCATCCAAGCCTACAAGTCAGTCGTGGAAGACGCCTCGAGACAATCTGCTCTTCAATCGCCCCCTACTTCAGGACAGCCCGCGCTGCCATCCCCATCATCACAGGCAACTTCCTCACCAACTTTGAGGTCTTCATCTCGCTGGAGCTCCAGACTCTCCTCCCTCTCCCTACCCAAAATCCACATGCCCAAACGAAACGCTCCCCCCAGCCTCGTCCTCCAGCCCATGGCAATGGCCAGAACCTCTGGGGACCGCCAGCTGCACATCACGCCTCCCCTCCTCAACGACCCGAGATTCATCGACAGGCCACTTGGCGCTGGCATCGTCGTCGTCGACCGCAATCGTCCACCAACTCCTAGATCCAGCGAAAAGTACGCTGCCTACACAGAAGTTCCTCTGGCTAGCGGGAAGAGCGTCCTTTACGGAATCTGAAGAAGAGGAGACAGGAATATCCCTTGTTTTCTTTTGTTAACACACACACACACACTCGTTTACTCATTCTCTTTTCCTTTGTCTTTTGTTGTATCCTATATATGGGAGGCTTAGCGTTGTAAGACTCTTGGATATTTGTTCAAGATGTTGTAAGGTTTGGGGAGGTGGCTTTCTTTATTAAACGGCGTTGGGTTTGCACGAGGTATTCAGCCATATGGAAATGGCCGTCGATCATTTATACCCTGGGAAGACTTATCAAGGCGTTCCGGTTGAAATTTACAAATTATTATATTCCAAAACCTGTATTGAATTATATATTCTTGGACAGTTCTGGCTGTTGAGTCACAATGTTATATCCTTTGTAGCAGTGCATAGTGTAACAGTTTTGCATCATCATTATTTTGTAGTATTAATAGATAAAAAGGTGACGTGTCTTATTTACTATATGGCTCAGCCTAGGCGGTGCCCAGGTCCTCTTGTCCGCCACGAGTCTGGCAGTGGTCCACGAGACGCACCGCTGCTTCGACCGGATGCTGCATCAGGCACTCTGGCTCCAGCTACTGCTGGTCGTTGTGGTGCTGGTGCTACCCCATTCACCAACGAACTAATAAACGCAGGAGTCTGAATCCAGTTTCGGCCACCTGCAACCTCGGGCCAGATCTTGCTGAGGAACAGATACAAGTGTGCCGCTGCAAGTCCATGAAGCTGCAGCAATACGATGCCGATACCACCGGGGAAGAAAAGGTTGATCGCCATCATGGCAAACGGCACAAGCTGGGACGGGATCTGGATGAACATGTAGTTCGTTTGCTGCCCTCGCTGCTCCTGGGTTACGGTATAGGCCATGGCAAGGAGAAGTGCTTGCGTCAGTACTCCAAACCCGAAGCCTGTCAGGTGACTCAGTATCTGAAGCCGGGGTGTCAGCCTCAATCACGAGCCAGGAGGATACAAAATGAAGGTGATGGATAAGGAACAGGCACAAGTGGCATCAAGAGGGAAAGATGTAGGGAGCATATAAAAACCACTCGAGTGAATAGTGAACCACACGAGCCATCCATTACGACATCCCACCATGCCCACACCGCAAGCCGATCCTTATGCGAATGAGTGGATCGACTCGAAGTGCAGGGGTAATCTTCCTCAATTCCAGGAACCGTGATAGCAGTAGAGGCATCGCACTATCCGGGCAGATATTTTGAGGAGTTTTCATCAGGTTGCATGGGGAAGCACATGAGATAGTGAGCTAAAAAGACCTACCAAAATTGTTCCGCTAACGAAAGTCAAGTACCAGACGAAATCTTCTCGTCGAGACAATCGCGGATGACCTCTCTCCAGCTGACTCATGTACATGTACATGTGGAAAGTGTCAAATAGGATACCCAAGTTTGGGAAGGTAATCAAGAAGCATGTTACGATACGCCAAACTTGCGGAGGGATCCGCAGCAAGTAGCGAAAGTCATAGTAGAAGAGATCCCCGGCAAGGACTCCTGTGTGTACAGCGCAGGATAGACCAAAGGTAATGGTCGCAACAGTTCTATCGAAGCAGAGTCAGTGCATGTTTCTTGCGTGTGCATGAGGCTGTATAGGAGAGTGTCCTTACCTAGCAATGGGCGGCGCTCGCCAGTATGCGTCCGTAGAAAGCTCTGCCATTGTGTGCAACTTTGCTCATCAAAAGGCGTAAAACCTCAAGTGCAGACGTGAAAAGAATGAAGATGCAAAACACCAGAGCGCTAGAGATGCTTATGAACAGCAAAGGACAGAGTTGGCAGCACCAGGCAACAACGGGAGCGTAATCATTGCTGGGTTTGCTCGTGTCAAACTTTTTGTTGGCTGCTGTAGGACAAAAAGAAATTGTGTCCAAAAGATTCTTTGCTTCCGCTTTTGTCATCAGAGCTTTGACCTGAACTGTATAAATGCATATCGTTTATTAGGTTTTGTACCTGCAGCTTTGTACCCCACAGCTGCAAAAAATATGTGAAAAATCGAGGCGGTTCGTGGTGCGAAGTGGATGTGCTAGAAAATTTCAATTGGTTAATTCTCCAGTGAGCAGGAAACAGCACGGCGTGTCGGAGAAATTTGCTCTGCAGGCGCGGTTTCATTGTCTGTAGGTACTTTGAAGCAAGGCTGATATGTAAGGCCCTACGGGTATATTCTACCCTAAGCTGAAGTAACAAGATCTATCTACGAACGTAGATACTATTTCCAGTTGCTCAATTACGGTTACGGGAAAATATACCCCGCGTGGCAGACGTCGGGTGATAGATTAGCTTGTCCAACCAGACGTCGTTCGTTATGGAGTGTTGGGTCAGAACTTCAATATGCCTTTTAAGGTTGTATAACAGCACGTTTTCACTTTGCAGCTTAATACCACTCATACAAGACAAGAAGAAACCCCGAAAAGTGCTGTGTCTCCAAAACAGGCACGGAAGAGAGCAATACGTAAAAAAGGCACTGTTATCTGTCATATCCATTGAAAAATTTCTGATTATAATTCTCGTACGAGCAAAGATGGGATATGTGGGGAAGCTCACAAAACAGCTACCCTGAAGCTTTTTAATGACGTACAATATTTCTCGGACGCTCGGCTTTGCTAGATCTCACGCAGCTGTTTTCGATGTGAACTTGGCATCATCCCAAAGCGAATCTGCCCCTGGAAATATTAAAGATTGGCATCCTTAGGTATCCCTGCCCCTCTCTTTCATACACCCTCTTCACCGGCCGAGGCTTTGAACGCTTAACGCATCATTCAATTGCCTCGTCTCATACTCCATTTCTCGCCTTAAAGATGGTCGTCGCTCCCCACGATCCGTTGAAGAGCGACGAGGCAAAGGACGCCGGGTGGGAGGCCGGCAAGGGAGGTCTTATCGGAGCAGCCAAATGGGGTGCTGGAGCGGCAATCCTGGGGGGCGCCTCCTTCTTCTGGTCTCCAGTCTACCGCAAAACCACCATCCAGTTCAAAGTGTAGGCATATCAAATCAGAAACTTGACTTACTAGGTAATACATGAGCTCATACGGCAATAGTTATGTTCAAATGTCAGCCATGGTCCTCGGCGGCATGATCGAGGCAGATCAACGCCTGAGGCAGTATGAAGCTCAGGTGAGAGCTCAGAGAAGGTGGCTCAGAGAAAAGGCAAAGTGGGACAGATACGAGCAAGAGATTGCACAGAACAATGGTAAATAAAGATGGATGAACCCAGCGTGTCGGATTTTCCAACGATCAAAAGCTTGATCATGTATATAGCATCATATGATGATACCCCCAAGTACCTCACAATGTATAGTAGCATCTCCCCAATTCCAACGCCCAAGAAACCGAAATGAAAAGCAAAAAAGCACATTCGCTACCTGTATTCCGTCGGTCATGCTATTATCTTCTATCCTATTTTGACGATGTTTTAAACCTCTTGGGATCCATGTTGAGCTTACACAGACGAGCGACGCACCCAGACAGCTGAAGGAGGGTCTGAACACCTTCCAGAATCTTCATATGTGTGAAGCCAATCTCCTTGATGAACTCTAGCTTTGAATGTTCGCTGAGCGTCGGCATTGTCTTTGTAACCTTGAACATGGTACTGATAATATCGTGGCTCGAGTATCCCAAATCCCACAGCTCCCGGAGGGAGTCCAGAGCCGAGTCGACATTCCCCTCGTAGCAAGCTTTCAGCATGGCCTGCACTTTGATTGGGTGCGGTGAATCGACCACCTTGAAGACATTGTCGCCAGAGACAAAACCGAAGCCAGCCCATGTTGACTGCAAGTTGTTAATGGCCTGTCGCATATCTCCCTCTGCACTGAAAACCAAGGCGGCCAAGCCATCGTCGCTGTATTCGACCTTTTCCGCCTCGATGATTTGCAGCAGCCGCTTCACGACTTGCTCATCTGTCAATTTGGCATACCGAAGGATTGCGCATCGTGATTGCAGCGGCTCGATGATTTTGTTGGACTGGTTGCAGGCAAATGCAAATCGAGTGGTATTGGAGTAAATCTCCATTGTTCTACGGAGAGCTTGCTGGGCACCGGATGTCATGCTGTCAGCTTCGTCGAGGATAACCAGCTTGTGTCTGCCAGCGGGCAAGGTAACTTTCTTTTGCGCAAAGCCCTTGATTCGGTTACGAACGACATCAATACCTATGCCCACACGTCAGCAGAGGTCAATTGCACGGCCGTGCATACGCAGATATCCTAGTACCTCGTTCATCACTGGCATTGAGTTCCAGGACAGCCTCCTTGTATGATTCTCCCAGCAGCTGGCGGGCTAGGCAGAGAACACTGGTCGTCTTTCCAATGCCGGGCATACCCGATATAATGACATGGGGCATGTTTCCCTCCTTGGCTATAATCTTCAAACGTTCAATAGTCTCTGTGTTGCCGACAACGTCGTCTAGGAACACCGGGCGATACTTTTCCACCCTTCAAACGATGCCGTTAATAACTTCAAAGTGGGAAGACTCAGCTGCCCACCTGGAGGGCTGGAATTTCGACATACCATGGTAACTCATAGTTAGGTGATCCATTGGACGAAGCTGCAAGAACTGCCTTTGACGTGGCATTCGAGGACTCTCCCTTTTCTTCTGGCTTTGCGGCGGGCATTTTTGCTTGAGGATTTTGGTATGGTGAACTAAAGCACTTTACGCGATCCAGCGGACGCGTCGAGATCGCTAAGTTAGCAGCTCTGCTTTAGTGGACACCAAACTGCCTACAGCGGTACAAAGGTACATTGAAAACTAAAAGTGGCTCGTGCACCACCGCCACCACTGTGCAGCAGCAATCGCAATCTTATCTATCCAACTTTTTTTTTAGACTCTGGTCGTCATATCGTCTCACGACAGCATTTACAGAGAGTCGAACCGTTCACAATCAAGCTCTCTTTTGCCCATAATATCACGCCTGCCACATAATCAGGGCCGAATTACACATATTTCCAAAGAATTGAAAATCAAAGAGGCCGTTATTATCGATAGTCGGACGACCGCAACAACGCAGCCATGGGTGTCGCGAAGAAGACGAGAAAGTTTGGACAGGTTTGTCCTCTCTCACCGGCAAAATTTATCGAATTTCTGGGAGATACTGACCATTGAATCTAGGTCAAACGAGTCATCGGCCTGAAGGATGTCCGACTCAAGGAAAACCGATTGAAAGAAGAACTCAAGCAGAAGGAGAAGGAGGCCAGGAGGACAGTTGGAGGAGAAGTCGTCAAGGAAGTTGCCCAGATGCCGAGCGGCATGTATTTCGCCCACAACGACAACCTCAAGCCGCCATATAGCGTCCTCGTCGATACAAATTTCCTAAGTCATACCGTTCAGAGGAAGCTGTCGCTGCTGGAATCCATGATGGACTGCCTCTACGCAAAGTGCAACCCTATCATCACCTCATGCGTCATGGCCGAACTCGAGAAACTGGGTACAAAATACAGACTGGCGTTGAAAATTGCCAGAGATGAGAGGTGGCAGCGGATACAGTGCGATCACAAGGGCACATATGCAGACGATTGCATCGTGGATCGGGTGACGAAGGATCGGATATATATCGTGGGGACCAACGACAAGGCCCTGAAGCAGAGGCTGCGAAAAATTCCTGGAGTTCCGATCATGAGTGTCGCGAGGGGCAAATATGTAATAGAGAGGCTTCCGGGAGCGCTGCCTAAATGACGGGGTTATGGGTTAAAGCCTTGATTTTATTTACTTGTTTTTTTCACAATCTTCGTTCTTCGGTTTTTACGCTTTACGGTTTTGCGCAACTCGCGACTGGAGTTTAGCGCAAATCCGAACCATTTCCGCTTAGGTAATACCACAGAAACCATCAGCCTTGCTGTCACCAGTCCGTAGTTGAACAATTTAGACTCCAAATGACTACGACGCTGTAAATAAACTTCATAACGGCCATTGTGACTCTAGAGTGTTACTAGTTGCGTTAAGCATATATAGGTATTTGGTGTGGCGCGCAAAATATCCAGACGAGAACTTTTCGGGTTTCGGCTTGTGAGCGCGGATAGCAAGCATCGCCACCCCTCTGTATTACAAAAGGCTTACAAAAGGCCGACGACAAGGCTGAGAACCAGCGCACTGGGCAAAACACCATCGAGCGTTGATAACGAAATGGATTTGGGAATGAACTCGGGGAGCTCAGCATCTCTTGTAAAGAAGCGCACGCGGATTCTCCTCTCGTGCGCGCCATGCCGGAACTCGAAGCTCAAGTGTGACCGTGAGCAGCCATGCGGGCAGTGCGCCAAGAAGGGCCGCCTGGACTTGTGCGTCTATGCGCCAAAGCCGGAGAAGAAGAGGCCGGCGGCCAAGGGCATGGCGGCGCGGCTCAAGAGGCTCGAGGGGATGGTGCGAGGCATGATGGACGACGAGGGGAATCTCAGATCGGGGCCTCAGGCGGCGGAGGGCGTTGCGCCGCAGCTGAAAGGAAAAGTTGTTCACGGAGATAATGCGACGACGTATGTGGGCGCCACTCACTGTCTGGCGATGCTTGAAGATGTGAGTGATGAAAAAGGCGATGATGATGATGAGTTTTGGGATATACGCGGAAATTCCGAAGGCTAACGGTGGCATCAGATTGAGGATATCAAAGCCTACTTTGACGATCCCGGGGACTCAGACGACGACTTACTGCCAGGCGAAGAGCTGGAGGGACCGGAGATGCTTCTTTACTCTCGAGGGGCGCCAACTAGTCGCGAAGAACTTCTTGCTCAGCTACCCGAGAGGCATGTAGCGGACAGACTAGTTACGCGGTATTTTTCATCTAAAAGCCCATCTCAACGTGAGTGTCATTCCTTCAGGTTTCCTCTTGAGTTGTCAAGTTTATGAGAGTTGCTGTGGTAGAAAGAAAGGAGGAGGCTGACCTCATGAGATATAGACGTCGTTCACCGTCCGACATTCACAAGAGCGGTAAGTTTGATTGAGAAACCCCCGGCCCAACTTGTCATAAACTCCCAGTAACTAACAAAAGATGTCATCAAGTATGTGAAATTCTGGCAAAACCCTGGTGAAGCCTCACTTCATTGGGTAGCCCTCCTCTTCATGGTCCTCGCCCTGGGCGTGTTTTTCAATAACTTTTCCGCCCCCGACGAGGTCGAGAGTGATTCACCGATATCAGTCAAGGACAGAATCAAGCAGTACCGCTCATGTGCGGGATGGGCGCTGATATGGGGTAAATACTCCCAGCCGACGTCTGTAACGGTGCCGGCTTTTATTCTTTATGTGGAGGCCGACTTCATTCTCAACCGAGCGGCGCAGATGAACTGCTACATCCTGTCGGGCGTCTGCGTGCGGTTGATGCTCAAGATGGGATTCCATCGAGATCCTTCTCACCTGGCCAACATTTCCCCCTTTGAAGGCGAGATGAGGCGCAGGCAGTGGAACATGGCTGCCCAGATCGACCTCCTCGTCTCTTTCCACATGGGTCTGCCGAGCATGCTCGCTGGTATTGAAACAGATACAGAGCTGCCGCGTAACCTGGAAGACGACGACTTTGACGAAAAGTGCAAGGAGCTGCCGCAGCCACGGCCGGAGAACGTTTACACATTTATGACTTACGCTATCCACAAATCCAGGCTACTTCGTGTATTTAGCAAAGTCGCCCAGCAGGCTCACTCATTAACGCCGCCGAGCTACAGCGATGTGCTGAAACTGGATAACTTGTTGACTGAGACTTGGAGTAGCATCCCGTCGTTCATGTATGTGAAGCCGTTGGAAGAGTGCGTCGGCGAGGAGCCCCACCAGATCATTCAACGATACGGAATTGCGTCGCTATATCACAAGAGCCGCTGCGTTCTCCATCGACGCTACCTGGCAGAGGCAGACCCAAAGCCCGAGCACGACTACTCGCGAAATCAGTGCCTGGATGCCGCTACGACGCTGCTGGACTTTCAATATGCTTCTTGGTTGGGGTGCCAGCCCGGCAATGTCCTCGGCCGCTCGGGCTGGTTCATGAGCTCGCTCGCCGTGCACGACTTTATGCTCGCCGCCATGATTCTATACCTCATCATCCAGAACGACAACTATTCCGAAGACGGCTCTGGCTTCGGCACGGCGGGCAGGCAAAGGGAGGCGCCGACCAAGGAGCAGCTGATTGCCATGATCCGGCGATCACATGATATCAGCTGTCAAGTATTCAACAAGTTGACGGATCTAAGAAAGACGGCAGATACGCTGGCTGTGATGCTAGCCAAGCTCGGACGGCCGGTTGAACGAAGCTCGCCTGCTTCCTCTAGCACGCAATACCCACAGTCCGGTAGGGACTCGAGTCGATCAGTATCTAGCCATGTAGTATCTCTCGATGCTGTTGGATACGCATCTGACTATCCCAACAGCGGACTCGAAGGTTAGTCTTCATTCCAGTAGTGTCCTGTCCCCCCAGATGATATGCTTGGGTTACTAAGAAACTGCAGATTCAGGCTCTAGCTCTGGCCCAACACCATTCTCCCAGGGTCAGCCAGCAGCCAGCACTGCAGCTAATGCGGGAGCTATACCCAGCCGCAGCAACGCCGGTGCGCAAATAGCAAACAACATTAACCAGTTCGACATGTCCTGGATGTTATCTGTGGATAACGTAGACTGGGTAAGCAAGCCCTGTTTTGTTTCCTCTGGAGCAATTCTCCCTTTTTTGCCGTGGCAGCCCATGTGCAGTTCCAATAAAAAGCTAACCATTGAAAAAAACAGAGACATCTAGATGCTTCCCTCGGCCAGAATGTGACGGATGGGTCGGGTTCCAGCACGGCTCAGTCGTGGATGGAGAGAATGCCGCTGGACGATGTGGATATGTTGAATGCTGATCTTTGGAATATGGCCCCTGAAACTGATGGCCAATGAGTTTGAGCATTTTGCAGAGAGATAAGAGAAATACGAGTAATGATACATTAAACCACTGTGATCAGCCCAACGCGCTGCTTGTTACGTTTCTGCTGCCTTCCCAACAGGGGTGCTGTGTTGATTGCAAAGAGTCATAATACAGCGACAATTAACTTGACGACTCTCCACGCCAAGTCCAACCAGGGTCACATGTTGCATTATAACGAACCAGTACAACACTCGTCGTAACATGTTCCATCAAGACGAACCTGATTTCTTCCAACTGCCTCTCAATATAGATTGTAGTTTGACTAACAGGGACCTTGGAGGAAGAAATGAAATTACAACTCATGCGGCCAAATATGCAGATGAATGTGCCGATTTCCCCACAGGTTGGCCATCCATTATGATGGTACAAACCGGGAAATGCCACTTGGGATGCTACGCCAATAAGAGTTGGAGGGCTTTTTTCAAATAACCGTTGATAGCACCGTGCCATTGGACCAAGAAGGGAAAGCCGGATGGATTTGGGGGAAGAGTGGCTTGGGATGAGCCAGTTTGAGGGTTTTTAAAGAAGGAATTGGCTTCAAAAGCCGCTCAACTTTGATAAGGAACGAGAGAGTAACGCAGTGAACAACAGAAAAAAAAAAGCACTGATCATTCCAAAAGCCCTTCGGTATTCGGCTCGTCGCAGGGGGCCCTGTGCCATGTTGGTGCTTCCGGGATCAAAAAGAGTCGACAAAGTGCGCGCGGGGTGACGGACGGCAGTCCATCTCGCACGGAGTATTGCTACTTTACTGTACAGGCAATAATTTCACCGCGATAGGGACCGAAAATGCAATAAGAAATTTGAAAAGGGCACGCGAGCTAATGCATGATATAGGCCGAGTTTGCGGCAACACACCCCTCGTTTTCACTCGTCGTGTAAGCACAAGTACTGCAGTACAAAGTGCCCTCCTCCGCGTTTTGAGACGCTCGCTTTAGCTTGATGGATCGGGCGAGGTTGTGCGCCTTTGTCGCATTCCGTGAGTTTTGCGGAGGAGCTGAAGGGCTTACCGTGTCCTGTACCCCCTAGAAAGTGTTTGCTGTCTCTGCGCGATCCGGCGCCAACGAAGCTCACGAGGACAAGGAAAATGAGCTAGCCAATAAATGGGGGCAATGCTATTCATAATGGCCTGCATGAGCGGGGGGGTAGGAGACGAGAAATAGTATCACGTAGGAGGTTGACCGTCGGCTAGATGAGCGGTTCTTTGGGGTTTACGGGCATTGTCTGCAGCCGGTGAAGTCACAACCCTGTCACCAGCTTTTCTCACCCGCTCGTAGGGCGCAATCACAGGGGGCGCTAAAATGGAAAAAGGAAAGAAAAGAAAGAAGGCAAAGTCGCGATAGTGGCGGGAAGCCGGTTGGTGTAATAGCATGGGGAAGCCGCATCAACGGCGTCGTGCGGCGCGGCGTGTCGGAACGCAGCATCTCTCAACGAGCTACACTACAGGCCACAGCGAGTGACGAATGAGAAGGCAAGGAGTGAATGCAGAGGGAAAGCTATCGCAGGGGATTGGCTGCATAAACCGTTACACCCAGAACTGCTAGTACGAATCCAGGTATACGTCGACAAGCTCAAGCCATTGATGGAACCATCACATTACGGAGCTGTAGCACCTTGAGGGTTCAGAGAGATTACTCGTAGTTGGTAGAAGGGAGTGAGTGGGAGGCAAGGCAAGGAGAACGTGGCCCTGTAGACAGAAAATTGAAAAAAATTACTAAGAAAAAAAGGGAACAAGAGAAGGAAAAATCATCACAGGTCTGGTGACCCGAGCTCTGGATCGATCGATGACGGTCCAGGCCGGCAGCAAGAGAAAAAAATTTCGTGACATGGACCAACAATATCAAGGCGATCTTGAAGCAATTGAGGATATGAGCAATGGAATGAGGTTAACGAAATCATCTGACTGGAGAACCGGGGCAAAAATTTACCTAATCTCAACCTCTCCTTTGCCGCTGCAGGGGCTCTGCCTCTCTGCGTGTATCCGCTCTTGGCCCTGGGGTTGAACCTCGTTGAACCTGGAGCGTGGAAACGTGGGAAGAATTAACGAGAGCTAATGCAAATAGGCCGAACGCCGGAAACGCGGGAGCTGGTTACCTAGCGGTCGTATTTCTTAGTGAGGTTTTGTATGGGGAATACGAAGGGGGAGTAGCACTGTGGCAGCCGAGAAGAAATTTTTTCTTCCTTCTCTTGCTCTTCTCTCATACTTCCAAAGGGTCTTTTTGCTCGTGGATCCTGCGGCATGAGTCGAGTCAAGTTTGAAGATCCTACCCCATTCCTCCCTAGAGCCAATGGCCCGATAAGATACCTCAGATAGCCTTTGTTATCTCGGAGCCGCAAATCCAAAATATTTTTGTATTGGATACTTCAAAAGTACCTACACCGAACGGCACATGCCCTCGAGTTCTTGGGCGCGGTACTCATGCTCCATACTTGGGGACAAACTTTTGGTCCGATGCCGCAATCTAACTCCAGTATTGTCTCAGCATTATCTGGCGTCGACAGGTGTATACTCGTACTGTAAGCTGCCGCGAATTAGGCAGCGTGCACTGTACTGCATCGAGAGCCGCTGCACGGAGTACCGAGCCCCATGTGCTACGGCTTTGGTCCGTAATAAGTGAGGAGCGCGTGACAGGACCCGGGTCAGCCATTCTGGGTAGCCCCGGCGCTGGAAACTAGCTTTAGCATTGCATGTAGGGACTTTGGACATGTCCATAACTGACACACGTTGCTCAGGACGGCAGTATCATTAGGCTGATGCGGCATGTCTGTATGGAGTCGTGGTGTTCGGTAAGGGCAGGTCATGCAACTTGTAATACATAATACTGGACCTCCTCTGTTAGCCCCCAGGTAGAGCAAAGGTACTCGTACACATGCAGATGGAGTATGATGGAATTCGGAGAGACCGCTAGCCGTCCTGTGCCTTTGGAGACGTCGTCTGCTGACCTTGTGCGCCTTTCTTCCGATGCCACAGTGTACGATGATAGGCCCTGGCACTCCGTACAGTAGATGGTACCTGTGCTCCCTACACACGTTAGCTCTGATCTTGTGTAGCATTTGGTTGTGTTCCTCTTCTGTCTTTAGCGCTTGTGCATGCCATTGGTGGTACTGGCAGCACTATCTAATGGCATGTAGTAATACCAGATAAACGGCAATGCCCAGCAAGCCCTTGCGCCTCATCCGCGGAGTTGCATGGAGCCAAGGCGCAAAACAAGAAAATCCCAGAGGCGACTTCCATTAGCGACGCCGCCCGATTGGTCGGCCCTAGACTATCTTCAAGTAAAGTGGTGAGGGAACACAACATCAATGGTTCAACGCACCTGTGGCCCGATTGGACACGCATCGTGCATGGGGTGGGATTTCTCTGACCTGATGCGAACGGAAAGGCATCGACAACTCGAGCAGAAAACCGTTGCTAGCCTTGCCTTGTTCCGGTCAGGTCATCCGCACGTGAATGGATCGACTTTTACTGGAAGATTTTGGAGCAAATCAGGCCAGTCGCGGGCCCTATCGGCGCGTCTGACTGGCCAAAAGTTTACACAGGCCTAGCACTCATACAGGTACCATGTTACGTAGCAGTTGTCTCGACTTGCACGAATCTAATCAGATGTTGCCCGTTGTGCAAGGTACTCCATACAGGGATCCATGATGACAGAGATCGGGCTAGCCAACTCAAAAAAGAGGTGGTGGTATAGGTACCGGGTACCTAACAGTCTTACATGTTGCTCCGTTCCTGTCGATGATAGCGGCCGGAGGGCTCCGACTTTTTTTATTTTTTTTTATTTTTACTTTTTTCTTTCGCTTCTTCTTGTTTGTTCTTGCCGTCGTTAACCATCCATGGGGAATGCTATGCACTGAGAGTAGGGCTCGCTCTTTCCCCCAAATTTCCACAGGCAGTACCTAGCGGCACCTTTCAGTTGCGTTGAACAGAATCCAGACCAAAGTACTACCAGGTACCCCTAACCCAAGCTTTTGCAGCACATGGCCGTATCGAGGACCTTGCAGGTGAGGCTTTGACACTTGCCTTTACACGGAGTCAGTACAAGTGCGCCGTGCAAAAGTTCTCGTACCTGGTACTACCGCTGCAAGTCTCTCATCTTGGGGTCCAAGCGGTACTTGCACCTGTACCCTGTAGGTACAGTGCCCGTATCTGTACCTGTGCCTGTACCCGTCGCCTCCGACCTTCGCTCCTGCTGCTCTGGGCGAGGCAAGGGTGTGCCGTCATTCTGCATCGCCGTTGACTTCACTCGGGATTGTAGATGGTATCAGTGATTGGTATTAGTATGAGTATTGGGGTAATAATTGCCCATCCATGGATATTTATTTGTAGTATGACACATACTTCTGCTTAGTACATGCGGAATTCGATACCGAGAGTCGACTTGACTATTCGTTCGCCTTATTTGCCTGATTACAGACTGACTGACTGACTGCAGTCAAGCAAGATTCATTCCCCCCCTCCATCTTGAATCTACTTTAGTTACCTATCCCAACACAACCACCCCCCTCCTCATCCCTTATCGCCCTGCACCCAGCAGCAGCCAGCCATCTGACTGGTTTCAGCGCGCGGCCGCCATTTAAGTAAGAAATTGCTTGAGTCCTCACACGCCAAGGCGTGGCGAGGCCACTCCAACTAACCCCAATCTTTCCGTCTCTTCGAAGCTAGTCTCCCAATTCGCGCGAGCTAAATCGACCACAGCCGTTGTTCTTATCGGGAAAAAAAAAGAGACTTGACCCCTCTACGGTACAGTATATCCAGTATATCCAGAGGCCGTATCCCGTCGCCTCGCCTCGCCGCCTGTGGTCTGTCTGGTCTTTTACACGGCGAATGAATGCTCCTTGCGACAGCGTCTCCCCCTTTTGTCTCGTCTCGTTATATCACAGGCAATCCCGGCTGCGGTCCCCTCGGCCCCTGGCGACCAATTGTATTCAACTCCCATTTCCGCCTCTTACTCATTCGCCCACCGCTCTCGAATATCCGCTGCTTGTCCCCCGGGTGTTGTGTTGTGTTGTGCCACCGGCCTAGACCAGACCCGACAAGTTCTACACTGAGACTCGCCGAGCTGCCCTCGTGGGATCCTACATACATCATCACCACTTTTGCTGTGCGCCGCGTCCAGCCGCTGGCATTGGATCTTTCTAGTACAAGTAATACCGTGCTCGCTGCTTGTCCTCCCACGCTCGCCCGTTCAAACGGCCCACGACCCACGGCCCACGATCCACTGTCATACCTCGCTCTTACGTACTGACTACTCGTTTTCGATCCATGAGCTGAGAGACAAGCCCTACTGCTACCTCTTTTTTCTTTTGATCCCCCACCATCAAATCCGCATCCCTAGGCCATCTGCCTCTGTTTTACAGGCGGGCTGGCACGTCCGGATAACGGTGGCCTTGCCTGTCGAATAAATACACAGCCTGCGTCGGAGCAAATCAACTTCCTGTCTCGGCGACCAATTCCATCCAGTCGGCTTCGGCCTCAAATCCCACCACCAAGCCAAACGGAGCCATGCCGGCACAACTCAACGGGTCCGTTACGGGCGCCCTTCCCATCCATATCGCGACCGACCAGACAAACGGCTTCCACAAGCAACATAAGCATTCGCGATCCTCCTACTCGGAGTCTTCCCCTCTGGCCAACTCGAGGAACAATTCCTTGACCTTCCGCCCTACCAAGAGATTCATGTCGACGCCAAAGACCATTGCCGTTATAAACGCTAGCGGCCGCCAAGCTGCGTCGCTGATTCGCGTGGCTACGGCCGTTGGTTACCACGTTCGTGCACAGCTGCGGAATCTCGAAGGAGTTGTCGCTACCGAAGTGTCCACCAACCCCAACGTCACTATCATTGTTGGCGAGCTCTATACACGACACCAGCCTACCAAGGAGAACAAGGATGTAACTCAGAACGGCCCCATGCCCGGCGTCGGCGTCAACCACGATCTGATCGACAATCTTTTCCGCGGCGCACAGCTCGCCTTCATCAACACCACTTTTTACGGAGATGAACTGCAGATCGGCAAGGCTCTGGCCGATGCGGCGAAAAAGGCAAACATCCAACACTACATCTACTCCTCCATGCCCGACCACGCAGTATACCACACCGGGTGGCCGTCGTTGCCTCTATGGGCCGCTAAGCACAAGGTTGAAGAGTATGTGAGGGAGCTGGGTCTGCCTGCCACCTTTGTCTACACCGGCATCTACAATAACAATTTCACCTCGCTGCTTTACCCATTGTTCTGCATGGAGCTGCAGCCGGATGGCTCCTTCACATGGCAGGCTCCGTTCCACGAAGACGCCAAGCTCCCCTGGTTGGATGCTGAGCATGACGTTGGGCCTGCCATTATACAACTTTTCAAGGACGGCGTATCTAAGTGGCAAGGGGAGCGCATCGCTCTGGCGTACGAATACTTGACTCCGGTGGAAGCTTGCAAGCTCTTTGCCCGCGGAGTCGGCCGCCCTGTCCGCTATATAAGAGGACCTATCGATATCAAAGTTCGCATACCTACAGGATATCGACAACAGCTGGAGGCTCTGGAGAAGCTTTTTGATCCCAACGAGAAGGACCCCGCGAAGCAGCCCCCCT